TTCGGGGCTGGCCCTGCGAAATAGCTTCCCGAAGGACCTTCTCGAGGTGCCTCATGTCGTTGTGTTTGAACGATCGGATGACGGCACCAGAGATACGGGCACCGATTCGGATCGAAGCATGGTTGAGTTCGTCGGAGATGAGGAGGCAGCCCTTGGATACGAGAGCAGGGAAACCGGTGGCGTTGGTGACGAAGCCCATGGAGAAAACCATGGCGGCAGGCTTGCCCACGAATCTGGCAATCTCGTTCTCGACTTCCACGGCGAGGTCGTTGGTTCCAGCATCAGCGCGAGGGCTGCAAACACTAAGACCGTACGTCTTCACGCACTCCTCGACAGCGTCCGCACAAGGACCTTCGGACTGAGCAAATCCAAGGTAGTTGTAGGAGCTCATGTTCAGGGTCTCTGTGAAGGTGCCCGTAAATTGGTATGAGCAGTTGAAGTCGGTGGATTTACGGTCCATTAGAGTGATGAAGCGGCCGGGAACGCCAGTGGTAGGACGAGCAAAGGAGTCGTCAATGCGCCTCTTCAGACGGCGGACGTAGAAGTTATCGAAGTCGTCATTGAGGGGGGCGTAGCCGTTCTGAGACTTCAGGGCGCGATACATCTTGGGGTCGCCGAAGCGCTTGCCAAAGAAGTCGCGGGCGTGACCGAAGGCAATAAGGAGTAGGTAGCTAATATAGGTGGTGAGAACGTAGTAGTAGGCGGGTTCATCGATAATTGGAGGCTCGAGAGGCTCGCCATGGTGCTTGCTGACGTAGAGGTGGCTAGGATGATTAAGAGGACCGAACTGAGCATCGAGCTTCGCTTGGCGCTCGTCGGGAGTGGAGGACGACACAAGCGGTTCTGGCTGGCCAGCCGCATACTCGTCTCCCTGGACGGAGGTTATGGAAATAGAGGGAACCTGTGGTGCACCAGCGGCGACTTGACTCTGCTGCTGTTGCTGCATGGCGAGCAGAGTCTGTTGGGGCAAGTTCTGGTCCTTGCTCTTGGGGTTGGCAAAGAAATTGCTCAAGCGGTTCCCCCTGGAAGATGATGGTCGTCTTTCGGCGGGTCGATTGGAGGACGACGGCATGTTGGAGTTGGAGAACAAGTTCTGAAGTTTCCGGGGCATGTCTACCGAGTTCGGCCGCAGGGTTGGAGGCGGATGAAGAACACGACGACGCCTATCGTGGCGGGCGTGGCGACAATGTGGAAATTGTCAGCGACCAGTGGAAGGGCAGGAGGATTAGAGTCCAAAGGGGGACAGCCTGGCTGCGCGTTTAAAAGAACGTGAGTTAGTACAACATCAGGCAACATGGAAAATGTATCGATATTGGTGGGGGGATTCGATGCGAAAGTCGGGACGGAATGATGAGGTGGCAAAGCATGGCGCAATCTGCAGACTGCGGTACAATTATGAAGGGTAAAAACAGAAACAGCACGGGTGATATCGGTGGAAATCTGGGCAAGTGCAGGAGCGATGGAGAATGTGACACGAGCCAAGTTGAAAAGGACCCTGGCAGCGTAAAGACACCACTCCTTCCGTCACACGCGGATACGCACTCCCGCCCTCAATCGCGAGATCAATTGCAAAGACGGTTGACAACCACTGGGCGGCCCATCCCAGATCGTAGTTTGCAGAGTTGAGAGAGAGTGGGAGTGCCACGAGAGAAGGCACCCCAAAAGTCGAAAATAGGAACAGCTGCGGAACAGCCGGGTAAACACACTTACAGGTCCCGAGATCGGTAGAGGTGAGAAAATGCCCGTGGATATTGTTCAGTTCCGGGTTATTCGGGGTATTAAAGACGAGATCCAAGGTCGCACGCTGAGGATCATGAACAGGCAGCGTATGTTGAGGAGTGGTGTGCTAGAACCAGCAAGATGAACAGCTTGAGGTCGTCGAATTACAAGCAATGATATTGAGTAATGAGTTTCCTTAGGTATTACCGCTGTTCCTCCTTGGATGTCGTGGACAAAACTCGTGGCGAGTCTTGAAAATAAGTTCAAGATCTCAGGGAGCTGAGCAATTGAAAGACCAGGGAAGCTGCCTCGGGGTTCATAGGCAGTAGCTCAATGGCATTGATTTCCGAGGCAGGTCCGAGCAAGGGGGACCTGAGTGACCAGAGAGTGCAGAGGGTGCAAGAGGAGCAATCACCAGAGCAAGAGCAAAAGCAAAATAAACCAAAAAGAAAATTAAGAATAAAAAATGAAAAAAAGGGAAGAGAAGAGCCTGGAAGAAAGGGGAGGTGGGCAGAAAGCACTATTACAAGTAGGCTCGCGGTGATATTTTGGAAAGGGTTTCAAGGGAAATTTTTTCTTTTTGCGCCGGGTGCTCCGGAATTCAGTCATTGACGCATCGAGGGGATTGATTGTGCAGCGTTACAGCGCGTAGCGACAGGGCATTGAGCACTGAGCACTGCGCATACAAATCTAAGTACCTCGCATACTGGCAGGTACTTCGTGGAGCTACGACAGGCCGATTTCGAGCCAGCACAGCAGAACGAACGACGCGACCAGGGTAGGGGAGATAAAGTGCCAGGCGGCGCAGAGCCCATGGCGCCAAGTGCTCAAGCTTGTACAGTTTTTTTCAATTGTACCTCACCTGAGGAGGAAGAAAGGGAAGCTAACGGTGAAGTGGCATTGAAATTGCCAGGGGAACCCGCTCTCCCACAATAGGGGTACTAGTGGAGAGCTATTTACTCCCGTCTTGACCAATGTACCGAGTTTGCAGCCCCATCCGCTGCTCTTAATTACAGTACCATCCTTGGAGCCCCGGTCGGCTCCGCTGTTGGTGGGTTGGTGGGATCATCGATGGATATGACGTTGTGGCGATCGAGAATTGGAATAGGATAAGAACATAATCAGGCGCCCTGCTCCACGTTCGGTTCAAGCCAAGGCTGGAAACGAGAGGCCAATGACAATTGAATTCAGCCACACCATTCCCCCAGAAGCTTCTTCTTATCCAGGGTGAGCTTCATTGTAGACTACATGCTTCGTACGAAGTAGGCATACATGAACTGCTTTGTAGGAATGCAACACGGTTTGAGTTCTTCGAAGAACACAGAGACAGGTGTCTCCTTCAACGACGTAAGAAGACCCTCCCAGGACTCTCCACAACACACGAAGTACACTAGTCCATTGAGGCATCAAATCCGAGCAATCCACCTCGCCGGGAGTAAGATTAATACTTCGTACCTGTCGGTGGAAGTATCCATAGACTAGAGTCGGTCATTGCAGTGGCATTGGCTGCCAAGAGGTCTAGGCCGTCCCAACCCTAGACATCGGTAATAGCTCACCCCTGTCATGAGCCATATCTGCGAGGGTGCGGAACGCTATCGCTCGACGCCTTGCTGTTCCTCGTGTACTCAACTGTGCTGGATACCCTGCTCTACAAAGCAAGTCGCGTTCATCACGACCACTCTCCTCGTTTAAGTGTCAATGCAGGGTACCTGTACCCCGTAATACGCCGTTTGCCGGAGCCGATCTTGGCGGTGATATCAACGAAGCCTGATAGATCCGTGATTTCATGGGCAGCATTTCGCCTCGCCTCGGCGACGGGAAAATATCAGGCACTATTTTGAAGGTTTTGGCTAGGTCGAGACAAGAGTTCGCATCTCTGGCGTTTGCCTGGTTCCATATCCTGGCGTGATGTACTAGTGCACGCGACGACGCACTAATGTTATACACCACTAGTACTGGATTCGCCCATAACGATTGGGTCCCGCGACCTGTTATAGGGGTTGAAGATCAGGAGAAAATGGAGGGGCAAGTGGAGATAAGCTAATTATTGCCAGGAGAACAGGCCTGGGTGGGAGGAGGCCTCAGCCCCGATGGCCGCTAGGATTAGCACAGGGGACGATGGGGTTCTCATTTGGGGATCAGAGGGTCATTGCGCCTCGCGAAGCCTTCTGCACGGATCGCTGTCCGCGAAGTTGAATTCCCCCGAGAAACATCAATGAGTTAAAACGTGGATCAACGGGCACCGGCCGAGTGAGGGATGGGCCCCCATATTCTCGATCAAAGAGCTTGAAATTACGCATTGACGCTTACCGCTGATGTAATTACCTCGGAATCAGTCCTCTAAAAGTTGTGCTGCCTTAGTACAAGTACGAAGTACAACACTGCTTCGTACTTTGTAAGACTCATGCTTGGTCCTTCCATGTCGAGGATTGAGACCAACGAGGGTCCGGCTCATTCTTTCCAACTGTTGCGCAATTCACTGCTTTCACCGCATTCACATGCCTCTCCGACGATGCAGGCAAGCGCAACCAAAGTGGACAACAGAGTCCGAGTCCCCGACGAGGGAGGAGCAATCTTGATAGTGACAGAGTGACAGAGTGCACTTGACCTTATCTCTTGGCATTTGAATGATCTCGATCGTAGCCTCATCACCATCCCATTCGATTGACGATCCACGAACTTTCATCATTGTGGTCTTCGCAAATTTGACCTTCGAGGTGACCACCAACACTAAAGTGACCAAGCCTCTTTTCCAGGAACACCCCGCCCCACGATCTGCCCCCCACAACCACTTATCAAACTGCCCAACTGTCAGGACCCCGCGGCGGCCACTGTGGTTGTTCACCTTGTCTTGGTTCTTGTTGAGCATTCCGTTCAACAACATGGACTAGCTTGCCCATTAGGAGGGGTTGTGGGATGGACAGGACAGTCATCGGAGCAGACTAGAATCCTGCTCCTTAGCCGTGAATGACTCCTCCGTGAACCGGCCCGAGGCAAGCCGGCCTGGCGCCGGCTTGCACACTTTTCTTATTTTTCCCTGCTCTTTTTTTTCTTACTACTATCTCATGCGACTCAGACCGTGGATTTTTCGTGCGCTTCCCGATTGGTATCACATTAGGGCAGCAGACTTCTTGTACTTAGCATCGTCCATAGCCGAAATCGCTACTTACCCGTGCTACTCCTTTGGTCTCCTCCCCCAAAACTCTTTCGTCTCCCCTCTCGAACTTGTTGATCTATCTTATCGTGTACAAGTCAGATAGCCAAAAACATACCCCGCCATCATGACGGTGCAGACCCCTTCCCGCGAGGTCCTGTGGACGCCTGAGAACCCGCGCTCCACTGTGATGTGGCAGTTTATGGAGCGCGTGAACAGCAAGTATGGTCTCGAGCTCAAGGATTACCAGGACCTGTATAAGTGGTCCATAGACAACATTGGTCCCTTTTGGGAGGAAGTTTGGCTATTCTCTGAGATCAAGGCGTCCCGGCCATTCGACAAGGTACGGCCGACATCTTTTTTTTGTCTTGTTTTACGCACTGCATGCAAGCAAGAAAAATAACAGAATAACTAACATGCCATAGGTTCTTCCCACGGAGTCCATGTTCCCCCGACCAGACTTCTTCTCCGGAGCCCTCCTCAACTTCGCCGAGAACCTCCTCTTCCCCCGCGACCCGGTCGACCCCACCTCCACCGCCGTGATAACCCTCACCGAGCGCGAATCCGAGCTCGTCGAGACCACCTGGGACCAACTCCGCGACGCCGTCCGCAAATGTTCCAATGCCCTCCGCCAAGTCGGCGTCAAGCCCAACGATGTCGTCGCCGGCTTCGTCTCGAACCACCTCGAGTCCGTTGTGGCTATGCTTGCTACCGCCGCCGTGGGCGCCCTCTGGACGGGTATAAGTCCCGACAACGGAGTGAGCGCCGTGCTCGACAGATTGGCGCAGATCAGGCCTACGGTGCTGTTTTCTGATAATGGCATGCTGTATAACGGCAAGGATTGGAGTAGTGTTCATAAGACGCAAGAGATTGCCGCCGCGCTGAAGGATGTCGGGTTGAAGCATGTCGTCGTTATTAATAACCTTAAGAGCGCTGGTTTGGGCCTGGGGGAGCTCAGGTCTCTGGGGTTGGATGCTCAGGAATATGGGGCTTTCCTGTCCAGGTGCGTCATACACTTTGTCCTCTCACTCTCTCTGCGTGTACATGCGTGTATCCTTACTAGGTGTCCGCGGTGACTGCCCTCCACTAACACGAACAACTCAGTGCCCCCGATGGACCCCTCACGTTCGAGCAACTCCCCCCCTCCCACCCCCTCTACGTCCTCTACTCTAGCGGAACGACCGGTCTCCCCAAAGCCATCGTCCACACTACCCTCGGCACCCTAATCCAACACCTCAAGGAACACAGCCTCCACGGCTCCGTCACCTCCAAGTCCCGCATGCTCTACTACACTACCACATCATGGATGATGTGGCACTGGAGCGTCTCCGCTCTCGCCACGGGCGCCACCATCATCCTCTACACCGGCTCCCCCTTCAAGCCACACGCGCACATCTCCCTCCCGCGCCTCCTCTCCTCCCTCAAAGTCACCCACTTCGGAACCTCAGCCGCCTACCTCACCGCCCTCGAAGCCGCCAACGTCCTCCCCGTCAACGACCCGTCCCTCGACCTCTCCGCCCTGGAGGCAATCTACTCCACCGCCTCGCCCCTCCCGCAATCCACCTTCCGATTCGTCTACAAGGCTTTTCCCAAGCGCGTTCAGCTCTCCTCCATCACCGGAGGCACGGACATCATCTCCCTCTTCGGCGCCCCCTGCCCTCTCCTCCCCGTCTACACGGGCGAGATCCAGTGCGCGGGCCTCGGCATGGCCATCAAGGCCGTTGACTCCGCGTCGGGCGACGACCTTGCTGCCGACGAACCCGGTGACCTCGTCTGCTTTAAGCCCTTCCCCTGCCAGCCTCTTACCTTCTTCGGCGCCGGCGGCGACGACAGGTACAAGGCCGCCTACTTCGAACGATTCGCCGACCCCGCTACCGACGCGCCCATCTGGCACCACGGCGACTTCATCCGCATCCCCCACCCGGAGGTCGGAAACCTCGTCATGCTGGGCCGCTCCGACGGCGTGCTCAAGCCCTCGGGCGTCCGGTTCGGCTCGGCGGAGATTTATAACGTGCTGACGCGCTTCTTCGCCGCGGACGTCGAGGACGCCCTTTGTGTGGGTAGGAGGCGCGAGACGGATACGGATGAGACGGTGTGTCTTTTTGTCGTGCCTGCGGAGGGGAAGAAGTTTGATGATGATTTAAGGGCGAGGATAAAGAGTGTTATTAAGAGCGAGTTGAGTCCTAGGCATGTTCCCGGGGTGGTGGAGGAGTGTGGGGGAGGTATCCCCAAGACGGGTAATGGGAAGAAGTAAGTTGGCTCCCTTTTCCTTCGTTCTCGAGAGGGTATGAGGACTAACAAGAGTGATTTAGGATCGAGGTTGCGGTGAAGCAGATTCTTTCGGGTATGAACGTCAAGACGAACGCGAGTGTTGCCAACCCCGAGGCCCTAGACTGGTTCAGGAGGTGGGCGGAAACCAACTAAGCGAACGGGATGCATTTTCGAACGCTGGCAAGAGAACATGAAGCAGAAGACATATCGCGGGATACACAAAATATAGCAGGAAGGCGAAATGGGTATTCTCAAAAACAGATAAATAGAGCTTCTTTAATACATGTCGCTAGTCAAACACATAATCCGCAAGTTAAACCAGCATGAGCCGTCCAGTCTCATATCTCATCATACATCAAGCCTTAAGCTTTGAAGAAGACCTCGTCTCTCATCAACTCCGATATACACTCAAAGAGATCTCATCATACCCTTTTCCCGAAGAAAGCTCGCGCTTTTGAAACCGAATCTTGAATCTCTTAACAAAGTTTTTTTTTTTTTTTTTTTTTTTTTTTTTTTTTTCACATATACCCTTTTTGCTCCTTAAACCCTTGCTTCTTTTTTGTTGCCCCTTCGTTCCCCAGGTTGAAACATATCCACGCTTTCCCTCCTCGCGATTTTTTTTCCCCCGGTAAGATATAAAAAGATCCCTTCTCCTGCCCATGACTGGCCTTCATGGCGCATGGCAAGTAGAAATATACCCCCAAAATATTAGAAATCGAAAAAAAAAAAAAAAAAAAAAAAAAAAAAAAAAAGAAAACACGCCCAAACAGTTTGAAAACTCCCACTACTCCTTTACCCATGGCGTCCATCCCATCCCATTATCCCCTTTCCCATCCGCCTTTTTCCATTATCCGATATATCCTAACCCCCGCCTGTTATCATTTCACGATCCTCCATACGTATGTCCATCCAGGTTCGTAAAAGGTTGATCCATCACCATGTACTCCAGCAAATCCATACCGCCCACATTTACACCCTCTGCTGTCATGGCCACCGCCGTGTTTTCCATATTCTGGAAGAAAGCCGGACCCGGCGGCAGGTACCACATCTCGTTACCGGGGGTGTTCCAGTCGTCGAAGACGCTGGTAGGGTTGTTGCTGTTGTTGTTATTGTTGTTGGTCGTATTGTTCTCGGCGATGTTGTCGATCGGGGCCGGAGTGGAAGGGTTGAGTACAGAGGCGGCACCGGAGGGATAGGGGAAGGTTCCGGTGCTGAGATCGAAGGGTGTTGCAGAGATGTTTGCCATTGTGGGAGAGCCGAGACGGTCTAGGGTTATGAATTGTTAGTAAGAAAGGAGAGAGGAAAATGTGAATGGATTAGCTTGCTCACCATGTCCGTTAACGCCGTCTCGTAGCCTAGAAGCATCCGCCACCCAACCATTTGTATCACCGCCCGCATGCTGGCCGCCAATGCCATTCATGCCGGTAGCTGCGGCCCCCTCATGATCGCTCCTAGCGTCAGCGGAAGCAGCCTGCGCAATGGTCGGTGCCTGGATGAATCGGTTCCTTAGCCTGCTCGTCAGAGACTCAAGGAGGTCGGCAAACCGGATACCGAGGTGCACATCGTCGACCACGCAGTTGCGCAGAGCCTCGACGGTGCTGTCCATAAGGTCTATGCTGAGCTTGACGTCTGCGCGGGGGGCACCGAGGGCGAACGTCTTGAGCAGGAACATAGCGCCGCTGATAATGCGGAAATACGTCCGCACAGGCGCATGCTTCAGATAGCCCCCGGGAAGAAGGCCGTCTACCACGGTCCTGAGGAGGTTGCGACTCCCACTCACAACCTCCTTAACGTATTCTTGGTCGGCTGCACCGAAGCCACCCAGCTGGCCGAGGGGTAGTTTTCCAAAATAGTTTTGGGTCTGGGGAGAGAGTTGCGGCGCGTTCCCCGCCGCGCTCCCATTTCCAGAGGCCGTGTTGCCTGCATTACTGGTGCAACGCTCGACGACGGCCTGGAGAGAGAGCGAATTGATGTATATGCGGACATACTCGTACTCGATAGTGAGGATATGTCGGATATACGGGGGAAGGCGGAACCGCTCGAATTCCGTGTGCCAGTCCCGGAGGATGGGATGGAATTCCTTGAGTAGATCAACGTACTTGCCGCTCTGGATGATGTCAGTGGTGTGTTGCCTCGACCGGAAGAGCTTCTCGTTTCCAATGTGCATCGCGTTGCTGATGCCCGCCCAGCAGTGGATAATCTGGTCGTCGAGCTCTAAGTCAGGTATATAATTGAACGCGTTCGAAAGCGAGGAAGGGTTCGTTCCGGGAGTGGCGCCGTCCATAGCTGTCGGCCGTCGGCGGGATACGGCCGGATCGCTCTTTCGAAGAGACTCGGGGACCATGTTAGTCCAGCCGAGTCTTCCGGCGAGCTGTGTAACGTATATTAGAAGTAGCCTCTTGATGCGATATGCGCGCTGGCGGTACGTCTCCTCTTCATACTCCGGTCTCGTTATGGCACCATCCCGGAGCAGCTCGTCGATGTCGTCAAACACTCCGAGTTCGTAGGCAAGACCAGTAGCGGTGCTGAGAAGCATCCAGCACATACGATCGCTTCTCCACGCCGGCTCCAACCAGCTCTCGATCCTCTTTCCGCCAACGCCAGCAGGGCGCTGACCACCCTCCTCACCAAAGGCAAAATCGGGATCCGACCGGTCATACGACGGAAGCATCAGCTCGTCGATGGCCTCGGGCGCAGGGAAGTGCAGCGCTCGCGGATGCCACTCTGTAAGGATCATCAGGGACTCAATCGTTCCGAGGGTACGAAGGCTTCCCTTGCGCAGGCCGCGCCAAGGCGCCGTGCTGCTTGTTTGGGTCTCATCCGTGACGACGGAGCCTGGGGGCAATAAGCCGCCGCCAAAGGCCTCCTGTCCCCACAGACAACGTTCAATCATGCCCCGCAAGTATGTCCATAGCTGATCATGGATCGCATTCGAGCGGGACAGCCCACCGGTGCCAGGTATCTTTCGGTATCTGGAGGCGATAGTAAGGAGAGTTACCGTTAACACAGGCTCCTCGGTGAGAAGGGTAAGATGGGAGCCGGGGCTGCGGAAAGTCGGCGGGGAGATGGGGGTAAGCGGTGAGAGATATTCATAGTAGCTAGTAAGCAATAGGTTAGTTGAAAATCATTCCAAGCCCGGCCATGGGGTGCGAATGATGTCGCAGTGCGTCAACATACTAGTCTATATATTCGATCGCCTCCTGGGCAGAAAACCAGCCAGCCCTGACAAACCGGAAGCGATTCCATGCCTTTATGGCCGACGCGTAACCAGGTTCCGACGACAGGTTCTTCTTGGTGAGCGCGGGGTCGATGGCAGCTTCCATCTTCACGTTCCTCTCATCCACAGACCTCGAGTCTCGGACGTTTTGGCGCGGCGTGGAATCGGTACGAGTCGTCGGAGGCGGGGGTATCGACGTCGTGGTTATAGTGGGGCCGTCTATCTTCGGATCGCTCGACGTCAAGGGACTAGACGTAGGGACAAGGTAGGTTAGCGACCCATGTGCGCCGGCCCGGAAAGCATCGGGAGAGCAGGGGGATGGGTGGGGGTGGAGACAAACGAACCCATCAGTGGCAGCCTTATAGAGGAGATCAAGAGCGTCGTGAGGCCCGTACACGCCCCTACGCATCACCGTTTGGGCCTCGATGTTCTCTAGCTGTGCATTCGAGTCGTCGCCGGTGCCAGCACCAAAGTCGCTGTGACGGCTGCTCGTGCTACCGTGGCCGGTGCTCGTAGTGCTGCGTGGACCCTCGGGGCGGCGCAAGGGCTCCCGCCGAATCTGGCCGCTGGGAATGAGGGGCACTTCGCTGTACAGGCGCCGGTCGAGAGCCGCCGGAGGAGAGGGATCGCCGGTAAAGAGGCGCTTCCGTCCGTTCCGAATTACGTACTCGTCGGCGGGATAACCGTCGACATCGAGGCCGTCGTCGGTCTTGCGCTTGCGGCGCGTAGCGCTAAAGAAGCACTCTTTGCTCTCGCGGCGGCAACGCACGCACGGGGGGTCGTGGGGGTTATCGACGCTACCGAGATCGCATCGCACCTTACGGCGACGGCACGGGATGCAGGCCTGGTAGACGCGCTTATGCTGGGTAGAGGGCTGTTGTTGGGATGCGGAGGGCGACGCGGATGGCGGGGCGGTAGACGGCGGGCTCTGGCGCGAGCCAGTCGACCCATGGCGGGAATACCCTTTCATCGCAAAAATCAAAGATTTGATAGATAGAAGGGGGGGTGTCAGGAAGGGGGTAGGTGCTCTGCTCGGCACGGCAGGCGCGCCGAACGATTGTGGCGAGAGAAAGCGGGCTTCGACCGAATCAACAAACCGTATCGGTCGCGTTTCTCGGAGTTCGTAGGTTGGAGTCGGCACTACCGGAAGGGGAAAATAAATTCCGGTGCGGAGGTAGATTCTCGGTGGAGTTGTTCGATGGTTGAAGGCGGGTTGCGGCGGGTTTTGAAGGGAGGAAGGTGGAGGTTTATTTGCTCCCGCAAAAAAATCGACGGATGTCTCAGGAGAGAGGACGGCCTGGGCTGCGGGGTTTGCGGCAGGACGTCCTTTTCTTTTTGCTTCTCCCAGTTCTTCCTTGGCCTATGGGAGGGATCAAATCTTGCACAGAGCAGTTACACAGGGGCCAAACGAAGTGCCGTGTCGCCGGTTGGGGCTGATAGGCTGATGCTACCCAACAAGACCCCAGGAGGGGCGGACGGCTAGAATCGGTCAAACCGAGGGGATGCAGAGAGACTCGACAGAGACGCCCAACTTATAGAAAAGGCAATTGAAGGAATGGCAATAGCTTCGCATAGAATCCACCGACACCCGAGAATTTCTTTCCAAGGATTGGACTATTAGATCCAGCGTCGTCGATCTTGAGCCAGTGTACGCGTGTACATGGAGCGTTCAACAAAGCATCTGAGGTAGCATAGATAAGCGAAGCAGGAATCGGGGAAATGGACGAATTGCAGGTGGCCAGACGCGAAAGGACAAAGGACTTCGGTGGGGGGAGCAAGTGGGAGTCTCGATCGAGATGCCCTTTCGAGCTTGGGAATGTGTAGTGTCGTGTAGTTCGAAATATGTGAAGGAGTTCAAGGAAGAGAAATAAAAGGATTTTGGCGGGCTCGTCTTGATAAGGAGAAGTTGCTATCTATCTTCAAGGGAAGGAGGCGGGGGGAACTTTGTCGAGGGGTATCGTGAGTTACAATCGAGGGCGTTCTTCCGCGATGTATTACTCAATGGTTTCTCTTACTACATGTACTGTTTGGCCAGTCTAGATTCTCATCCTCCCCACCTGGGTGCTCACAAGTCTGTGTCTCTTTGTTAACAAGATTCTTCGTTTGCGTTGTGTTATTATTACGGACCACGATGGATCAATTGATCACTTGGATCTGCTCAATGTTGTATGTATGTGTCAAGTACGAAGCTGCATGTGCCCTCTTGGTCTTGGTGTGAGTGCGTGGGGACCGAATTTGGACTAACCCAAGTGTGTTACGCATCAGAGCTCTTCTTGTATTCTTGTACCAGCGATGTACCTTGATGGGGAGTGCTTGGCGGATGTGAGAGCAAGTTTGAAGTACTGTCTACTTGGAAACGCTTGTTAGTTGGTCAAGAGTACTTGTGCCAATGCATATTTGACGTACTCGTACGAAGGTACACTGTACTGTATCACTGTTTACGAAGTAATTCCTCATTCCAATGTCCTCAGCTCGTGGACGGTATGATTGATCCTTCATGGCGAAAAGACGAAAGACTGAGAGGGCAGGCAGCAGGAGGGGAGTACGGGGTCGGTTGCCAATGATGTCATTTTGTAATAAAATGATCTGTATGACTCGAGTGGTCCAGGCGTTCTCAGCGCATGGTATCGAGTCGTTACAGCTGGATCGGAAGTGATTTCATCTGTGTGATGGCAGTGTCGGGTCCTCGTGACCTCTTCTTCCTGGGTTCCGCCTTCTCCGACTTGTCCATAACCAGGGCAAATTTTCTCAAAGGTACATTCACAGTACTTCATCCAAGTCTCCCCGTCGATACCTTTGTGCCCCATCCCCGGATCTGGTCCAGACCAGGGCAGGGAACCAAATCGCCCAGGGTTTTCCAAAAGGCGCGCCTTTCCAAATGCAATATTACCTCAAGGTGCTTCAATCCCTTTGCTTCCCACATATCAATGATACTTCGAACTTTGCGCTTCTTCCTTCCTAGTGTACTCTGCACCACACTACACCAATAATACACTAGATGCAAACCCGAAAAATATTCCTCAGGCTTTGCACTACACTACACTAGCCCTCAATTACTTATGCATCAACAACATCAAGACAGCAGCCCGCTAGCCTCCAATGGAGCTTAAACGAACATCTAGTGCAGGCATACAAGCTTATAAAAGGATCCTCTCCGCATAAAGCCCCACATAATCCTAGCTATCGCGTCCAATTGGCCCCCCTCGGGGTCGTCACATATTGGCAGACTCCATCCACTCCACAAGACTGAATCCACCATCTCGGCCTTGCTGCCAGCCTCCCTTTCCCAGCTTCTTGATGCGGCTTAAGCTGGGGGCCTTTGGCGGGCGCGGTCAAACTGGGTACGTCGTAGACGGACGTTGCAGCCAGGTACCGGGGAGGGAAAAAATTGCGTCCGTGAACACATTAGTTGAAAGAAACTTTTTTTGGTGGCGATCGAGATGTGGTCACGTTGGCACTAGTCATGTTACCTGGTTTCATTTCCCCGGACCTCAAGGTTGATCTCGAGCGGACCCGGGCGACCAGTCGAAATCGACGGAGCAAGATGTCGGTGAACGCGATGATGTGAGGGGCCCTGTTCCTGACACCTGTGACCAGAAGGGGACACAAGACCTCCAAGTGGCTACAGATGAACACGATTATAGGGAAGGGGAATGTGTCTTACCAACTTCCATGGGACTTGGGATTCCGAGTCAACGACTCTTATCCCTACTAATTCGTAACACGATAGTCTACAAGGCTCTGGAATGGAACGCCAGATCAAGTTTCACGGTAGGATGAAGAACCTACCTCGAACGTCCAGCCACAGGCAACCAAGGGAAGGACCAAGAAAGTACAAAGTAGTCTATTCAAAACACCAATTCACACCTCCCCAACATCAAAATCATGTACACTCCCAAGATGTCCAAGAAACCCATCCCTCGTAAACTTAACCCTACAACCCATGTGACCAGGCCCCCTCTCCACCCTACACCTCACGCAATAATACCCCCAACTAGCCCCGCCACCGCCGCGTCCTGCTCCCCGCACCGGGAAATACGGCGCCTCGATAACAGCCATGAACCTCCTCGGCTCCGCCCTCCTAAAATCCCCCGACGGATCGAACGCCCGCGCCGGCGGATCCGGCACTGCGGCCAACACGGCCAACCTGTCAAACAACGGGATCCTCACCCCCGTCTCCCGACCGGAGACGCTAAGGACGCGGGGTAAATCTTCCAGCTTCACATGCGGCGCAGCGACGGCGGTGTACTCAAGGACCTGGTCAAGCTCCAGCGGGAAGTACTCGACGTTGCTTGTGAAGCAAGGGTAGCATACGCGCTCGCAGGTGATGAGGTAGAGGTAGTTGCCGAACCCGTCGTGACAGGCTGCGCAGCGGCTGGATGAGAGGGTGCTGTGCAGACGTTTGAGGTCGAAGGAGGTGGCGCCGAGGCAGAGGATTGCGCGGAGGACGTTGGGGCAGTGCTTTATCACCTTGGTGTATTCGGTGAGAGAATCGACGAGCTCCATCGCTCGGTTATTCACACGACGGAAGGTCGTTAGTGTCACCAGATCAAGGGAGAGTAGTATAGCCGTTATAATCTCGGAGGGAAGATCATCCAGCTGGCCGAGAGAATACCGTGCTCGGGTGGTGTGTCTTCCATTGTCGAGCGGGCATCTCGTTTCGAGACCGGCTCCGTCGAGGGTCAATTTGAGTCCTCCTCGGATCCGAGATGCGTGGGCCCTGAGATGCTCTGGTAACGAGTCCTCATTCATAATGGGCCGAACTTAGTGCATGTAAAATCGGATTGTAAGTCAATTCGTAATAGCCTCATCCCTTTTTGTAAGTCCCCAGCCGCCAAGTCCATAGTTCACTGCCGAGTAACCTATAGATGCCTGAAAAGGCGTCACGTGTCTGCACATGAAGCGGGCGACTGGCTTCTGCGAATTATCTATCGAGAATGCATTTGGCAGGTTGAGCCGCAGCATACATGGCATGACTGGACATCCAGAAACCCCCTAATTCACAACGGGGTGCTGGAGATGGTCACTTGGAAGAGAGGACCGTTCGTTATCGTCGCCCAAGCAGACTATTTGGTCCAGTCGATTGACCAGGACCACCCCAAGGAAATTTCAAACAACGCTTTTCGGCTATGCCATCCCATATCTCTCGTCGAACGAACTCCCCATTCGCGGGTAGATCTAGACCATGTATGCTCGAATGATCCTTGACCAACGGCAATCCACCAACAATGCAGAGGAGACCCCATGTGTGGACTAGCAGATGTTATCAAGTGTACCTTTTACCACTCCTCCGTCCTCGCACTACGCTTTTCCAGGACATCTACCATCCAAAACACATTTACCCTATTCCGTTAACTTCTGACAATACGGGCCGAAATTTGCATCGAGAGGTTTATATCAAACTTTATGGATCCTGACGACGGCACGAATGATGATAATGTAGCCGTCAACAACACGGTTGTCTCCCATAACGCCGGCGACCTCGTTGGTACCAAGTCTCGAGGGCCTCAATGAGCTTCAACTCTTGAACCCTCCATCATCCCCTTAACTGCCAACGTTGTGGTAAGTCTCATAGCGATCTATGGACCCTGATACGAGATAGACTCGATCGCATCAGGGTAGAGCGTGGCTTGAAGGAACCACTCAACCTTTCCCGCATTGGGGGTATTTTCTACACCCTTCTCAATCTTAATAGCCGCTTCCTCAATACATCAACGAAGGTGTCTCCAATGAACCACTTCTTCTCCTCAGGGTCGGTAACTCCAGACGGACCAGCCACGAATCTTTCCCGCGACAGGGATGTCGACGCCGAGATACTTGCCGATTGCCTCCTTGGCTCCGGCGCATTCATCGAGTCTTATAAGGCAGTGGTCTACAAGAACGGCATGGGATCGACTGCCAGTGGCCTCCTTTATACCTTTTACCGCTACGGTGCTGTCAACTCCACCCGAGGCAGCACCCAAAACCTAATCCTCGTCCCAAATAAAGCTTCGGATTCGTGTAATATTTTGATCTATAAAGTTGGACATAATCTAGTTCGGCATATAACCGCAAACCATCAACCGCAAAGCTGCAAAGCAATCACTTTTCCCAAAAAGGAGTAGCACCCTCCTCGTAAGCGGTTGCGGGTCCGGCGGATAGAATGATTTCCTTGGGGCGGAACTTGAGATTCTTCACCTTCACCGTGCTGGGTTCCTTCTCCGAATAGATATTTAGTGATGAGAGGGGTGTACTTCGTACTGGCTGTCGAAATCGACGACTAGCACGGTGTCGAAGGTTTGGTGAGGCGCATCGGCCTGCTGGATGTCGGCGGACTCATGATGGCGATATCCTCAAAGCAAGGGAACTACAATAAACTAGTTACAGAGGGAAACTAGATGAAGTTGAGATGAGTTTGTGTGGCGAGAGCTGCCTAGTATGAAAGCTGGCAGCCATGTTTGTTTGCGGAGCAGATGTCTCACCAGAAATCCGTTGGCGGTTGGGGACGCGGTTTGGAGGGTAAAGCGGCATTGCTCACTTCTCATGTGCCCTGGACCCCAGAACACAACCTCAAAAACGAACAAAGGAAGGTTTCTGGAAACACACCGCCCATTTCGCCTTCTGATGTTGTTGTGTGTACTTTCCCTCTCGTCAACAGTACCAACAATCTACTTCCCAGAGATCCGTCCACATGACCTCGAAATTCCCGACAATTCCGACTCAACACAGCCCAGCCTCCAGCCTCCCATCCTTGATGTCCAATCAACTTGCGCAATTCTCAAGATTAAAGACAATGCAGGTACGCGCAACGCAACGCCTCAGCCTCGACAGAAAGGTAGGTCACAAGCACACTTCGAACCCGTGACATCACCACTTTAAAGTTTGGTCCCGGTATGTCGCCCTGAGTGGTTCTCCTCCAGGGCATGGAAAATGTGACTCCCTCAGTGTGAGGACGCAAGGAATGTAGTTTGGTCCAGAGGGCTGCTCTCCAGGATTCAGATGTTGTCTTGAGTGGATTCCCTATGACGTAGGGCGGTCGGATGCCACGGCTTGGCAGGGGCGAGGTCTCCAGTGCTGTGATAGTGCTTCTTTGCTAGTTTACAATATGGTTGTAGTGTGGAAATAATCTTTGGTTTCTATAGGTTCGGTCGATGGTCCTTATCCCCTTCTTGATGAGAGAAGACTCCCGTCCATGCGTCGTGCGTCTAGACAGGGGCCCCTGTTCGCTACTAGAGCGAATAATATGTAGAAAATCTATCCTAATAAGAAATTGATAATAAATAACATGACGGGAAAAAAGATTAGCAAAAAAAAAAAAAAAAAAAAAAAAAAAAAAAAAAAGGAAGAAATCACAAGACAACTGTAATAGAAATGTTACGGGAAAAATGCCAAAAACTTTCAAAAAAAGGAATGGACTTCCCCACCAAGGGTCGAACTTGGAATCTTCCGATTAACAGTCGGACGCCTTAACCATTTGGCCATGGAGAATCGCTTATGTGCTTGTTGGTTGCATATTCCACAAGTGGTCATTTAAAGCGATGGTTTTCTCCACTTTGCATGATGACTAAGAAAACCATCCAGGGCAGCAGACATCATCTGAGTCCTTGACTTGGGATCTTCGGACCGAAGAAAAGAAAAAGAGGAAAAAAGGGGGCCTCGGACAGATATTAGAGCGAGAAGCAGCCTTGCACCTTCACATAATGAGATCAATTCGATATACATGTAAGAAATTAGATGAGCTTTGAAAATGTACTGATTATTGCTGCCGAAGAACACATATTAAGCCTATCCCGCAGACAGCAGCGTCTCGAAGACAATAATCTGAACCAGACGACTGTCCCATCTCTCGAGATGATAAGACTCTTCATACTTCTCTTTCTGCCAACTGAATAGTGATACTTGGGAAATGCAAACGCGGAGTCAAGGGGCACTGGCGAAGCTTCTTTAACTGAAATCGATTCTGATTCACGAATTAGCCCATGCGTATCTCGTTGACCAAACGTTTCCGAGCTCTCTGTAAAGGTGTCGCAATGTTTCGAACCAAAATGGTCCCCGTATCATCTATCCCCCCCTTTTCCTTTGCAGCGCCGAATCGAAGAAGCCTCGAGGGGACACCCTGGTAACAAACAAACAAAGAGAAGGGAATAAAAGGAAAACAACAAAAGAGAGGGGGATCCGCAAAACATGACGAGACGGCCAGGCGGAGAATAACAAGGAAAATTAAAGACGCCCCCCAGAGAAGCCCCCATCAAAGTTTTACACTTGAATACGCCTGCCCTCGTTCAACAAGACGGCCATTAGTGCCTTGCCAAAGCCGTTTTTTTGCCAATCTAGCTGACAAGTCCCTTCTTCGACTTTGACGGCAAACTCCAGTTAGTTCTGCTGGCCAGCGATGGTGGACGGGAGCAGGGGATTAACTCACGAGATGGTCCCAGAGAGTCTTGGTGAGAATATCTGGCATGGTATAGAGGTCGATGGAGAATTCGCCCGCTTCGGTAAGGTCATCAACTATTAGTATGGAAATTTGGAGAATTAGGATTGGGATCGTCAACATAGGAAAAAGCACTGGCAAGACAGCAAAAGGTCTAGACTGTGCATCTCGCCCACAAGTCGAAAGGGGCATAACGGCTAGAAAAGGCTCCGGAACGAATTGAGGAACTTGGAACTTACCTTCGATATCACTCTTGATGTAAGTATCGGCGTTCTTGTAATCGTTGATGATTTGGATGACCTTGAGCAGGTCGTCCTCCTCAAGCTTCTCCATCGCATCGGCGATCTTCTCGTAGTCATACTTCTGCGAGCTAGACTTCTTCGAGGCAATGCCCTTCTTCTTGGGACGATCGTCGTCGGTGGGGAGAGGTCCAAGTTCCCGGAGCTTCTCTTGAAGGGCTTGCGAGGGGTTCTTGAAGGAGACACTTCGGACGACTTCGTACTCGTTCTTCTGGAAGTTGAGATCATGAGGGACCGAGATCTTGGACTTCTCGGTGTAGTAACAATCGATCGTCAACTCAAACTCTCCCCATCCCTCGTTCTTACAGGTGTAGGGGGGTTTCGTGAAAGCTAGTTTGAAAAGACTTTTTGTCAGAAGTCTGCTATTGAATATCTTGACTACTAGAGCAGGGAAGAAGGCCACGCCGTAGAACTCGGAGAAGCACTACAAGCGCAGTCACCCTAGTGATACATACTCTGAACAGGATTCTCAAAGGAGGGGTGGAGGTTGTAGACAACCTTGTTGAAGCACTCGGCAGGTTGCTCATTGCCGGCATCATCAACCATGAACAACTTGATGCTCCACTCCCTCATGGGGAACTCCGCAACGGGAGAAGGCTTGTCACTGCTCAAAAGGAAAGTAGGTCAGTCACTGAGGTTTAGATCAGGGAGTATGGGGTAGCTCGTTCGTTCTTCGGGAAGGCCGGGGGGCGAGGCTCCCCACGACGCTAGACCTCGCCTTGGTTCCCCCGGTTCCCAGGTCGAAGCCAGAGGGGAGAGGAGGTGGTGTAGGGCTACTCACATAATATGCTGCTCGGTAACGAGCTTAATTTTCCTCTGAATGGAACACATTGTTTGGTTAGCTTCCAGAATCCGTTTCAACCATGCAGTGGGTTCTCTGGTAGTAGTAAAGAGCTAGGATTGTACTTCAATCTTCTTTGACTTGGCCCTGACGATGAGAATAGGAACAATTTTAAGGTCAGACATGGACTTCTTGTGAGACCTGGTCCTGAGGTTGTAAGGGCTCTCAGCTCGAGGGCCTGTGGTGGATGGGACAGAACCACGATACTCCGCCTCTGTGTCTGGAAGACCCAGAGTGCGGGATCGGGATCGTGTGTTTCTCGAAGGTGGCATCTTCACTCGAAGCGGAAGTGGAATCTGGAACGTGGGAATAGATATGTAGGAATAGGGTAGAGGACAAGGAAATTGTCAAAGGCGATGACTGTGTTCAGAGTGTAGAGCTCAGAGCACGAAATAAAGGAATCCAGCTGTGGTGTGTGAGGGAGGTAAACACACGAACGTTGGTTAGGGCCAGGCAGTGTCCATGGCTACATGATTTGTGTGGAATCTGGACTCTGGAATCTGGTCGAAGGCCAAAGGGGCTGGCAATCATGTTGGGAAAGAGCGACTGTGTGGCAGGTGGAGTGATGAGGCTTGAAGTTTTGCTGGCAAAGGCTGAGAGCCTTTTCTTTCATGAGGAAGGTGCGAAGGTGGTCACTGGAAGGCTGAAGATGGGATGAAGTAGCACAAAAACATGAAGAACATAGAGAGGGATGAGACCAGAAGGAGTTCTAAGAAGGTGGGCACGAGATGGAACTAGTGATGGTGGTAATATTGGTGTGTAGGCCAGAGGACATGAGATGTCTAGAGATGGGATGGGCAGTCCAGGCTAGAGTCGATGAAGCTGTCATGAATTTACAGGGCGTAACGGATGTGTACATTGTTGATGAATCATGGCAACACTTAAAAAAGACAGGTGACCGGGCGAGGCAGAATGGAAGGACTCGGGAACGATGAATCCAAAGCGCTGTGGTAAAAGAGAAAATCAAGGGGCAAGGCGAGAAGAAAGAAAAGGAACGCCCCAAAAGAAAAAAAGAAACGCGACCATACCTCGACAATCATCGTGCTCTGCGCCGGTTAGCAAAGGGGATAGAGACAGCTATGATGGGAAGCAAAAATGCAAATCAATTGGTGCTTCGGGGAGAAGCAAAAAAGTGGGAGTCGGAAAAAAAAAAGTTAGATTTGCAATAGACGGATCAGATTTGATGGTCGTGGCAAAGGTCCGTGATGTGATGCAGGGAGAGCCAAGAAGACTGAAGGTGGTGACGAATTTTAAGGTGAGGCCGGGGAAGAGGACTGGAACCGGCGGATCGAGGTAGACGAGTAGAAAGACTGCAGAGGCAGAGATGGAGATTTGATGGAGGCAGGAGGCGGCGACAAAGGCAGAGATCAATGATGGAGAGAGGCAGGGCAGAAAAGTGATGGGGAAGGCCGGAAGAGTCGAGGCAGCTACTTTGACACTACCACTTCACACACTATGTTCACCACACAGTTTGGTTTGTTTGTTAGCGGCCAACAGGCTCGGGCTATTTCTTCGAGGACGCGACGAATTCGATTCCGAATTGATGTGGGCGGATCAATGTAAATACCAACATTTGCTGTTCCGGCTTTTGTGGGAGGGAAGCAGCTTCAATAGAATCCCAACCGCGACTCTCTGTTGAGCAGGATCCAACAGTCAGGTTTGTCAGGGCCCAGGTCCAGGGTGGCATTACAACTGTCTGGTGGTCGATGCAGGAAAAGATGGCGATTCGCAGGTGGCGATAGAGGCACAATCAATCCAAGTTGCAAGGTCCAAATCAAATGAGAACTTCAATGTTGGGACGTAGGGGGACACTTTTATTCTGGAACCAACATCGAAGACGGCCGACACTGGACAGGACAGTTCGAACAAACTGCGACGTCGCATCATGACCATGAGCACGAGTACCTTGTGCGTATCCATTTATCACTAGAGCTGGTCACCAATTTGAACCTGGGAGTCAACGACCTCGTACAGAACCTCAGAACCTTCGGTCAACCATCTCGGCATTTCCCACTCCTCGAAGACTCATTCATTCATTTTCGGTCTCTCGAAATCCATTAATCCATCAATGGCGATATTTACCAACCTGCCATGTCTGTCCAGCGAGGTGGGAGCCGGTGCATGAAGGCCACATCTCAGCATCTGTAATAGCCTCCCTTCAGGCCGCTGTGCTGGTTCTTTCACAGGTTGAGGTTCCACTCAAACAGTCAATTGGAGCATATCAATTTTGGTGGAGGCTTCGTGCGAGGTAAATCAGGTAGTGTTTTCCCGCTCGTTCTCCTTTTTTTTCTTTCAATCTTCCATCATCTGCATGTCTTCTCCATATCTTCTGCACATGCATGCAGCTTGGCCAACACGACGAAGTACGGTCGTTTCCGAGTCATATTGACAGAAGCATCAATCAATCCAATAGCCGTTCCGCCCTGCCCTTAATACCGAACAGTGGCCGCCAGCCATACCTTCTCCTGTCACGTCAAAAGAACAGTTTCTCGCTTCCTCCCGTCAATTCTCCAGACCCTGGATCACGTTAGTCCGATTATACTACAGGGAATGAGGACGACTATGGATATCCACTGCTTCGAGCAGCTCGCGGCCACAGAGCCGATCAACGTAGACCTTTAGAACCCTTGACTGAATGAAGCCAGTGAGCTCGAAGTAAAAAGACAGGCATCGCCTATTTCCGATATTCCTCACGAATTTAGGGGCAAAATCTCCGAAGACCCTGTCGTTGGAGCCCAATCATCAGGACGGCAATTTTCGAACTGATGTTAAAATATGTTGAGCACTTTTTTCACTTTCCACGATTTATCCAGCTCCGACATCGAGAGACCTCGCCCCGTACCGCGTCACGGAGGAACTCTTCTCGGAACCCTTCTCGACTTTCTCGTCCCTTTCAAGGGGGGTTTGGCGAGCCTCGTCGCGGTAATGGAATTGAAACAAGCATCGAACATGAAATGACTTTCCAATAATAGCTTAGAACTGCAATTCCTACGGAAAAACAAGCTTCAAACAAGAAACCCAGGGCAAAGCCATAAATCTTGACCGTGCAAAAAGAGTCTTCATTTCTCTTTCTATCCATATTCTCAAAACAGCAATCTATTGCACATCTCATTTTATATAGGAAACAGTGGACAAGGAAAAGTCTTGTAGAGGGGGAATCGTTTCTTTTCTCTCTTTTGCTGTGGGATTGTGGTGTGTATATGTATGTAATCTTTCTTCCTGACTACATATCCCTATTACCCTGAACCCTTCTTCTTATCTACGCCGCATATAGGAACATGGCTCTCAGGGGGAAGTGCATTGTGTGATGGGGGGAAGGGGGGAGATGTGAGGGGTGTAAGGCCAAAATAGACAAAGAAAGGCAGAAAAGTGAAAATGCAAGTGCTTCGTTCCCTTTCATGCCCAGTTGGTTCAAGCTTGTCGTGGTGAACCTAGATGTCCAACGATTACTGCCTTCGTTATTTTCTTTTTGTGCTATTCCCCGAATTCAAGAAGCCTCCTCAGCAGGCTTCTCCTCATCATCAGCCTTCTCAGCCTCCTCCTCAGACTGCTTGAAGAGGGCCTCGTTCTCCTTTTGTGCCTTGAGGAAAGCGTCCTTGAAGAGGTTGGCGTCTATCACCATTGTCAGTATCTCCAAGCCTTTTGTTTCTGGATGTTCCATGTCGTGGAATGATAGCTAAAACATACTCTCAGAGTTGGCGAATCGGATGGCAAGAGTGACGGCCTCAGCCTCACCCTCGCTAACGTCGGCGGCGGCGTTCCACACCCAGCTTCGGTCGGAACCGACATTGGGGGAAAGCTTCATCTCGGGGACGACTATCGAAGAACAAAAAGAGTTGAGTTAGCAAAACACCATTCCCATCCCTCCCCGTTCCATGACTGGACCCCCATATCTCAACCCCATCGGGAGAAATTGGGAACGACTCCCGGGCATGGACCTACTATAGTGGTTCGCGCAGACCTTGAGGGTCTTGTCACGTCGCATCACAAGACGCGTCTTGCCATTCTCCTTGTGCTTCAGCAACCGAACGTCACCGGTACCTCGCTCCTTCCACTCGGTGGACTCCTTGACGAACTTGAAGAGCTTGGCGCGCATCTTGAACACCTGCTCCTCCGACTCCTCGTTGGTCTTGGTCTCGACCTTCTCGGTGAGCTTGATGACGGGGTCGAAGTGGACGTCCTCGGACTCGGGCGCTTGCTCCTCCTATTTCGGTAGCCACGGATATTAGTACCTCGTCGTCATCTCCAAGGGGATGTGGGAAAGAAGAGCCAAGGGATACATACGTCTTCAGCCTTGGACTCGCCAGCAGCGGCGGCGGCAGCCTCGCGCTGGGCCTTGGCGCTTCCGGAGACATCGCCCCTGTCCTCATCCTCCTTCTTCTCCTTCTTCGCACCACCGCCGAACATCGAGAAGACGGCAGAAGAGGTGACGGAGGGGGCCTGGTATCCGTCAAAAACAATGAAACATTAGCATCCGCGAAAGAGAAATCCCATCCCGATCTGCAGGGCACAGGGCACTCAGCGGGGTTCGCGCCCCGCAAAGCGACCACTCCCCGCCATCCCTGTCTGCTTGATGTTCGATGTCAAGCAGCAGTCGCCATCATTGTAAACTCACCTCGCTGGCGCCCTCAACCTCGGGCTTGGTGGTCTCGGCGGCAGACATTATGGTATTCGGGATCGCAAAAAGGGGGAGGGAGTGGGAGATGGTTCAATTTTCGCAAAAAAATGAGTCGCTGCTAAATAAAGCCTGCAGTTCCCACCTTTCTTGGTCAATAATCGCCTCAATGCACGAAAGAGCGCAGATGATGTGGCTTCTGAAATCGAAAAGAGAAGAAATGTAAAAGAAATTACAAAGAGATGCTTGGGACTTGGTGTTTGTGTTGTTCAAGATCAGGGAGAAGGAACAGCCGTGGGCGCCGAAAAATCTTGCCCCTCTATCAAAACAATCACGCAGGTGGGGTGCTTCCTCAAAGCGGACATCGCCAGACAGGGCAGGGAAAATATTAGGCGGCAATCTCCCTGGCAGAGGAGAAGATGATGCAACACCAATGAGAACCAACCCAGCGGAGACCAGCCTGACCTCTCTCCCTTCTCCTCTTTGCCTCCTCCAATAGCAGTAGAAAAAAACGGGAAACATAAACAAACGTACCTGGTCGTGAAGATGTCGGCTTGGACAGACGCGGGAGAGTCGAGGAAGTGAGATAAGGTGGTTTGGTGGGGTTCAAGAGGGGTAGTTTGAGCGATCGAGTTGAGGGCGGTAATAGACGAACGAGCACGAGGTTTGCGAGGGGTTTGGGTGGGCTGCACCTGCTGCCCCTTGGCTGGTCTGTCCTGTCCAATTTGGGTCCAGTCACAGCACAGTGTCCGCTGAGTCCTGCCCGCCCCTCTCTGCTTTAGCCCATATTATGTATTTAATGGGGGAGCAAGGGAGCAACTGCCCCTCCTCCTCGAGTCCTCTCACTGCCCACACATTGCCCAGTCCAGGTCTTCTCAGATCGCTGCTTCTGGACTCGTCGGATTGCAAATCCTCTTGCATATCATCAGTGCTACCGCACGAAGCGCCGTTAAGAAGCCACATAACTACAAGTTCTCGTGACTTCGAAGCAAGGATTATGATTGAACGTACATCGAACTAAGTCCGTCACTGAACGCACCAACTCAACTTGACATGCACGTGGAGAGAGCGAGCGAGAGAGAGAGAGACAACCTGAAGATGAAAAGGACAGTATATCATATCAATGAGAAACCTGCGGTTGAGCGAGAAGAGTTCTTGTTGACTAAAACTAACATCCATGCCCCTTGGCGGCCCTGTGACAAGCCATGTATCTGACCTTGATGGATAACAATTCACGAGAGGGCTCAACATTGCAAAGCAGTTGAAAAAAAAAAAAAAAAACAATACCTCAACTCCAGTTCCGTCCATTTCGCCTTCCATTCCATTCCAGCCATCCGTAGCGTATCATTGTGTTGCAAAGTGTGCGGCATCGAGGTATTGTTGTAAGAAACCCCAAACGAGAGAGAGAGGGAAAAAAAAAAAAAAAAAAAAAAAAAAAAGGAAGAGACAAACAATAATTCGTCACAACCGACCCCGTATCTGATACCGTGGTCCATTCGAAGGCACCCACAACTGCTCCTAAACTTCGTGGATGCATTCCTGAGCCCAGCGACCGTATCCCGAACCTCGCCGGTCCTTGCAGCGGGATCCCTCCCGCCGGCCCTTACGCCAAACTCGAGAGCGGAACTCCCTGGCCCACTGGACATCGTCCGTCTTGGACCTCATGAAGCGCCTAGCGTGGTGCAGATACTCGTCGTGCTCCTTGCTCTTGCCTTGCAGCTTGAGCCACAACAGATTGGCCGATATCTGGGCCCGGAGAAGGGCAATCTTGGCATCATCTTGCGCATCGAGCACCCTGCGGTCCCACTCGGCTTTGAGCAGGGCGGGATCCGTTACGCTCTTAGTCTCGCGCCAGGCTTCTCGAATTTGCTCATTAAGAGTACCAAGGTAGCCTTCGACGAACTTGCGGCTGTGCGACACGGCATCCTGGGCCTGATTTCCCAGATCTCCGGCCCACTTACGGGCATCCGGGAGACCATGTTGCTTCACAAACTCGCCGGCCTCCTTCAAAGAATCGGATACCACATCTGCAATGTCCTGAGCGAAATCCACAGCTTGGTCAAAGATACTCTTGCCAAGATCAACCTCAAAGGTCTCGTTCACCTTAGGTTTCCGAGTCGTGATGACCGACACATTGAGAACGCCATAAGCATCCTTCTTCGGGATCTCAATCAGAATTCCATCGTCCACTGAGGAGAATTTTGCCTTAATCGAGTCCTGACCTCGAGCGACCTCGATGGAAATAGAGTCCTTCGCAAGCCAGGATAGCTTCGTCGTCTGGGGCATCTTGACTAGAATCTCACGCGGGCTTTGGAGCTCCGCAGAGCATATGCCTTTGCCATCCGTCTTTTCAGACGGGCGCGTAGGTGGGGAAGGGAGGAGTAATGTACTGGAAGTATTAGGTGAGACGGACGTGGTCTTAGTTTCCGAGACAATGACTGTCTTCGTAGAAGTGTAGTTAATGATGAGAGTCGACGTGGTGACGGATACCATGGTGGTATGCACGACAGGCACAACGGGCTGGGTGGTCACTACCCCGGTCGTGGAGGTAGCTGGTATGAGACGATCCCGGAGGAGGAATGCACAGATAGAAACCAGACCAACCACGGCCAGTCCGTGTACCAGGCTGTAAGAACCTTGTACGACATAGTTGAGGAGCTCCTGTTTCGACTCGAAGCCGAGCCAAGGCCATGCCTTCTTCAAACCGGGAGGGTTGGGAGGCATTGCCGACGGCATCTTTAGGCTTTCCTCCGCATAGTGGATCGAGGATCGTCGTTCCTCGTCCTCGTCATCATTCTCTCCCTTCTCTAACCGGTAGGTGGCGGCAGAGGCAGCCACATCTTCCAGCTGACTGCTATCTAAGTGCGTGGGAAAGTCGGGGAACTTCGAGAGTGGCTCCTCCTCAGCGTCGGAGTCGCTGTCGGTGTCATTTCCCTCGTTGCCGCCGGTATGTTCCTCGCGCGCATCTTGTATATGGCTATACGCCATGTCCTCACTGGCGTGGCTATTCCGATCATCCTCATCGTCGTCATCGTTCGTGTGCTCCGTGCCGATGAGGCTATGCACATCATCACTCTGCAGGTAGTCGCTCGAGCAGATGGATTCGGCAGGGAACCCGTCCTGGCTCTCCGTGTCGGTGTTGTTGATAACTTCGTAAGCTGATTCCGAGAGCATGCTGCTCTCCTCGACCGGATCGGCCGACGCGGGCGGTGGGTTCATTATATCTGGATGGCTCGATGAGACCCAGTTAGCGAGACGTCGATCTCCCTGTGGTCGCGGAAACCTCAAGGAAGGCTCCGATGTAGACAGCGCAGGGTGTATTCTAGGAGCTCGGATCGTGGAGTCGCGGTCGACTGGTGCCGAAGCATCAGTGTTGCCTTCCATTCCGGCTTAGGAAGTAGAGTTCCAAATGACCCCACTTCCAGGCTATGTCATGCTTTGCTCCAGACCGATATGGTCAGGGCAGAGAGGCTTGAGAGATGACTGGTGATTGAAAGGACCAGCAACAAAGACGAAAAGCAGAAGATGGAAAAGAAATAGGGGACGCGGCCTCAAGTTGAAGAAAACACAGTCGGCTGCTATTATCGTGAGGGAAGGAAGGAGGGGGCGGGGTTATTCGGGAGAGCAGGTGGCGGACTCGGAGCGAGACAGGGATCAGAAGAGCGTGTGTATTTCGACAAGTCCGAGTGCAGAAAAAGGACAGCAAAGAAGAAAAAAGAAAGAGAAGAACCAACCGGTGGCCAAGTGTCTTGAGAAGAAGAAGGTCAGAAAGGATTAAAATGTTGAACTAGGATTTATCCTTTCTACGAGTAGGAGACGGTCGGGGGATACAGTGCTAGCTGCGATGATCTGGAGATGGAAGCCTTGAATGTTCTAAAGTTGTCGTGTATTAGTTTGGAGAATGCCGATCACTGGACGGGGGAACAAGTTGAGGTGGGGTTCATTAGGCCTGAAGGCAGCCTGGCGCGGCCTAGAAGGGCCTCGAGTATCGAATGAGGGTACCTACACAGCGAATATTGCGGCACGGGTGACCTAGCGCGCGTGCAAGAAACAGGGGTGGTACTCAGGCCTTGTCGTCTTGGTCCTGGTGACTCGAGATAAGACCACTCAGAGCAAGCAGCAGCGAGGCCAACTCACTAGTTCAATGTAAGCGTGCAGAAAGTGAAGATGGCCCGAAAAGATCAGTGATGCGAGAAAAGAAAACACGAATCCGAAAGTTGTTTTCTTTGGTTGCGACCTGTGATAATAATGGGAAGGAGAAAGGACTCGGACCCGTTGGCGCTTATTAGGAAGTAGAGACTTGGGCTTAGTGGCATTTCCAGTTGATACTACCAACCACGATAAGGTAGGGCGATACCGGCTGACGACATCACCAGCTTCCGAAGTATCATCAAGCTAGCACAGGCACTAACAGTCGGTACTGCCTCCAGAGGTGTCATTCCAGCTTTCTATGGCAAAGCTTCCAGTAACCACAGATAATAGTTACCGAGCTGTTAGGCAGAAAAGGCCAGGCGGGGTATCACATCTGGTCGACCATAGGCTCGGAGCAACCTGACAGCCAGCATTGAAATTGATTGAGCCCACTACATCATCCTACATAAATCCCCGGACCAGGCTGGATCCACTGGATCCGTACAGCTGGTATCATCTGCGGAACCATGCCAAGTCTCTGGTCTCATAGAACTCGATTTCACTTGGATCAATCCATTGGAAATTTGGACGAATGCACAATTGTACTATCCCGGATGCTTCTCGCCTCGACAATTGGGATGTTTGGGTCCTTTCCCGCTTTGGAGGGAACCCTCCAGGTACATGGACAGCGGAACGAGTGGGATGAGCTTCTGCCAGCAGTACCCCACATCTCAAATCCACGCCGGACTGGGCAGAGGACCTCAAAATGCTCGAAGTAACATCGGAATGGAGGTTATCTTGTCACTAGGCTCAAATGTGCATTGATGGTTGAAACCTCGATTAGAAACCAGGAATATTTTGACTTCTCTTATTTCCTAGAACTCCGTGGCAGAATTGCCCATAACATCAAGAGGAAAGAGGTCTATAGTACAAGATGGCGTAAATTAACGACCGCCCGCGTTAGCGTTTAAGCGGCGAGAGAGGATATGGGTAAAGTACTGGCGTGACGTGGGTGGAGGGGGAAACAAAAAAGTAACAACAACGTGTAGAACTAGCCAGCCCATACATGTGAAATCATAAGTCTATCGATAGAACACGTCATGACAGGAGGTAGAAACCCAATTTTTCCAAACGACAGGTCGTCCCAAACACACAGGCAACAAACAAAAAAAAAAAAAAAAAAAAAAAAAAAAGAGAAGAGGAAAGCCAATCAGAGACCTGAAAATCAGGGTTCTGACTGACTCGTATGGGGTATCGCAAATCCTGGACAAAAACAACAAAGAAAATTCCGGCGCCAAGGTAGAAGTGAGGCAGGTGTAAATTGGCAAGGTCGCCTATTTCCGGCGATCCTACGGAGTAGGAATGTCGGCGTTCCCTTCTTCAAGGGTTGTATGAGGCGGAGTAGTGTTGCGGACTGCAGTCGATTACAGGATGTAATGCTTCCTGAAAAGTGACTGTAACGAGTCGGTGCCAAAGGATTCGTCGTCGGGAATCATCTCGATGATACCAGTCAGGTTCGCAAAGAGATCTCCTTGGTTCTTGTAGGCAAGAACCGCAGGGACGCCAGCGTTGTCGAACTCGATTTCCTCGTAATGTACCTTGACAAAATGGACGGCGGTGTGCCTGGAGACGAGAGGGACAAGAGCGCGTTCAATCTCGGAAGATACAGGGCACTGGAGAGAAATCTACGTTAGTATCTCAACAATGACACGGGGCGTAATGGTGATTGTGGGGCCAGAAGACGGAGGCGGGGGAGGGGGAGGGGGAGGGGAGACCGTACCTCATGGTCATAGACGTAAACGACTACAACGGTTTCGCGCCCAACCTTTTCGATAGCATCGAGGTATCCAAGAGCATCGACCTCGTCGAAACGTCCATATATCCTGACGCTAGGGCTGGTACGGCGGGGGCGCACGGCGCGGTTGGCCTCGCTCTCGAGCTCCCTGCGGCGGCTCTCGCGCCATTGCTGGAGGAAGGCCTCTTCGTCGGCGAAGTCGCTACCGCTGATATCACCATCGGTCTCGCTATCACCGGAGGTGTACTTGGGCTGGGCATTCTGGTGGGAATCGAGGCCGAAGATGGAACGCCTGGCGGTACGGATAGCGTTCCTGAACCTCTGCTTCTTGGCCAACTCGTAGGACCTAGCGTCGGCGATGACACCCTTGACGCCGGTGGAGCGGCCATCGTCGAAGCTGGCAGGAGGGAGCTTGATATCGGCAGTGGCGCCGCCACCGTTGAGCCTATCGAAAGCGGGGATCCTCATGGCTGCGTCTATCTGATTGTTGCGGTACTCGTCTTCTTCGGTAAGGTCTTGGGTGCGGTTGAATCTTTCTTCGTCGCGGTCTTCGGGGTGGACACGAAGTTCGTCTGCTGCGTTGTTGCTAACGAGACGAGAGAATTCTTCTTGGGCGGGATTGGGATCCGACATGATGAAAGAGGAGAAGAGAGAGGAAACGGTGGATCGTGGAGGGCGGGTAAAGTAGTAGTTTTATAATTGTATGGGACGACAGACAACTCTTTGCGCGTACACAGGGTCCTGGGGTTGAGTAGGGTTGGTTTCTGAACAATATCAAAAACAAGCAGGATTATAATGGGGACTCGGGACTCGCGGTACTTGAAACAGGGCCAGCCAATGACTGAGTTGGTTGTAGTCAAGGTTGATAAGTGACGAGAGAAGTCGGGCGGGTTTTGTGGATGAGAAAAGGGGGGGTCGTGTGTGGATGAAGGTGTGTGTGCCGGGCAGGGGTTCAGGAGAAGAAGAGATGGGTCGAGTGGTGACGAGAGAAAGAGCGAGAGTTGTGACAGAAGGGATCGGCAGAAGGTGTGCGATTTGGATGTGTGGGGGGTAAGGCGATCAACAAGTCGGTATTTGCCAATCAGAACGAGGATCGGAGATGGGCGAAAAGATGAGGGAAAGCGAGACAAGGATCGATGGGGTATGGACGATCAAGAATGGAGCAATGAGCACGGAGATGTCAATGGAGAGAAGTCAGTTGGAAACTTGGAAACGCACTTAACAAGGGGTGGGCGGTTGTGGATTGTTTCTGGAAGGAGTGGAGCCCCGGGGCATTTTTCCAATCAAAGATGGAGATGAGATTGGATCATTGATCCATTTGATGCACGCTGCACGATGGGAAATTGACGAGGGACGAAGCAGTGTACCGCGTGTGGTGGAGGGATAAAACGGAAGCAATCAACTCAATGCGGATATTGTTGAAACAAGCTGATGCGGGTTCCACGTCGGCCATGGTGCGAAGTACAAGAGTAAAGTCTCCATAATAATGAGCACACCATATCTGCGCTATTTTTGGAGGGTCGGCGTGACGCCAGCGGTAAAGCAGCGGTGGAATTCGTCGTGGAATTTGATTACATTTTAGCGGGTGTGGGCCTGTAAGGTACGCTAACTACGGAATACTTCGTATCAGCCAGGCTTCACTACAGTTTGAAGATAGCACCAAACGCACCAACTCCCTCGTAATGATTCAAGTTGATATTGTCGTATTGATTGATGTCAACTTTGAATAAATTGTTGATCAATACATTATCAATACTTGATACCAGTGGGCCATTCCATGTTAACGTTGGAAGCGTGATACTAATGTCATCAATCGATTCTCTATCTGGTTTCAACGTTCTAGAAAAGTCGACCCTGCAGAAAAATTGACGCCAGACGAATATCCAAGGCTGCAAGCCAGGGCCCAAGGATGGTCCACAATCAAAGGATTTGACATATTATCCGGGCGCCATCCTGGAAAACGCGGAGGGCCAATCTTACCATAATGGGTGTGTCCCGGGCAAGTGGCGGTAAGATTTGGCGTGTGATATTATCGGCTGTGCGACTTAGGAGGAGGCAAACAAAGAAATCAGGGCCTAGCTAGGCATGCGGCTGGGCCGACGATTCCTCCTGCTGGGGCACCTTTGTATCAGGGCGTTTCAGAATCGACCGAGGTGGTAAGACTGCAGTGCAGATGCAGGTCTGCAAGTAGGAACCGCAGGAAGGCGGACACCAAGATGGGATTAGCGTCCGACTGTGAGATTCGAAAGAAAGAACAATGGTTAGGGCTGAGCAGATTCCTCCTCTTGCCAGGGGTATGGAAGAAACGCGAGTCCGCGATGATGGGTTCATATTACTTCGGAGATGGTTTCTTTTTACTGTTCCTCCTGCATTTTTGTTTGCTTTTCCTTCTTCTTCACTGGCATGATACGAATGGTAACGCCGACTAAGTAGACGGTATCAAGGGGCTTCTTTCGTTCGTTTCCTGTCGTGAAGTAGCCAGCTGTCTTTGTTTACTTAGTAGTTTTCGGCCCATCCTGGCCCCATACTCGGTCTCATCCTCGGTCACACGTGTGTCTTGAAGAGAATGCGTTGCATCGCCAGGCAACATCTTGACCGCCCGGCTGGGATGGCCTGTGGCACTTGGTTCGCGGGGTGTACCAATCACGGCTGCGGGGAACCGGCAATCTGTGATTCTGTGTGCGTAAGACCGAGATCCTTGACTCTTGTTCTCAGTGTTTGGTCCAGCCGCCCATCGCTACGAGTAGGAAGCGCAGGGTCCTGACATCGTGAGCCAGAGGATCCGTGACAGATGCTAGCGTTTTACCAAACTCTTCACTGGCCATCATAGAAGTGCCTTCAACCCTGATCCTAGCCCTAAATACCTTTGTATTATATCAACACTCTTAATACTAACGACTCGTATGTCCTCTCGCGCACCCGCAAGCATTTGTTCAGCCCCCCAGACCCTGAGGGGTCCATCGACCTGAGGCTGGGTAAAATATGTTTTTCTGCAACTTATATTGATCCCCCAAGGGGAACCCTGCAGGTGTTCGCACAACCAAAGACTGCAGTCCTAAGGGATAGTTGGGGGGTGTGTTATCCCATCTCGCTTAGCTTCACAGTCCTCACCCATCCTCTCCCTTCACGTTGCCTCGGAACAACTGCAGTTCGGACAGTCTCGGAAGCATGTTGTTCATTCTTGCACTCCAAGAATCCTCACCACCAGTCTTTGACTTGGCAGCTCCATACGCCCACACCAACTTCGGACTAGAAGAAAGGAAAGAAGTCTCATTTCAAGCACACGCCGTCGGCGACAATTCCGGCCCATTTCCCATCTCTTTGTTCTTCCACTCCAGGACTCCAGGGGCACACACTCTTTCAGTGATCGATGTTCCAAGCTCGTCCGGTCGCGGTCAGCCCGAGTCAAAGACCGTTGCATCCACCAAACTCAACCGAGATTTTCTCCGGCCCCAAAAACAGCCTTATTTCCCCTTGCCCCCTTTACTCTAGTGTGAAGCCATGTGCCGGTCACCGATGTCTGAGCACACGACTACGACCGAGCCTAGTCTGGCACTTCGGAACATGTGTTAAAAAGCGTAATTGCGCCTGGTGGTATGCAGGTAGTATTAGACCCTACTTGCCTTAAATTGCCTTGCCTCATCGGTCTGTGCTGCATCACCAGGCGCAGCTCAAATTTCACTTTTGGGAAATTACGAAAAAGGCTTTTGCGGTCTTTGTATGCACGTGCTGAGAGAATTAGAATCTATCGGGAATGCCGCCTCACCTGAAGTCTGCGTCTTGGAATTGTGTACTTGGAGAGGTGGTCAGCTCGGCGTCGTCACCGTTACAGCGAAGAGACACAAGCACCGCCATCAGATACGACGCAAAATGCAGGCTCTACCGACTGCTGGAGTTTGATCGTCTGATATTCTTGAAGCGAGCAACTTGCTTGGCCCGCTTATCACGAAGAGTGAAGTCTAATTAGCCATCTCCTTGACTTTCCTCGCCTAAACTACTAAACATCTCCCCCTTGCCCAGATGGAAAACGTCTAGAACAAGCCCAGTCTCCGCTTTCTCCTCGCAGCGCAGCTATTTCGAGAACGCTCTCTTTCCCAGTTGATGATCGCCAGCCCCCTCTCATATCATCTTCATGCCGACTTGACGCGGCTCGGCTCAGCCACGATTAGCCCTAGATACATTACTTGTCGTTGTTTTTAACATATCCGTGGTGTGCGAAAGGCGGGACGATTCGGCCCACTCTCGAATCCTTAGACAAAACCGCTTCGTAGGTCAGGTTCGATATGACTGACCCTCACCGGAAGTGTGGGAAGCCATCGACTTGTTCGTCCCCGATAGCGTCGTGGTCGTCTGAACCCCACGGGTCGTATCAAGTTCGGATATGCAATCACCGTTTAATGTCTCGCGGCTCTACACTACCGAGTAGTATACCTGCAAATGCCGCCCGCCATTCATGGAACGATGAAGCTTCTTAACCCCCTAGACAAAGCAGGTTGTATTCCCGGGGAGTCCCATCCTCATATCTCGGATATAACGGTCCTATGCAGCGTAAATAAGTTCCTGATTTAGCAGACATCTCCACACATTAATGGGTAGCAATACTTCGTAGCACCCGGAGTGCTACGCATGCGGTTCATGATATATGAATGCGACATCGTGTTGCTGTAGACTGTATGAAGTGGAGTGAAGAACTACGGGCCGGTTTGCCTGCTCTGCTGCTTTTGGACGGTCATCTTGTTCCCAGCAAAGGACCGGTCCTCTATCAAGCTTGCCCTAGAGAGACGAACGCCTGAAAAACAAGACTACTGTCCCCCCTCGTTGCTTAGTATTGCCTAGCATGCAAAGGATAGCTCAAATTTCCGCTCTGTGCCAGTATAGTTGTACAATACTCGAAGCTTAGAAGCAGAGGGATGTCTCGATATAGCCGTACTGACACTAGCATCTAAGCGGGCCCAGCGCAGGCGAGAACACTTACATCCCATTTGATGTCCTTTGCCTGGATACTCTCCTCTCCCCCCATCCCTCGACTCACCAAACTGTAATCAAGCGTGAGGGTTTAGAGAAGAAGCTCGTGGGACTTTGAGGAGAGCATATATCTGTTGGGAAGTTCATTTACTGCTTCTACATTTACACCCTGTATTCTAGACTAGCAGCACGCTCTCCAGAGCAGCAGCGTGGCTCGTCGGTTGCTAACACAGCAACAAAGGCCCTTCTTATCCATGAGTTTATCTTTCCCCCTGGCCTCTTCAACTAGCCGAGGGGAGTCTGTTTTATTTGTGGTCGAAAGGCGTATCACAGGGAGAAGCATACCGAATCCGGTCTCCAGACATTGGAGCCAAACCACGATATGCCGTGAAAGTGTCTCTCAAGAGTCGATATCTCCAACACACTAAGAGCTAGAGCTTGTCGACTTCTACCTGCTCTAAGAACGAGGGAATGCAACAGATTCTCTTCCAATCCACCAACAACCGAGATAGGTCGCCAACCTTAAGATATCCCCCAATACGCTAGGACAGCATCTCTCCCGATCAGAAAGCGTTTATCATCCCATCATTTCCTCCTAGTTTCGAGTGGTTCTATAACTGTCCCCCGAGAGTGTACCACAAATGATTAAAGCGGCTTTGTCAACAGTGATATGGCAGCATCTCCAAGTCGAGAAGCTCAGACGACAAGAAACGGGAACACACTTACCTAGTAGTTTCGCGGGTGCCCAAAAGGTTAACGAGGGCCTCCGCCTACTCCTTCGGCCTCGCCTCAAAGTAACTTATCCCCTTAAGTCCGCCACGATATCACAGATCCGATAAGACACGAACGTATATGCCAGATAAACCAAGCGGGACGCATAGCAGTTTTGTCGCGGAAATCCCTCCTCTTGCTCCTGGGACAGTCATATGCCCAGACGTCTCGATTCCCACATGCTAGTCGACCGCGGCGGGCCCATAGCATCCTGCGTGGAGGAATAGTTCAACCGTGCCATCATTACCCGCTCTGATGGAGAAAGTTGGATCTGAGATCTCACTTCCCGATATATGAATGGAGCAATGTCTTTGCTTGTACAACATACTCCGACATACAGTCTCCGCTAGTTCCAAAGTTCAACATCCAGAAACAACGAGTATCCCCAAGTTTGTTCCAAACCCCATCCAGGATACTCACATACTGGTGTTACTTTTCATGAATAGCCGCCATGCCGATATGTCCCCCGACTGCCCAGGAGTTCTGGCAGTGATCTCGTGCCAACGCAGCAAGGCCTATGACATACAGCTACAATGAGTGCTATCAAACTACCCACTCAACTTACAACATCCCTTTCACATCTCCAGGCTGGAGCAGATGCCTGCGACCCCGTGTCCTGGGCCGAGAGAGATGCCACCGCAACCTGCAGCACCGGAATGTCCCAGAGGATTGGAGTCCAGCGGGGTAAACCTTTTCCGTAGAAGTCGGCTCTATTGCTCAAGTCGGTGACTGGGCGCCTCATGAACCAGTCCAAGATCACGACCGTCTGCTACATCCGCGCTTCCTTCTAGAATCGCACAGGGAATATAACATCAATAACACGGTGGTACGGGCACAAGCCGGTATAACACAACGATTCTAAAAAAAAGAAGTCCTTTTTGGTATAGAATCCCTCGACCACTAAAAAAACGGAATATACCGCCTTTTCCCAATCACGCTCCCCTATAATCCAACAAGGTCTGGTCCCATCTACTACTATAACCTAAATACCGGGGGAAAGAAAATAACGGGTCGGTCGGCGCCCATCGTCGACGTGGAAAGCCCCCTCCCCCTCCCTTCTGACATATAGACTAGGTTAATCGGACCAACAATAGACGGGGAAAGGGTAAGGTATGCCCGCGAGCTCCTACCCTCCCCAACGTCCCCCCTCTCCTTCCCTCCCCTTCACTTCCGCACAACCCTATCCGATGATCCGCGCCACCTTGTTCTTCATATTTGCTGTACTAGAACTTGTAAAGCGTGGTTTGAGTTGGCAACGTACATGGAAACACTAAAAACACACACGAGGAACAGGAAATGTAAGAAAAAACCCTAGGATGTAATACAACCGCCCCCGAGAAGAAGAGAAGAAGGAAAGAAACATCAACGTGCCCGAAGAATAGGAAACGAGGAAAATATGGTGCAGAGAATAAAGGAACATGGTGACAGAGACCATTCCAAAACAAGAGATGACACCGATCTGGCTAGGCTTTTACTTGGTGGAGAAGAGAGAAAGAAAAAAGAAATGACAAGACAAAGCAAAAGACATGACATGACCACGCGCCTCAGGCTTTGCCAGCGGTGATGGAAACGGTGGAACGCCGCCTCCCAATTCATAATGGTAGCGCGTGTCGAGGCGAAAGGGAGGGTATCGAATGTGGCTTGGTATCGTGAAGTCGTCCTGATCAGCCAGAATGTTTGTGCATTAAATCGATGGCGAGGAGAGCGAGCATAGAGGTATTAGGTGAGGTGAGGTCGGGATAGCGAGAATGAGGTTGGTAATAAAGAATAAACGTTCCGCAGCACCGTTATATCCTGACAAGAAACTCGATCGCCTTGGTCGTTTTTCGAATTCAACTATTTAGTAGGCCCAGACCTTGAGCTGTTCGTGGAGAGAGACATAGGTCAGCGGAAATCCTTCACAAAGGAACTCGGTTGCGTAGTTTCCAAATGGGAAGTTAAGAGAAAAGAAACAAGCTATGCTCGCCAACATACCAAAGAGTCCCAAGAGCCCGTGCATAAACTTATGCCGTCGTTGCTAACGCCCAAGCAGCTGACACGGTTGTCGTGGCCAACAAGCGAGCCAACCTTCTCGCCCCTCGTTACATCCCAGACCTAAGGTAGAGAGAAAAATATTATTAGCCTTTTGGAAAACAGACCACACACGACCCCGTGTAAGACATACCTTGCACTCGAAATCATCATAGCCAGCGAAGAGCAGACGGCCAGAGACGGAGGTAGCGACGGAGGTGATGCCGCAAAGAATAGATTCAGACTATGATCAAGGAAACATCGAGTTAGTGACGAAGAATTCCACACGCATTTTTTTGGTCCAAAATCGCATCGTGTTTGTTCCGTATATGAGTCGGGGAAGAGAAAGGATCAGAAACTAACGCCATATAGGTTCAATTCGCGGTCCGCCCTGATATCGAAGAGTCGGCAGGTGGCATCATCGGAACCGGTTACGAAAGAGTGGCCATCGGGGAAGAATTGGATGGCGTTGATATCGGACTCGTGGCCAGCAAATGTCTGAACGGCCTTTCCGGCACGGATATCCCAGAGCTTAGCGAAAGCATCGCAGGCTCCAGAAATGAAGGTATTGGAGTTCGTGGGATTAAGGCTGATGCTCATCACGTCTCCGAGATGGTCGGTGAAGTCAATAACCTTCTGGCCGGTTTCAATATCCCATTGAATACACGTCATGTCGCCCGAGGAGGTAATGATGCTTCGGTCGTTGATAAATCGACAGCACGAGAGGTAGCCAGCATGGCCCGAGAGCTCCCTCGCCACTCGGGTAGGGCCGTCGCGTTGTTGGTTCAGGTTGTAGATGGAGCAGATGTTGTCGAGGCCACCACAGGCAACATAGTTTCCACTGGGAGAGTAGGCACAGGTCATGACCCAGGAAGATCGTAGGGGAATGGCGTGGACCTTGTTTGTTGTGTAGGCGTCCCAAATAATGAGCTTTCCGTCTTGTGAGGCGGATACGAGATGTCTACGATCAGTCGACCAGTGCATCGCGTAAATCTTGGCAAGATGTCCCTTCAACGTCCGCTTCGCCTTCATCATCTGGTTCTTCGAAATGGGCTCGTGGGCTTGCTGAGCCACCGACCGGACTAGCGAGAAGAATTAGCATCGGAGAAAGGGGGTGCATTTTCTTGCTGTTGCTGGTGGGAAATGACGCAGGAAATGCAATTGCCAAAATCAATTCGACGAAGAAAACAAAAACCGAATTAAATTTGGATAGATATAGGAGTGTGGCAAGATGCAAATGACGTTCCTGGGGCGGCGAGGACGTGAATGCTATGATGGTGGTGATGGGGAGCAGCAGGCAAGCGAATCGACTCACGAGTAGTGTCGGCGAGCTCATCCTTCTTCCTCTTAATCCGGTCCTTCAGGTTCTCAGCCTCGCGTCGCGCCTGTTGGATGCGCGCCTGCATCGCCTCGGGCGATACATCATTTGGACCTTGTGAATTCATTTTCGATGCGATCAGAGACGTCGTGGCTGATGTGTAAACGATCGTGTCGAGAGAAAAAGGTCGATTGGCGGATTGGCGGATGGTTGAAAGGAGAGGACGGGGATAAGGTTTGGGAGGGGATTTTATTGCAGGAGGGAGATTGGACTAAAGGAACGAATAGTGAGCAGGAGCAGTGGAACTGGAACTGGAACTGCTTCGGGAGGTATTGAAGTGTGTGTGGTGTGCGTGAGGTGGTTCGTGCGCTCGGGGGGGTGGAGGTGTGGGAGAGGGAGAAAAATGAGGAGGGCGAGAGGAGAAACAAGAAGGGTGTCGCTTCTGAGTGCAAAGAACAGGGGGGAGGAGCGACGCGGGGAGGCGGTACACCGCACTATGAAGTACAACAATTGATCAATGGCTCAGATTGGCCTGGGAGCCTGCGGGGTCCAGTGCGAATAGTACCTCTGGACAGCTCAAAAGTACGAAGCTTTAACTGTAGTTTGCCTGGTGATGGAGAAGTACATCCACACCTCAATACCTCGATGCCTCGGTGCTTCGCATTTCGCTTGCCTCAATCACTCCAACCAAGGAGAGAGCATCGAAGCTAGGCGCGATGGGGAGTTTCGTATGAAGAAGACTTCACTGCACGAAATATTGACGTATTTTGCAGCGAAACTGATTGATCAATGTGTTTGTTAACACTGTAGCACCATTGACAGGCTGGTGGAGCTGATCAATTGCTCAAACGACAGCGGAGGGTGCCACAACAATGAGGATAGAAGCTATTGATACTTCTGGCACTAAACCTACTTCGTACCTCATAGAAGTGTAGGGCAAGCAAGCACTTGAGGTCATGAAAAGGGAATTCGCTGCAAGATGATGCTCAACTTCATCCAAGTATATACATAGTGGTCAATCCGCCTCCTTGACGTTGCCCTTTTCCAAGCTGGAGCTGTTGGTATTGCTATACATACGGACACTAATAATTGGGGATTGGCCAGCAGGGCAGATGCACAACCAGGCGAGCACAGCACATCGGATCTTGCAGTGGGTTGCCCTTACAGTGGATCCCTGGCTTGGATCTCCTTCGAACATACGAACTGCCACAGTGGACACATCCTGGACTGGGATTTGGTGAGCAGGCCCAACATGTCAAGACATTGATGCTCGAGAGTGTTCAAGCGGCATCGCTGCAAATTCCATTGTGTGCAGTGCTTTCCCCTAGAGTCTGGTGCATGTAGGATGCCTTACGAAGGAGCCCGCCCGTAATCATCGCCAGCTATCGTCGTCAACTTGGCTGGATCGAAAGCGCCTCAGACCGCCTCAGAGCGCATTCCTGCATCGATCCCCATCATTCCCACATCGGATGTCAGCGCTCAGAAATTTCCATGTCAGCGGGTCATCCGATGAGATTATCCAATCCTCTCACTCTTTCCCATTTCCCAAGCTGCCTTCCCCTATTCAGAGTGCAAAGGAAGGTACTGGTACAAGATTGACTGGGGCGGCAACTCTTTGCAGCCAGCAATCAACAGTTGTGTAGTTCCAACCTTCAAGTACCCATACAACGGAAAGTCGATGGAGGGAGTATTACTTCGTACATCGTCGAGAAACATCCGAAGTAAGGGGGTTTGGAAGAGCTTTCGCGACATTGGAAGGAGTGTACAGTGAAATTGGTACACTGTACAATTACACTTCTGATGAAATGAGGTTAGGTTCCTTCCCAAAATGAAATGACTACAGGGATAGGGCCACCGGAAGGGAGGAAGGAATAACAATAGAAGAGTGTACGAAGTACCTTTTTATTTGTTGTACTGTACGAAGAGATCATCTTGCAATCGAGGCTGTTCAGTGATTTCGAGTGGTGCGAGCCCTCGCTCTTGTGCCGCTAGAGTTGAGAAGGCGTTGCTTCTAAGCTAGATTGGTCTTCGATCCATTCCGAGCTGGGGGAGGTGCTGAAGTTCAGAGCCAGCCGACACCATCGAAGACGTCCACTCACCTGGGAAACTGGATAATAGTGTGAACAGGGCTGTACAGCATGCTGTACAATTAAAGTTTATAATTTCCTACATCATTAATAGTACAACACTGTTTAGGGGGTGGGTAATACAACAGTGCCAAGGCCAGGTTGCGCTGAGGTGTTCGTGCAAAGGGAGAAACCCCCATTTCTTCGACCCGGGTTTTGCGGCCGGAGGGATGCATTCTTCACTACATACATCCGGACTTACGAAGTAGTAGTGTCGCCTTGGACGGTTCTGAGGGTGCAGTCTTGGGGAGGCCTGGTCACGCATGCACCTGTGGAAGCAAATACCGATGCTGTCTGTCCAAGTACATACATACTGTACTGCGTACCGGATAGGGAGGTAGAGTCGAGGGTTACCGACGGGCGGTTCGGCGCCAAGCGGTTGCACGTCATTGAAACGGCAAAAACGTTCGGGATGAAAACAAGGGAAAAATGGAAGGCGGTTGAAGTAATTGACCGAGAAGACAGTGGGAGCTTTTTGGCCCCAATCCATCCCGCGGCCCGACCAGGAAGTGAAGACACTCGGTGCGCTGTGACTCCCTCTTCAGTAATGAATACGGGTACCTTGCAGCAGAGCGCACACGTCCCATCATTACTTCTTACATCAATATGAACTACACTGCACTAATACCACTTCGTTAGAATGAGGTTGGAGATCAATGCTTGGTTTGCAGGAGCGTCATCTTACTAGTACAGTCCACTCTCCTTCGTTTTAGCGCAAGTACGAAGTACACTACTTCACATAACACTATGGTATTGGCTAGTACGAGTACTTTGTGCTGAAGAACTCCGTTTCTTCCCCAGAAAGCTCGAGCCATGATCCACAAGACGGTGAAATCATTCCCTCTCAATCTCTGGAATTTCTGTCTAACATTGAGTAGTGAAGGGATAATGTTACCAATTTCCTCGCCAAAAATGCATGACAGTTTGCTCCTATTTCTCGATCAGAGAACAAAGTAGGACGCTCGAGACCCCCCCACGTATCTGTTTCTTTGCATGGCCGGATTTTAACTCACAAGTAAAAGACCTCCTTGTTTCAACTAGGCATATTTTGTAGCAAGGGCCTGCACTGCTGAAGGAGCTCGAGCGGCCTCATGGTGACTTGGTGAGCGTCGGAGTGCACAAAGCCTGCACCACTCTCAGCACTAACGTACACTAGTCTGATGGGTATAATTGGACCCTGTGGGCATCAAATCGATCGAGGTAATGTACGGAGCAGTGTAGTCTATGCGCTAAGTGATTGATGGGCTGTTCCGGGTGGACCTGTCCTACTCCGTACGACCACTTTGCAGGCAAGTGAAGACTCTAATGCTGCTTGGCCTCCGTGAGTACATTAGTGCAGAGAGACGATACCTCTTGCGAAGTCTGCCATTGTCAAAATAGGAGTTGAGATCGCTGATGGTGCTGACATAGACTGATGACCAATCTGTCAGTCTCTCTCTCAAGCCGTCAATATTGTTCCAGTTCAATTGGCAAATTTGATTCTCTCTCTCGGTTCGTTTTTTTGCTGCATCTTATTGTCCAACCGAACTCACAGTGCGCCCACAGTCCCGATCATACCGTAGCTTTTCTGCGACCTTTGACGGAAAGATCAGTTGATGATTTGCCAACTTCGGTCCCCCTCGGTCCACGGACGACGGGTATGAAGCGACGGCCAGGGGGTCATATCCATGACGTGTGCAGGCATTCGCGCAGGACAATATTCTCCGTACGTGCGCGTCTGCCCGACGGGCAGGGGATGCTTCTAGAGCACGAATCGTCGCGTATCTGACTGAATTGAAGATTAGAGAAAAAGGAAGAAAAAATAGTCTCTGCCGTTTTGAGCCCAAATCCTGCTTGGAAAGCAGAGGACCGCCGAAGCCGCTTCTTCTCCCTTCGTTTTTTTTTTTTTTTTTTTTTTTTTTTTTTTTTTTCCTCTTTTCTTTTCTTTTTTCTTTCTTCATTGACCGAAGGGCACAGTCCTTCGTTTCGGGGCAGTCGGAGTTGGGATACCCCTTGTTAGATGTCGATGGGACCAGACCTTAATCTTACCTGAGGTTGCTGTCGAAAAATGATCAATTTTGATATATCGTTATTTACCTCGTACTTCTTTCCGCCCTTAAACTGAGGTACTCCATAAGTCCATAGTCGACGAAGCGAGAGCCATGAATACCACCTTACTCCAAGCGGTAGAGCCTGCTGGAAAAACTCCTCTAGTCCAGCCCGGCGACCCATCCCATTATACGAGCCCGTCCGATATTTTAACGCCATTCGCGGTAGCGTTTCCCCTTACTCCTGATAATCGGGAGAGCGGGCTGTCCACGGCGCCGGATTCCCCCGGGATTGGTCATGACCATCTCGATCTTTGATCTTGGCATGATCTCCTGGGTCGAGCCGATGGAAAAAATATTCCAAGCCATAACTTCGGCCGAAGTACTTTCACGGTAAGGCTTCAAATCAAGACTTACAAGTATTATGCGTTCTTTCTTAGCAAGCTCGGACCTAAAACAATTCCGGGGTAAAGGCCCTCGCTGTGAGACATACTTTGTAGTCTAGAGAGACGAGAGAGCATCAAAGACTCTGGGCCGAAATGCGATGTTGAAACATGTACTTCGTCTGGCTTTTGTCGTTCTCCGTCGGTGGAGAGCTGGGCTTTGCTCACCAGCTGATGAGAACGCCCGGTGATGCGGCTGCAGGTGCCAGCTCTCTCCAACTGACCTCCGCCATTACGATTGATCCTTCCGCCTAATAAGATGAGCTTGAATTCTAAGACAGCGCCACGCCTGAACCCTCCGAACTATGTATTGGCAGACCACTCCATCATTTGGCCCCCACAAGCTTTCTCCTCGTTTTGATACTTACCATTGGTTCTCCCCGCTTCATTGAGAGAGTCAAAGTCTCAGCAGAGTCCACAATAGACCACGGAATAAGGGCCGCTTTTTATAAGAATCGAGGAAAAGTAGTGTACTCTTTCGTAAAGCTTTGTGGGACACCAGAAACTGCTTTCCTGTCCCCCTCTTCTCTCCGCGGTTCCCTCCCATTAAAGACCTTCCTTTTTCTAAGCGGTATGACGTTTCCCAGACCAGCCTCGTGCGGCTGTTGTTTCCTCAGCTGGGCTCTTGCCTGCGTCACTTTTCCTGTTTCTGTGCTCTATTTTCGTGTTCTTCCCCTTGTCTGGGCGGGCGTAGCTGTATTAATTTACCCATGCATTACATCAATATCAGAGCTTGTTTGTTTTTGGGGGCAATGGTTTGGCATTATGACGTCCTCTTCGCGGCAGGCTGAACCCTTCGATCAATGTCAGGACTCGTAATACGGCTTGGACGGACTCACTCACCGTGGACACATCAATGACTGACAAGATAATGTTGATTCTAATGATTCTTGTATCTTCTTCTAATACGTTCTCCTAGCATATGTACTGTTTAGTGGGGTTGGATACGTATCATATCTACATGAACGCGTCAAAAGTAAAAAAGAAGAGAGGGAGAGAGGAAAAAAAGCATGTCCGCCTCACGCCAACTATTGCCTGCCATCCAGTCTTCGGGTAATAAAAAGGTTCACGGAATAAAAGGAAAATAAGGAAAATAAAAAGAGGACAGGAGAGACAACTCAGGGGTCCATTCTCTCATCCCCCATCACAGCTTGCTTTTGTTTTCTTCATCACAAACTCTCTCCCACCCGTCCACAATCTAGGTCTCACTGTTTCACCTTTTCCCTCCCCATTAATGATACTGCGCAGCCCCCGGCGGGGGACTCTCCAAGTCAATATTCTCCACCGCATTCCTCTGTGTCGCGCTCTTGCGCACCAGGTTGCCAAAGTACTTGAGCGCCACCTCGCTCTCGGCCCGGACCTTGAGCGTGTCCTCGCGGCGCGTGCCGAGCTCCTTGACCGACTGGTCGAGCGACACCCGGAGGTTGTCGGCCGGGTATCGGAGGACTTTGCGGACCGAGCCGGAGATGCGGCTCGAGTTAGTGTGGACGTAGTCCATCTCGGTCAGCCGGGCGGAGATCTTCTCTTGGAGGCGGCGGGGGAGGGAGTTGGGGATTTGGTTGAGGACGTAGGCTGTCGCGGCGACGGCTATTCATTGCACGTTAGTTGTTTCACTTTAACGAGAGCAGAGTATTATCGTGTAATGAAAAGAAAAAAAAAGATCAAGTAGGGAAGGAAAGAAAGAAAAGGCAGCAACAACTTACCAGCAACTAGAAGGCCAGGAAGAATGAGGCGGCGAAGGTTATCATTGCTCACAATCTTCGCCACACCCATAGCATTATCCATCCAAGTATTCAGCCCAATCGCCCTAGAACCCACCGCCGTCACAACCGTGAGCGCCATACCCGTCCCAGCAACCTTCTCTTGCCTCTGCAACAATGTCCCCACGTCGATAAAGTCCCAAAACTCCGGCTCTACGTCAACCTGCCGCGCCAGAGCATCTCGCTTGCGGCTGAACATGACGTCTGGCCTGAAGCTAAGGTTCTGGAACTCGTCGCCCACGTGGAGGATCCCGAGCTGCTTGATGACGTTGACGCCGCTCACCGTCTTGCCCCTGGCGTACTCTTCGCACACGCTGACGGAGTGCGCGATGTGGGCTAGCATCGCCTCCTTGACCTCATCGGCAAAATCGAAGGCGCCGAAGATGCCGGGGTAGGGCACGTCGTGGGTGTGCTCTCCCGCATGGGAAATGGCGTTGCCAAGAGTGGTCCGGCTGTAGGTGTACACCTCGTTACTCGTGTCCTCGATTACCTTTTCCACCAGGTCGCCGGTATCCGACACTGCCTTCCTGCTGGATTCAAGCTGGGGCTCGATCTCGTGCAGTTCGCTGTTCACCCTGGCGATTTCCGACTCTGCTATCTCGGCATTTACCGTTGCAAGCGAGTGGAGATCGTTGAGAATGTTGAGCAGGTATGTCCTAGCCGGTGCCAACTTCGACTTGGCTCTCTTCTCCAAAACAAACCTCCGGAGGTTCTGCTCCAGGGCTTGGAAATCACGGATCTTCTCTGCATCCTTGCCCTTGCCCTTTGAATCGTCACCAGGTCCGTCATCACCACCGCCGCCTCCACCACTACTAGCCGTACCGCTTCCACCGGGACCACCTGGAGCACCGGGAGGAGGTGGCGCAACCGGAATAGAGTTACTTGAGACGAAGTGGACAAGCTCCCCTGCTTCTTTGTGGGTCTGCGGGCTGAGACCCCGGATCTGCTGGAGGATCATCTTCTGGCACTTGTCCTTATTCTTGATGTTGTCGAATCCGTTAACGACGATGAAGAGATACGCCTTCTCAGCCGCTGCCGTCAAAATAAAATCTTGAGCTGTAATAGTAAAATGATTCGCCGCTGATACAACAAACACGACGACGTCAATTTCCTCTTGGCGGGCAAAGATGGCTGTTGTCTTCGTCGTATCAGAGTTGAGACCAGGCGCGTCGATGAGCGCAATGTCCACAACCCCATTGTTGAGTAGGGACTCATCAATGGCCCTCGAATCCCTTATATAGACCTTGCACTGCATGTATTTCGTATTGTCGCCGACAATCTGCTCAAGTTCCTCTAGTCCGTAGACATCGTAGGTCGATTCGTCGTGGCGGTTATATACTTCGTCCATATGGACGGCGTGAACCTCCTCAACGCCGGAATTATCTCTCGCGTCCAGCACTTCGCAAAAGACGGCTGTGCAGGGTTGCTCGTCTTCGGGTAGAACTTTTCGTCGGAGAAGGGCGTTACAGAAGGTTGATTTTCCGGCATTGAGGTCTCCTGTGACCAGGACCTTGCTTGATGTGTCCTCAATTCGTTCTCGCAGGGCCAACAAGTGCTTGATACTCGAACTGATCTTTCCGTCCAACAGCGAGGCAATCGAGGCCTTCTCAAGTGAATGAACGAGCTCTGCCTGGTGAAGAGCGCCGAGCTTGAGGTCGAGTTTGAGGATAGAGAATTCCTGCGCAATCTGTGGTGTTACCAGCCTCGGTTCGGCAACGGTTCTCGACTCGGCTGCCCTGCTGGACTCGGCCCCGGGATAATCGTCAAGAGAGGTTCTAGCTCGTCGCAAGCCGGGGGGAGGAGTAGGTGGAGAGGAAGCTGGGCCACGAGAAAAGTCGCTCATCGCAGTCGAAGTACGTTGGAGGCTCTGTCGGGAAGCTGGTCTCGAAGGAGCGCGAGTCTCGGTTTTCTGGACCGACGGATAGTGCGCCGGCCACGTCGCATTCATATCCTGCAGTTCCTTGAGCAACGTGATTACGTTCGTTATCGATCTTCCAAGGGAACCACGGTGCTGATTGTACCAGAGCTGGTGTATGGCGCCAGCCTGGGCGCGTCGGTCTGCATCGGAGGCGTCGGACGGGGAGGCGGTGGGAAGATGCGTGTCGGGGTGCAGAGAAGGGTGCCACATCTCGTCAGCGGTCGAACTACCCCCGTAGCCGGAATCCTTCTCTAGCATTTCCTGGAGTCTCGCAGCATGCTCGGACGTCGAACCGTTCCCAACAGTCATATATCCCGGGCGGGAGAACGAAGCATTCTCTTCGGGACGGGCCCCGTTGTGGGCAAGGGACTTTCCCTTGCCCTTTCCGTCAGTCGAAGTCTCTTCCTGGGTCATTTCGTTGGCCGATTATTAAAGCATGACCATGAATGGAATGTGCCGGGAAGAGATTGAGTCGTCGAAGCTCGTTGTTCGATTTTTAGGAAAGCATCTATGAATGAATTATTGCGGATTCAGTCGCATGATTTCACGCTAAATTGTATTCCGAATGGTTGGTAATAAGTGGAGGCAAAATTCGTCGCGTACGTAATTAAGCATTCCACTAAAAGCACATGTCGCGTAGAATTGCCGAGATAATTCCGGATTATCTTATCGGGGGCGCCTGGTGCTAATTCGAAGCCCACTGAGCCGCATTAATGCATAGGCTAGGCCTTGGTCTCAGTTAGGATGATGGCGGGCAGTTGGCGACCAGTGACGATTGCCTGCAGCTCGGTTGGATCTCCAACCGTTCTACGACTCATCCCACTTCGTCTTCCTTGTCGTCAGTCTAGGCCCCTTCTACGTGCGGGATCATTGACGTCAACAGAATTCCCTCGTCTTCTATCCGATTTTTGCTATTTGGTTGTGTCTCGAAAACCGCCAAAATGAATGTGTGTAAAGCCCCCGTCCTCTTACTCCTCGTTACTGCCTCATTCTAGTAGCTCCAGGCTTCTAAATTATGGAAGTGAACTCTGGCTAATCTCGCGCATAATCCCCAAGATCCTCGAATACATGTTTGGCAAGCGCATGACGCCTGCAGAGCGTTTACGAAAGAACCAGCGATCCCTGGATAAGGCGATCCGAGAGCTCGACCAGCTCCGCGTCAAACTCGAGAAGCAGGAAAAGACGCTGATACAACAAATCAAGACATCGGCACAAAAGGGACAGATGGGCGCATGCAAAATCCAAGCGAAAGACCTCGTACGGACAAGGAGGTTAGACATGCCCCCCCCCCCCCACGATACTGGATGGCACCGTCGACAGCTGCTAACCTGCATGCTAGGTATATTGAGAAGTTCTACGACATGAGGAGCCAACTACAAAAGATCTCCCTGCGCCTTCAAGTATGCTAAGAATACCCATAACCAAAATCTCCTTTTATTGGGCGGGCGATACTAACCGGCTTCTCCATTAGACGTATCGATCCAATGAGCAGATGATGCAGGCCATGAAGGGTGCCACGATGGCACTTGGCAGCATGAACCGGCAGATGAACCTACCCGGACTCGCAAAGATCGCTATGGAATTTGAGAGAGAAAACGACATTATGGAGCAGAGGCAAGAAATGATGGACGACGCTATTGATGATGCGATGGATGTGGGAGCAGAGGAAGAGGGCGAGGAAGTGGTGGAACAGATCCTTGAAGAGATCGGTGTGGATCTGAACCATGCGGTCAGTATTTTCCCTTCCTACGTTGTTAGATTTACGGCGACGGAGCCGACGTTCACTAACAAGATTAAATACAGCTGGGCGAGACCCCAACCGGCTTACAGGCTGCTGCCGTGCCAGAAGGAAAGGTTGCGCAGGCTGTTGGGGAAGACGATGACTTGCAGGCGCGACTGGACAGCCTGAGACGGTAGTCGAACCTAGCGTTGACGCCCTCTTGCATAGCTATATATCAAGCATGGCGAGCAAGATTCATGAAAGCAGAAATCCTTGTCCTTTTCTGAGCGTCGGTGGTTAAAACGGCTCTCTAACTAATACTTGAAACTATTCTCGTTTTGTTTAGTTACGTGATATTTCGTAGAGGGCAATGAAGACAGTGATTGCTTCATCTAAGTTGAGAGCTATGATGGTTCGAGGGGAAATGGTGTTTGCTGTGGACTTTCAAGGGAAGGAGGTCATCTTCATCACATACAACACAGCAAGGCAAGCCGAACAGGCAAAAACTCAAATGTCCCTTCTTCCACAACCATCTGAATAGTCATGTATTGCAAAAGAAAGCAAATAATAAAAGAAGGAAAAGGGGAAACAATCTCTCATCCAAGGGAAGGTGGAGGAGGAAGTCAAAGACAACCCTTTCCTTGTTAGGTTTTCAAATTTACATGTATTCTTTATTTAGCTAAGCTACTACCGTCGTTGTCAATTGTTTCTTATGTTTGCTTTGACATTCTTTTATATTGAGATGCCTCGTTGTACTGGATGCAGGGTGCTTAGAGATATAAATAGATTTGATCATCCCCAAAAACAAATAACCGCCTCACTTGCCTTGCCTCATTCTTGCCCTGCACTTTCCTCTCCTGAGCTGTGTCACTGTGTCATGGTTGAGCTTTGTCATCTGCCCCTCTAAGTTTGGTCTACGTCAACTGTAGACTGGGAGCTGCCTTTCAATCTGGCTTGGGATTCACTTTGTTACTAGGGCCCCTCTGCTCTTCTGCAGTCAAAGACTATTACAAAGTACATTCAACATCAAAACCCTGAACCCTCTACAATCTCCAGAGAAGCTCTCTCAGGCTGGTGTCTATTATCTTCCTTCTAGAACATACCAATAATTCGAGCTTGTCTTTTGCGACTGGTGCATCGATCTCGTGGGGTTCAAAACACAGGTGCCCAACCATCCAACAGTGGCCTGGCCTGGCCTGGTACCCAGCGAAATTATCCTAGCCAGCCAGACAAGCCGTGTGTGTGGGTGAGGCCTGGCGCCGACAATAGTTCGAAACTCGTCAACTGGTCCTTCTCTCCCCCGCCGAAATCCCCCACCTACACCAAACGTCGACCCCCGACCTCCGAAAAAATAACGAAAAAACCTAAACGTTCTTATCACATCCCTCATCCCCGAGCGACGCGTGGCATCCGGCACGGCTTTTTATAATCCTCTACAAGCTGGCAGGCAATAAGCGGCGCAGCATCTCCTCCCAAGGAGGAGGTCTGCTTAATAGGATGTTTGGTGGAGGTTCATCTTCGTCTGTTGGAAAGAGCGACAACGACACCTTCAAGCCCGAGAGCAAGCAGCCATCTCCCGAACCCACCTCGAACTCGACCTCTTCTTCCGGTATCGACGCCGCTTCTGCCGCGGCTTCCCATTCCTCGAAATCCTCCGAGCACGCCGCCAGTGGTGAGAAGCGCACTGGCAATGGCGCCCTCCCCACTAGGCACGACACTGGCGGGTCGTCGGACAAGAAGCGAAGGAGCACCGGTGTGAGCGGCAAGGCTAGCAGCCTTCTTGCGAGTGCGAAAAACTCGTTGAACTTGAGCCAGACTAGCAGGAATACCAATTCTGATTCCAGCTCTCACACCTCCGGTTCGAAGTTGCCCAAAGACGCAGCCTCGTCCGCTGCGATAGCGAGCCAGCACAACAATGCCGCTGGCGAATCTCTCCCCGGTCCAAAGTCGACATTTCGCGTGGGCGTCTGGGAAGATCGAAACCGGAAATGTCGCCGCACCATGGAAGACACTCATGCTTTCTTATATAACTTCGCCAGCGCCGCCCTGCCACCCGGCAAGGCCGACGCCGATGATGATGGCGCGGAAACCGACAATGGCTATTTCGCCATTTTTGACGGCCATGCGGGTACTTTTGCTGCAGATTGGTGCGGCAAGAAGCTTCATTTGATCCTCGAGGAGGTTGTCCGCAAGAACCCGACAGCACCCATGCCGGAGCTTCTGGATCAAACGTTTACTACTGTAGATTCGCAGTTGGAAAAGCTGCCTCTTAAGAACAGTGGCTGTACCGCTGCCACCGCCGTTCTTCGCTGGGAGGATCGACCTCAACCGCCTGCTTCCGCGTCGCTGGCTTCGAAGAGGTTATCCCTCGCACCTGCGGCTAGCGATGCCTCTAAGGCAGAGGACGCCAGTAACTCCAGGGCTGATGGCGCTGCAACTGCCGACGTGAATAACTTCAAGGCAAAAACTGGCCTGTCCCGCACCAGGGTTTTATATACCGCCAACGTCGGAGATGCCCGCATCATTCTATGTCGATCGGGCAAAGCCCTTCGTCTCTCGTACGACCACAAAGGAAGCGATGAGAACGAGGGTAGGCGCATTACCAATGCCGGAGGTCTGATCCTAAATAACAGAGTCAACGGTGTCCTCGCCGTTACCCGTGCGCTCGGCGATACTTATATCAAGGACCTTGTCACTGGTCATCCATACACTACTGAGACCGTGATACAACCTGACGCCGATGAATTCATCATTATTGCCTGCGACGGGGTGAGTTCAAACTTTTCATAATCGGTCCCCAACCGCCCATCCCTGTGTCATAACGGAAGCCACCTGCTGTGTGTTATTGAATCTTGCACTAACTCAAGCTTTCATTAGCTTTGGGACGTCTGCTCGGACCAAGAGGCCGTTGACCTTGTCCGCGAAATCGAAAACCCCACCGAGGCCGCCAAGCTTCTGGTTGACCACGCTTTAAACCGATTCAGCACGGACAACCTATCGTGTATGATTATTCGCCTCAAGAACGAGGGACAAGAAGGGCAGCAGAGTAAGGGCAAGGGTTCCGCCGCTAGTGGCCGCGACGAAGCCAGTGGCACCGTCTCCGACAGAGCCGGTGACACGGCCGATGATGCTACTCCGACGGCTAGCTTTAAGCCGACGACGTTAGAGAGCACTCTTGAAGAAGAGCCTAGCTCTATAGAGGAGCTTGAAAACCAGGCTAAACGGACGGCTTAGGGGGGAAAGAGTCGCCAATGACTTTGTGGGAAATCAGAAACATTGCTGGGACGGGGAGTCGGGAAACCGGGAACTTGGGGAAGTAAGCTATTGGGTCTCTGAATTGTTTCTTTGAAGGGAAGGAAATTGGAGTTTGCAGCCAGACGACAAATAACCATCAACCCGTTGATTTTTTTGGTCCTTGTCTTTGTTTTCTTGTTTTTGGGGGCAGTTATTTTCCTTTTTTTACCGGGTTCGCAAACACAATGCTCAATGCAATGGTTTGAGTTTCTCCCCCTTTTGACGTACAAGTTGCCTGGCACCTTGAAAGGCCTCTTCCACAGGAGCCTCTTCCATGCCGTGGCTACCCTCTCCTTGTGCTCGCTTACGAGTGTGGTTTCTGGTGGATGGGTACACTGGTCAAGGGAATCATCATATCAAGACAGGAGAGGCTAGGATTTGGGTGTATGGGGAATGGAAGATGGGAATTGGAACTTGTGCTGAAGGCTGTTTGTGTAAGTGAGTGTATGATCGCCGGTGATATGGTTTCTTTTCCACCTTTTCATTTTCTTTGCCTCCCTGTGAGAGTGTCCCGGAGGATGTTTTCTGTGTTCTTCTTCTTGATTTATCATCTCGCCCCTATATGTCTTCTGGTGATCTTTCCTGTCCATTCCTGTTGTGATTGTGTCTGAAGACGATTTGTCTAACCAGCTTTGTTTCGACGGAACTCCGTTGATCATCGGCAATATTTGTCTTCGGACGTCGAGGAAAGAGAAAGAAGGAAAAGGTGGACGTTGAGTTATTCCCAGCTCGCGTGGAATTACCCAGAGAGAGAATAACAATTGATATTCTGGGACAAAACAGCGCTGACATGATCACCTATCGTAAAACCCCAGGCTTGCACTGCCTTCCAGCCCTCCCCTAAAACTCGCCGCCATTTGACAGAATATCAGTAGATATTGATGCAAAGGAACGGAGCTCGGACATTTTACCCATTGCTGCCTGCATCCGAGAAATGGGAACAATCAATTGATCTCTTAGACGCCCTCCAAAGGCCTCGACGCGGGACTATAAAGGTACAGCTTAGGCAACCACTTCAACAAACCTCCGCACAAGGCTGCAGCTTGAATCCGCCCTCTCCGTTTGCAACAAACTCGCGAAGTCCAGTTGAACATTCAAGATGGCGACCACGTCAAATATGTTCCTCTACTCGCTAACGATCCAGCCGCCGACGGCTATCACGAATGCGATCCTCGGTCAGTTCTCCGGCACGAGGCAACAGCAGATCCTCACGGCCTCAGGCTCTCGATTGACCCTCCTTCGCCCAGATCCGAATTTGGGCAAGGCGACATCAGTCGTCTCGCACGATATCTTTGGCATAATCAGATCTATCGCCTCATTCCGCCTTGCTGGAGGTACCAAGGGTAAGTGCATACTGTCTATCAACCCGTCATTAGATTGGAATCGAATGAAATGTTGTGCTAATCTTTCTCTCTCCCAATTAGACTTCATCATCCTAGCCACTGACTCGGGGCGCATCGCCATCATCGAGTACCTCCCGGCTGAAAACCGCTTCTCTCGCATTCATCTGGAGACCTTTGGGAAGTCTGGCGTGCGCCGTGTCATCCCGGGCCAATTTCTCACTGTTGATCCAAAAGGTAGAGCCTGCCTCGTCGCCTCTGTCGAAAAGAACAAGCTTGTTTACGTTTTCAACCGCAACACCCAGGCCGAACTCACCATATCCTCACCTCTCGAGGCGCACAAGCCTGGAATCCTCGTCTTGTCTCTTGTTGCTCTCGACGTTGGCTATGCGAACCCCGTATTTGCAGCTCTAGAGATGGACTCCACTGACTTAGACCAGGGAGTCGAAACTCAACTTGTCTATTATGAGCTGGATCTAGGCTTGAATCACGTCGTCCGCAAGTGGGCTGAAACCGTCGACCCGACTGCCTCTCTGCTCTTCCCAGTCCCGGGCGGAAACAATGGGCCGAGCGGCGTGCTTGTATGTGGAGAGGAAAATATCACATACAGGCATTCAAATCAAGAGGCTTTCCGCGTGCCTATCCCGAGACGGCGAGGCGCTACAGAAGACCCTCAGCGGAGGCGCACTATCGTTTCAGGGGTAATGCACCAGCTTAAGGGTAGTGCTGGTGCCTTCTTCCTTCTCCTTCAAACAGAAGATGGAGATATTTTCAAGGTGACCCTCGACATGCTCGAAGAGAACGGCAAGCTGACTGAAGAAGTCAAATGCATCAAGGTCAAGTATTTTGATACTATCCCGGTTGCCAACAGCCTTTGCATTCTTAAGAGTGGGTTCCTCTTTGCCGCCAGCCAGTCCGGGAACCATCAGTTCTATCAGTTCGAGAAGCTCGGCGATAATGATGAAGAACCTGAGTTTACCAGCGACGACTTTCCTGCTGACCACCAGACTCTCTACAGCCCTGTTTACTTTAACCCTCGGCCTTTGGAAAACCTGGCATTGGTCGAAAGTATCGATTCAATGAGTCCACTTATCGATTGCAAAGTTGTGAACTTGACTGGAGAGGATGTTCCTCAGATATACTCAGTATGCGGTAATGGCGCCAGAAGCACTTTCCGCGTACTAAAGTATGGCTTGGAAGTCAACGAAATTGTGGCTTCCCAGCTCCCTGAAACACCTTTGGCAGTCTGGACCACAAAACTTACTGCGGATGATAAGTACGACTCCTATATTATCCTGACATTTTCGAACATCACTTGGGTTATGAGCATTGGTGAGACGGTGACACAAGTCACTGACTCTGGCTTTCTCGAACAAGCCCCAACTCTTGTAGTCCAGCAACTTGGCGACGATGGTCTTGTCCAGATCCACCCGAAAGGAATTCGCCATATTCGAAACGGACAAGTAAACGAATGGCCAGCGCCCCAACACCGGTCTATAGTTGCTGCTGCGACAAATAAGCAGCAGGTAGCTATAGCTCTCAGTTCGGGGGAGATCGTCTATTTTGAGATGGACAGCGATGGATCTCTTGCTGAGTATGATGAGAGGAAGGAGATCTCTGGGACAGTAACTTGTCTTAGCCTGGGCGAAGTACATGAAGGACGTTTGAGAAGTTCTTTCCTAGCTGTTGGGTGTGACGACTGCACTGTCAGAGTTCTTAGCTTAAGCCCAGGATCCATCCTTGAGAGCAAGTCTGTACAAGCCCTCACAGCAGCACCCTCGGCGCTTTGCATCATGACCATGGAAGACTCCTCTACTGGTGGTTCTACACTTTTCCTACACATCGGCCTCCATTCTGGAGTCTATCTCAGAACAGTGTTGGACGAGATTACGGGAGAGCTCGCCAACCCACGACAAAGGTTTCTTGGCCCCAAGGCGATTCACCTTTCCCAGGTGACGGTTCAGAAGCAAACGTGTGTCCTGGCCCTTGGCTCCAGGCCCTGGATTGGGTATATCGACCCGTTTACAACAGGTTTTACCATGACGCCTCTTAGTTACGAAGAACTGGAGTGGGGATGGAACTTCAGTAGTGAGCAGTGTGAGGAGGGTATAATTGGAATCCATGCCAACTATCTCCGGTGAGTTCTTCCTCTGAACGCCTTTCTCCAGTTAATCCCTAGGGTTCTTGCTAACGAGGAAAGACAGGGTATTCTCGATCGACAAACTCGGAAACAACCTCATTCAAAAATCGACGGCCCTCACGTATACGCCACGACACCTTGTCAAGCATCCTCAACAGCCGTACTTTTACACCATTGAATCTGACAATGGGACGCTGGCACCGGAGCTGCGTGCGCGATTGCTTGCCGATCCAAACAATAGCGACGCCAAGGTACTTCCACCAGAACAGTTTGGTCATCCTCGTGGCCGCGGTAGGTGGGCATCCTGCATCAATGTTGTTGACGCCATGAGTGAAGAAGAACCCCAAGTGCTCCAAAGAATCGACCTCGAAGACAACGAGGCTGCTGTCAGCGCAGCAGTCGTCTCCTTTGCTAGCCAGGAAGACGAGAGCTTCTTGGTCGTTGGTACTGGGAAAGATATGGTCCTTAGTCCAAGGCAGTTTTCAGGGGGCTTTATCCACATCTATCGATTCCATGAAGACGGCCGGGCTCTAGAGTTCATCCACAAGACCCAAGTTGAGGAACCACCAATGGCGCTCATACCTTTCCAAGGTCGGCTAGTAGCTGGAATCGGTAAGATTCTGAGAATCTACGATCTAGGCCTAAAGCAATTACTTCGAAAAGCCCAAGCGACCATTGCGCCACAGCTGATCGTATCCTTACAAAGTCAGGGGAACCGGATCGTTGTCGGCGACGTCCAGCAAAGCATAACCATGGTCGTATATAAGCCTGACTCTAATAAGCTCATCCCCTTTGTTGATGACACCATTGCGCGGTGGACAACTTGTTCCACCATGGTCGATTATGAATCAGTCGCAGGCGGCGATAAATTCGGCAACATCTGGATCGTACGCTGTCCCGAAAACACCAGCACGGAATCTGACGAGCCCGGCTCTGAACTCCGTCTAACTAATGAGCGAGAGTACCTCCACGGCGCTCCAAGTCGACTTAACCTGGTGGCACACTTCTTCACCCAAGATATCCCAACCAGCATCTACAAGACCAACCTCGCCGTCGGAGGTCGGGATGTCCTCTTGTGGACTGGCTTACAAGGCACAATCGGCGTTCTCATCCCATTCCTTACCCGCGAGGATGCCGACTTCTTCCAGACTCTAGAAATGCACATGCGCAGCGAAGATCCACCACTTGCTGGACGCGACCACCTCATGTATCGCGGTTACTACGTCCCGGTCAAAGGAGTCATCGATGGAGATTTGTGCGAGCGGTACACGTTGCTGGCTAACGACAAAAAACAGAGGATTGCCGATGAGCTTGGTCGCTCGGTAAGGGAGATTGAGCGAAAGATTTCGGATGTTCGAACTCGATCGGCCTTTTAAAGGGACGGCGGAGCTGACAGAACAGATCATATGTGTGATCTGGGCCTTGAAGGGGTTGGAGGCTTCCGGATAAGGCCGTATAGCGTGGGGTGAAGTGGAGGGAGATCCTGATCGTTGTCTTGTTCGAAATGGCGATGCTAACATCCTTTTAGAGACTGGGGTGACGAGGACATGGGTATCCTTGAAAGATAAGTGGACAGATTGTGGCTTGGAGTCAACTGAAGCTAACATATCGTCAAGGTAGCCAGAACGGTAGCTGAAGAAGCGGCAATCGAGTGCTATTTCTAACATCATAACATAACGTAAAAGTGAGTTCGTGGGCTTGAAGGTGTTAAGTCACCGCATTAAATGGTCCTCGGTAGTGAGATCTCCTCAGGGTTTTTACGTAGCGGAAGAGGACATGATCAGCCCCGACTTCGATGCCATCCTTAGCTTGCCAGGTACATGTCTTGCGCAGCGGACTACATAAGGACAGTTATGCAACATGTCCCCGCTCGGCAAGTTTGTAGTCAGCGACTCAGGGTGGATGGTGTTGGCAACATCGATAACCAAATTCCTGGGTTTTCCCTGGGGCTTGACGACCTTAGCCCAGTGGGTGCCACGACCAGCCTTACCGTGGGACGTGTTCGTGGGGTCCCCGCTGGAACCCGAAGGCTTAGCTTTTTAGCATCTGAGCCCGTAGCTCCCAGCCCTGCCATAGAATAGCCAGGCTAGAAACGGGCATTGCAGTTGTAAAGAGTGATCGACAGTTGTCCTAAGGCAGAGTTAGTAGTTGGGCATCGGCTGGTGGGGTATTATGCAAGTCAAGCCCTACGTTGTAGTGTTCATAAACTTGGCCATGGCCTCATAGAAGAGGGAACATTGAACCCATCTCTTCCATTTACTATATAAACAATGGCGCGATTTGAGAAGAAAGTCCTCAGAGCGGACACGAGGATCGTCCATGTCGTTCCCTTTACAGACTACTCCTCGCGGCCCGCGCGGATATGGTCTTCAAATGTGAAGCAGAGTACACACTTCCACCCCTCTACGGCTTTATCTTCAATTTTACGCACTCCAAGGTCGACCCGGAGACCATTGACTTGGTCGGTTTCCAACGACGAGATCTTCGGAGGTTCCGGGTGGGATATTGACAGGGCCCTCTCCGCCTAGACATGCACTTCCTCCATGGTGCCGGACCGGATGAACCCGGACGTAGACGTGTACAATGGCATCCTGTTTATCTGCGAAGCCGAGGATTGGCGTGAGGGTCCACCTCTACGCTAGATCGAGTTCGAGTTCGACCCGGAAGACAGCGTTATCGAGAGGCTCAGAGAGGAAGGAGAGACGTCCGAATTAGGTCCTACGTATGAGAGCAGCGTGACCATCGAGTACCTTGAAGAGGGCATGCCAGCCGGAGAGACCATCACAGAGGTTGGACACTGCGGGATGCGTGATGGAGAGTGCAACGAAGCGTGGTACGGTGCTGCTAGAATGGGCTGGAACAGTTGGTGAGGGACAGAGAAAACATTCTATTCAGGAAGAGAAAGCAGCTCGTGTCCGATGTTGACGGCGAGTATACAAGTATGGATGTAGTCGTGAGCATAGCGGTCGTGAGGTTGTTAGAGAGTTTCTCTAACACCGAGTTGCGGGGTATTACATAGGCATGCTAAGCCCCGGTTTATAGTGTATGCATGAGTTAAAGCGACGTGGGGGAATTCTAGCTGGGGTGTTCAAGCTGAGACAGATGTTTCTGATCACCAGGTAGGCAGGTATCTTCCTAAGGATGTCCCAGAAAGTCCACTGATGGGACGGGTCACTACAAGTACTTTGTAGTTCAAGGCCCAAAAGAGGAGATGGAGGAAGAGGAAGAGAAAGATGCGCTCCTGCACAGATGGCAGATGGGCGGCGATCCCTCTTCTTGATGTGATCAAAGGAGAAGAGGAGGGGAAGACAGACAGACAGTTTGACAAGGTGAGGTTGCGTCCGCTTTGACCTGCCAATGCGTCCATGCTCGCACGGGCTGGGTCGTGGTTGTATGTGGTTTGCTGTCTCTCTTGATTCGTCCTTGGAGGCCTTTTTCCGCCTGTCTCTTTTCCTTCTCTTTCCTTTTTATTCTTCTTCAAGACAACGTTTTATACCGTCATTCTACTACTTCTCTCCGTGGATATACCCGGAGTTTGGGAGGGTTCGAATTCCGAGTCAAGACGGCTCCTAGCAGGAGCTGAGATGTTGAGGCATTCATGAGATCCAATCCAAGGCAGGTTGTGAAACGGTGGGGGCTCCAATCGATAAGGGCGAACTTAATGTCATAAGACGGCTCGAAGTACCTCACCTCGGTCTCGGTGCACGAGTATGGTCGACGACGGTGGAAAAAACTTGCCTGTAGATTTAGATGGGATCTTCGGACTTCGCAGTTTGGGAGGGGGCTTGGTACTACGCGGGTGACGGCAGAACAGTCTGCCCCTTCCGCGTTGTTTCCGACCCAGAACCGGGGAGCAAAACGTTATTCGGCACATGTATACAAAGGTAGTAGAGTCGATGTTCCTCCTTTGTAGATATCTCGAAAATCGACGCTTTAGTCGTCTGAATGGGATATGCAGCCTTCTTGATTTGCTTGTACGAAGTGATACATAATTCGTATGAAGCAATGCTATGCTGTAGGGGTCGTTTACCGAGACCGTTCGAAGAAGGGTTTGTCCTCGTTGATGCCCTATGAGTTCATCTATCCATTGAGGTGAAATTGCACTCACTCGTCCTCCAATGTAATGGCTGAGACGTGGATGGGTGGTGTGGTATGGGGATGGGGACTATGGGGGCGATGGGGTCGCTGATATTAACAGATTCAGGGTTAATTTGGCCCATTGGTCGCAGAGAGATCATTGATCGGGCGCCTCGGTCAATCAGATCTTCATTAGCACCTAAAGACTATTAGAGCTGTCCTGAGCGAGGCCAGCCCGTCTCTGGGAGGCAAGGGGGTTTCTAGCCGACGGTGAGAGGTTATGTTGCTTCAGGTGCCATTATGTGTGACCTTATTATGCGACTTCACAGAGGACATTGATGATTGATGCTTTCCCACCTCAGGATATGTTATCTTGAGTGTTCCAATCGATCAATTGCTCTGATATCTCTCGACTCAACAATATCGAGGGGACCCCCTGTAATACTTCGTGGTCGAAAAGTGTATATTTCTTCGTACTTTCGTACTTGGTAGTGGGCTTCGTCTTCCATCGAATTTGTTGATGCCACAAGACATCTTTGTACTTCGTACTTTGACTTCGTATGATGACTTGACACATCTGCATTAGTGGATAAAAGTCAAATGTACTGCCAAGTACATTACGTGGGGTCTGTGCATGTACTTCGACATGCCCCGCGAATCAACCGTCGAAGCTTCCCTCAGACAACCAGGGGTCAGACTAGTTTGTGACTACTTGAAAAAGTACTTTGGACAGACAGAGCATCTGGAGCAGATCTCCTGCATTGAGCATTACCACCACTGCCAACGATGAATTGTCCGAGAAGCACCAATTCCTGGTATTATGTGTCAACTTTGTCCAGGCCCAGTCCCTCCTTGCCCTTCTCTTCTGCCGCCTTCTCACAATCAGCCCTTGCAGTGTACAGCCAAGTGTGATGTCCAATGTAGAAGCCATGTACAGGTACTCCACAATTATCGAGTAAGCCTCCACGTCCAACCAGATCGACCCTCTGCTTCATTGCTTCGTCCGTCCCTTGCTTCCTCATCGTCATCCAGAAAGGAGGTGCAGCCAGTGATTTTCGGTCCCCTTTTTCTAGAGACTGGACTAGAACGCCACGCGATCGCATCAGTGTATTTTAGCTGCATGTCACAGTCGCTTTCTGTTTCCATATCTCGAGATTACTAGGAGTACTTACACTAGTCCACGACACGATGTAATCTACGAAGAGCCCGCGTCCCTGATTCCAAGATTTGTCCCTTTTCTCTCTCCCCACAGGGTGGTGCGACCGCGACCCGGGTATTTTCATTTCCTAAGCCTAAAGTAGATTTCGAATATTACACAGGTAGATACGAAGTAAATTAATTTTTGTACACTTCAGCAACTTTAAAAGACTGCATCAAATCATCCGAGTCTGTCCAACAGTCGGGACGGATACAGCCTCATCCCGCCTCTCCCTGCCTCATCCTCTTACAAAGCTCCCGCCCCGACCCCAATGCGTTTCGAGAGCTCTCTTTATCGAGCAGAAGGGTTGCCGAGAAAACATCATTGATTAATGAAATTATTATGAGGGGAGAAAAACTAAGCGGGGGAATCCATGACAGTTGATCAATTGATGCTTCATAGCGAGCAGGTACCTTTTCTCTGGGGCACATTTAGCGCTTCGCCCAGAATCCGGTAGCGACCAGGAGGTACTTATCAGTGTCCCCAGCGCTATTTCCAGAACGTGCTGCTCTCACGTCGCCCCTCGTTTTTTGTACCTTCCTTCCCTTTTCCCTTGCCTCTGTTCTTCGCCAGCACCAAAATTCTCCCCAATCCACCCTATCCCTCCTTCGTCCTCATTGACGAGACGAATTTCCTGCCGTCTTTCAACCGCGGCACCGGTTTCCACACCAGATGACTTCCTTCTCTACCTCTCCGGCGCAGTGTACATAATTTATCATCAATCCATGTCGGGACTCGTCGTCTTCCGCCACCGCATGTCATCGTGCCGGGCTGGTCAGCCTTACCCCTGAAACGACATCTCGAGGTCGCACTACTTGGTGAATGAACGCTGTTGGCACTCCTGGTCCCCGACAGAACCAGACCATCAGCACCGAGAGCACAAGAACGGAGATCCGCCCGCGAATTCGACGGAAATCTTCGATTTAGACACCAGAAACTCGGTTCTCACAGTTTCGAGTCTTCTGTACGACCGACCCATTGATCAACCCCGAAGTATCGGCGCCCTGACCCCGAGGGTCGCCAGAGCAGAAACGCAGCAATGTCGCTCAACGGTCTAGATGATCCCAAAGTTAAGGAGGCGCACGATGCCGCCGTCTCCGAACCAGGTGGATGGTATGAACTTTTCTTCACTTCAGATATTAATATTGTTTCCTCACCCGTTTCATCACGTTCACGCGCGCAATTTGCATACCCCGACATACGAATTGTTGTGTTGTTGTCCATTGCATACTCCTGACTAGATGCTCTCGTCAATCGCGCTTCCATTGCCCTTTCCTCAGCGTGCCTGTTTTGAGTGATACCAGCTCCCTCCCTTCCCTCCTCTTTCCGACTTGTGTTTCTTTGGTCTCGTGTAAAGCTGGCGGCTAACGGCGTGCGACCGTCTTCCTGAACAGGTTTCTTCTCAAGTATGCGAGTCGTGATGAAATCGATATATTAGGCCGTGGTAATGGCGGCATCGTCGAGATTCGGAATGCTATATCAGAATATGAGGAGACATCACCCCTTTACGGCTTCCTCAGGTACCGCCGGAGGAGCGTCATCATAAAATACCTCCCTGAAGGTTGCTCTCGCTTGATTCAAGGTGAGTTATCCTTTGCCGTATTCGCTCGGTTAGCTACGATGTTTTAGACGCGCGGCGACTGGACCTAAAATAGAGAGAGGGCACATGTCCGCATGTCCGTGTGTGTATGGAGGAGGAAGATCTTGAACTGACTCGATTGACTTTCTCTAGCGCGTGTCACTGTGCATTTCAATGCTGTGTGTGAGCGATTCTCCCCCCACGACACCACGTTCTCCATTACTACCGCGAGCGAGCTTAAAGACACCAAGCTTTCGGCCGCGTGCTCCCTGCATGCCGCCTCAGGGTCGACATCCTCCTCAACAAGTTCCCTACGCCGTAGGAGGTTAGTAGAGATTGCCGAGGAGGATGAAGAGGAACAACAGCGCGCGACCAAGCGCCAGTCCCTCGGGGAGATCGACATGCCGGACGCACCTGCCGCGCCTGCCGACCAACCCTCTGAAGAGACTCAAAATTCTGCGTCAAACCTAGAACCTCCCGTCGTTCTCAACGCTGAACTCGCAGCATCACCTGAAAAGGGCAATTTCACCAATGCAACAGACCCACCTGATTTCATGGGGGCAGCCAGGCCGCCTTCTCCCGCGAAATCCTTCGATACCGCCTCTAGAAGGATGTCGAGCCAGTCAACCCGCCCCGATTACTACAGCTATGCCTCTTATGGTAGGCAAAAAGTAAAGCTTGGTCCTCGACCGTCCTTGGACGTTTCGGGACGACCTCAGACCGCGACTGGGGGCACATTTAGGCCTGTTTCCACCATTCCTGCCGGCTTCAAGCTCTTTTCGAAGGGATCAAAGAAAGGAAAATCAAAGGATTCGGCCGATAACGATGCTTCCTCTTCGCCCGAGCAGCAGCACGCTGTACCAGAAGTTGCCCTTGACAACTCTATGGTCCCGATCCCCGAGCCTCCCGAATCCCCGGATGTAGACGAGTTCCGACGCCCGCACACGAGCTCTGGCCCTGGTCGTCCCGCAACGAGTTCTGGGGCGAGCTTCGTCATGCCCCCCTTCAAACCGACCACACCAGTCAAAGAAAAAATGACTCCCGAAAAGGCGCGCCTTATGAAGGCGATGCAGCTCCGTGAAAAGAAGAAGAAAATGAGCATGATGATGCCACCTCCTGTCCCATCGATCCCGCCCTCGGTCCAGACTCCGCGAGACGAGGAGTTCGAAGCGGAGCAATTAAGTCCTAAGCCAACACTTCCAGAAGAAGGCGCAGAAGGGAAACTTGAAACGGAGGAGGGTGATCCGGACGACAAGCTGTCCTTGTCGCAAGCCGACTCCGCCATCGTCATGGAGGCCGGTATGTCTGCGGCTAATGATCAGGCCTCTGAGGCTACGCAAAGCGATTCTCACCCTGCCTCGCCATTCATCGCTTCATCTGAGGCAGCTCAATCGACAAAGGCGTCGTCTCTCTCTGAATCTACAGATGAAACCGTTCAGGCTAGCCATGATAAAGAGGAGGAAGATGACGATGAGGGAAATCATGTCGATGCTGAAGACTCCATCATCATCTCCAAGGATGAGCGCGAGGACTCTAGTACCGCTCCTGGAGAAGACAATACCGAGGCGCCACTCCCCGAGGTCGAGGCTGAGCCCAACAGCGCCGAGAAACCTGAGGGCCCCACTGTTGCCGACGATCAACTTGCCAACGATCATGAGGATACGAAGCTCGAACCAGCAACCGAGGCTCCTTCCCGGACTCGCGTTAACACTGCCCTGCCCGTCTCCAAATTTGCTACAGCGAACAACTCTAATAATACTCATCCGGACGAGGTCACCATTGAAAAGGATTCGACGGAAGAAGAGAAAGCTGAAGAGGCAGTTGACGTCCGCCAAGAACGGAGAAGGAGTTCACTCAAGATCCCAATGTCCAAGTTCTCCACTCACGATCTAGAAACGGAGGATATCCCTCCAGTGCCCGTTCTCTCTATGCCTGAAGTTGCTGAAGTTTCTGAGCCTCAGGTGACGGAACAGGGACCGGAGGTTAAGGATGGGACCCAGCTGCAGGAAACCAAGGACCAAGATAGGACGTCTGTTCATAGCAGGCTCTCTAGGAAGACTGCCACTCTAGACCCTATCAAGACGGACTTGGCCACCTCCAATAGGGGCTCCCATGACCTGTCGGATGACGACGAGCTACTCAATGAGCTGCAGAGTGCGACGGTACAAGAAGCCAAGCCTATTACGGTCTCGAAATCCCCCCTCACTCCAATCTTTCCTGCTGTGTTCGGTAGAGATGGAGCTCCCCCAGGTGTGAGGACGGTCTCGCAGCCTAACGCGCTGAGAGGCTCGTCTCATCTCAGTCCCAAGGACCTGCCTCCTCCTCCTCCTTCGGCTAGGTCCATATCTTCTGGAGCCGCGTTTCTACAGAAGATTACTCAACAGCAAGCACAGGCTAGTAGTCTCGCGCCCAAGAAGACCAACATTGGCTCCAGCATTTCCCAGCGTATCAAGGCGTTGGAGAAGCTGTCTGGAGGAGGCGGTGCTGCTCCTGCCCTGGAACCAATCGAGCCCCGTCGCCCGAAGACACCTTCGGCGAATTTCTTCTCTGTTCGGAAGTCTACCGTTCGAGAGCCATCACGATCTCCCTCCGTAGCCGAACGCGCCACTTCATTCGCGAAGGGCAGCCCGCCACCCGGCACCAAGGAATCCTCACCAGAGTCCTCAAGGCAGCGATCCCGTGAGCGCTCTGCCTCACTAGCGAATAGGCTGACGATGTTCGAGTCCGGAGGTGCTCCTCCGCCTCTGCCCCAGTCTCGAGGACGAACCGAATCGATCCAAGTCAAGGCTAGGATCGTACGAGATCCGTCTCTGCCTGTGGGTGCCATGCCAGACCACAAGGATCCCGCAGAGTATGCGCCCCTGGAGCTGAAACAATCACCTCTCATTGTCGATCACAAGAAGGCGGAGCCCGAGTTGCCAATGCGAGCCGCTAACCCCGTACCTATTGCAGCTCCGAAAGAGACTATCCAAGAGAGGCGGATGTCGAAGGAGAAGCGGCGATCGGAATCCAACGATCGGAGTGGCGAGGCTGAACAGCCTACTAAGGCTAGGCGATCCTCCCTGAGCATCGTTAAAGACTTCATCAAGGAGCGCCGCAAGTCCCTCACCTCTCCTTCGGTGGATAACCTGATGGCGCCAACTCCTTCCACCCCATCGCGCTCGCCTTCGAGGCCACCCTCTGTACACCAGAACTCGTCGTTTCCGCGACGCCTCTCCATTAGCAGCCGGCGATCGTCTGTGAGTAAGGACCCCGGCACGGCTGGAACGCTTTCGCCCTCTGCCTTTACCGAAACGAGCGGCTCGGGCGACGAGTCCAAGTCCGGGACTAGCGAGAAGAAGTCCAAGAGTCGGGCCGGCCGCTTCATGAGGCGTCTATCCTCCTCGCTCCACGGAAGCCGTGGTAAGAACACGCCCACGGGTATTTCGCCTACTCTGCACGAGGAGGTGTCCGCCGAGGCCATCAACACTCGGCCGCCCCAACCGAAGGAGAATACCGGACCGACCATTGTCGCGTACATGGGTGATGTCAACGTGCAGTTCCCCGATAACCTTCTCTGGAAGCGTCGCAGCATGTGTCTCGACTCCCAGGGTTTCTTAATCCTCAGTACCACTGGCGCCACCGCAGCACCGATGGATAAGCAGCCATCGGGTGTTGGTGTCAAGAGGTACCACCTCTCCGAATTCCGAGTTCCTTACCCGCCCGAGATGGAGGTGCAGGAACTGCCCAACAGTGTTGTTCTTGACTTTATAGAGGGCTCGGGACTCCAGGTTGCCTGCGAGGACCGGGCCGGCCAGATGCACGTCCTTCAGAGTAAGTTGATGAATAGATCAGCCCGGTTGATGAATTTCCCTTGCTAACGTCACTCTTAGTTCTGGTTGATGCCCACAAGAACCACTCGTCCTTCGGTCAATAACCCGCAACCCTCGGACTGATTTCTCTTTTCGCCGTTTTAATATCATATCCTTTTAAACCTACACTCTCTCTGGCTTGAGAACGTTTTGTCTCCTTTGTCGAACATTCATATACATACATACCTCGGGCAGCATTCTGGTTTTCCTTATGACATGTTCACACGCCTTCTTTTCATGCCCATGGTTTCCTCTTCTTCTTCTTTTTGTGTTTGTACCTCCTCTCTTCCTTCTCATCACCTATTCTTAGCATGGAGCCTTCAGACCAAGGCCCTAGTTTCTTCATAAGCCTCTGAGACGTTGATACTTTCTATTTGATATATTGAGACCAGCACAGGGATAAAAAGTTGGGAGGAAAACCATCTGCTGTACATCATCCCAGCTGTTTGCTGGGAATGAAGAGACGAAATCGTCATCTATCTCGCCTATAGCTTTGTATTAGGACTAGAACACCCGCTCCCTTTTTATCCCTTGACCCCCCTTAATGTGTGGGACCAGAAGGGCACGTTTTCTGCGTTCTCTGGGGGCAAGATGGACTGGGTTTATTGGGGTTCATAGCCGAAAATATTTTCTCTTCCTTCTCTCTTTCTCTTTTATCTCTTCTCCTTATTTTGGTCGGTTTTTGGAGAAAATCGACATGTATGTACATCCGAACCATTCTCTTTCCCACTTCTTCCTCTATCTTTTTTTTCCTTTCTTGTTTTTTTGGACTCGTCCGATCCCATTTCTCTTTTTGTCAAAGTGCTTGATGCTTCCGTTTCTGAGGGTCCCGTCGGCCTCGCCCCTTCGTGTTGGCCAGTTTCCATTTGTTGTAGTTGATTCTTCTGGTCGGATGATACCAAGTTTTGTTTTTCTTTTCCAGGTAGAAAAGCGAGGCTGTCTAGCTTCTTCAGGTAGCCGTAGGCGCATATATACCTATCCATTTCCGTCCAAGATTTTGGAAATATTATTTGATGGCCTTGAACTTGATGAACATCTGTAGACGCAAGAGTGAGCGTCTCTTTGAAACCTAGAACTTCACGACAAAGTACGCAAGGCTGGGAACGAGCAACACAGAGCAGAGAATGGGGTTGTTTTCCTTCCATATTCGCTACAGCTCCCCCTGTGTTTTCCTTGTCGTACATGCAACATCGACACATCCATCCAAATGCATCTCTCCTCTCCTTCTGCGCTGATATACACAAATGCCATTTCATTCTTTATTTACTCCCTCCCCCCTTTCCAAACTGCTCGAGATAAAACATTTCGTTTCTTCCCTATCATTTCCTTCCGGCACGAATTTCCTCCCCTGCGATTAGTCTAGCGAAAAAAAAAAAAAAAAAAAGGCCGTAAAATGACAAAAGTTAAAAAAAAAAACACGAAAACCATCTTCGTACAAGAAAAGTGAAAAAATGGGTGATGGGGAGATTTCCTTGCTTGCTTTCCTTCCCTCGGCTCTGAGACATTCCGTTTCCATTAATACAACGAGGGCAGAAAGATAGGGGGAGGTTCGAGGATGAGGATGAGGCTGGGGAAAGACAAAATAGAGGGAAGGAAGCAAAGAAAAGGAAACTCTATAGTACAGTTTTTCTTCCTTCATTCGGTGGAACGCTATGTCCACATCCAAAGAGACAAGGCTCGGAAAGCAGGGTGAAAACGCGTATCGAAACCCGATGTCGTGACATTCTTCTTCCTTTTGTTTTGCGTTTACAGAGCAGCCTTGGCATCAGAGCCAAGAGCAGCACCAACGCGATCAGCAGTGCTATGGTGCTCGCCGCCACCAGCGGTGAGCACCTCGCTGCCGACCTCGCGCATCTTGTACTCCTGCTCCATGGCCATGACCTGCTGCTCCTCGGTGACGCAGATGGCGAAGGGGACGCCGAGGAGGAGGGCGGTGGAGGAGATGGCCCAGAGGGCCTTGCCGGCCCACCAGACGCTGCTACTGCCGAAGCCGACGACGGAGGTCACCTTGGAGGAGATCCAGCCGCGGGCGGTGGGGGGCACGATGTCGCGGAGGGCGTAGAGGCGATCGGCGAGGGACTCTTCCTCGGGATCGAATTCGGAGTCGGTGGAGATCTCGGAGTCTGCGAGGAAGAAAAGAAGAAAAAGTCAGTTACTCGAGTTGATAAAGGAGGTGAGAAGAAGAGTTTCAATGAAACCTAGAGACGGGCTTCATCGACGGAAGGAGCGATTCAACGTACCAGTATCGGTGTAATCAGCATCATCCTCCTCAATAGGACCAGCTTGGGGGGTGACGAAATGCTCGTCAGGGACCTCGGTAAGCTGAACCATTTCGTCGGCCTGGATTCCACTCAAGCTATTCTTCTCAACGAGAACAAATCCGTCGTCCTCTTCGTCTTGGTCTCGACCGTCGATTTCCCAAAGTCGAAGAAGCTCAGCTCGTGCAGCTCGGGCTCGCGCTCTGGCCTTGACCCTGGCAACCTTCTTGGCGTGGTGTTGTTTGAAGTAGGGGATCGTCAGGTAACGACGATTGACTTCGAACCGCTGTTGCTCCTGTTTCTCGAGGAGCTCGATCTGCTTCGCGTGGATATCGGGGATGAACTTGAGAGGCTCGAAGCGGACGGGGGTGAGGCGCTGGGATTGATGGAGACGGTAGTCGTGGAGGAATTTGAGGGTGGTCTTTTTTTCAAGAGGTTAGATTGATGTTTAGCGAAAGGTTTAATTTTTTTTTTTTTCTCCTTCGGCCTTGGGGGGCGGCTTGCTTACCTCAGGAGCTCCTTTGAGCTGCTGGTAGAACAGATAAGAATAGATTGCCATGGCGGAAAAATTCTGCTCCTATAGCGGTGAAACCTCGGTTGAAGGAATTCTAGTTTAGCCGGTATATGAGATGGTGATGTCAGGGAGAGAAATCTAGGAGAGGGTCACGTGAAGCTGATATCTAACCTCAGACATCAGAGCTCTGGCGAAACCTTGGGACTTATTCACATCAAGGGAAGGCTCTACCTAGAGAGATTGTGAATGGTTCAATGCTCTTTCCTTTGAATTCATTCTCTTATTCTGAGCCTGCTATTTAGCAGTTATTGTCGGGTGCGGTGCCTCCTTCCCTCAACTATTTCTCACACTCTTAAGAAGAGCATGTGTAAAGACTATGTGGAATAGGAAGGGAGATGCTGAGAGCATCCATGTAAATGACCACTTCACATATGGTTTGATGTGTGATTCATATCAAACAATGGCAGATTCATTGATAATGGGTCTGTTTGATATTCTCTAACCCCGGCTTCGATTCCTCGACGAACATGACACCCCGATATACCAACCCATACCATCTCCTGCGCGAGATCCACAGGGCCACTGGAGAGATGTCATCTATCCAAGATACGCATGCCCATCGTTTTAGGTCTGTCCTTCCAGGGTAGTCGACCTTGGAGACGCCAGAGTGTAGGCTGCATCGGTGCGTCTAAAGAACTCTCCGGAAGAATCTGCCGACGTTGAGAAAATGAGAGAGGAGGCTGATAGGAGATCCCGCTTCCCACGGTTGGGATTTCGCCACCATTACACGCATTACCTCCCAATATCCTGCTGAAATGGATAATAAAAAAAAAGCGATATTGGGGAGAGCGAGGCCGGCCAGAAGGGTGATATTCTTTATACCATGGGGCTAGCGACCCGCCTGGGAATGATTGTCTTGGGCTATTCCGCTATTGATGGCGGAGACGACAAGCTTCTCGCCCTTGTCAGTGAGGGGACCCGGGACGATCCGCATTGGAGTCCTTGGGGCGCAGACGGTAACAATGAATCCGAGTGGGAGGATAAGATGGAGTTTGTGGGTAGTGTCTCCCATGCTCTCGAGCAAGCGTTGCTCAAATCCGTCTCAACACCAGGCACCATGAATGGAAACTAAAAAACTTCATCTCGCTGGTAGCCCTGACCGCATCATCACGGATACAAAGAAACAAGCAGTTGAACGGAAGGATTATCGATTTTCCTATGGTTAAAGATTAGGACTCGCGGAAAACCGCTGCAAACCGCTGCAAGAACTGACAAACGTCGGATCGGTTGATCAATGAGAAACAATGGCGGGAACATACGATCAGTGATTACCAACGGAATGGAAACCAGAAATGGGATTTTAACGTGACCTTATAAGACACACAATTCGCTAGGAACGGATCGGAACCATCGTCAGAAAAACTTGCGAAAAACTGTAGAACTGATTCCTGGAACCTCGATAATAACGTGATACTGATGATGAACCGTGAGCTATCGATCGGCACTTGGTGTGTGTGTTGTTGTGAGCTTGCTGATGCGGATACAGATCATGCGTCCGTGCTATGACAGCAGGCTTCGGCTTCCACAGCCATTCGCACTCACACCTCTTTGATACCCAAGAAACGAGAGACTCCAAGCATCATTCATTAAATTGTCGTTACTACCTCGGCTCCTCAGGGGATTACCATGCTATCATAACCTCTTCCCAGCTTCCATCTGCCCCATAATCCTCCCTCAAGTACTTCCTACGCCTTGCAAAGCCTCTCATTCACAAGCTTCCATTTCTCGGATCCAGGGGTCGACTTGACCCAGAACACTCTATCATAGTCGTACTTCTCCTTGATCCTAAGCAGCTTAGGGTACACGGGTCCCCAGAACGCATTCTGCCAATTAGGCTCGTTGGGATCGCCCTCATTGCTATACACGGCGCTGTTAGGAGTCTCACGCCTAATGATGCCCCCAATGTCATTAGTAACTGCATCGAGCACCTCGGCGCGCCTCTCCGCAGAAAGGCAATCCTCTAGAAAGTACAAATAGACTAGAATATCCGCCGTATTCCTAAAAGTCGGGTGGACAGCACTGAGCGCCTGATTCGGATCGGGAACGTGGTTTCCGGGGTTAACGAGGTGTCCCCCGAACCCGACGGCTGGGTATTTTTGGAGGACCTCTCGGAAGGCAGCAACGATGTTATCCCCATTTGCGACCGCATCAGTGAGCGAGATGAGGCGGCCGCCGAAACCAGCCTGGCCGTTGGCGGCGTGGAAGGCCGTGAACCACATCTCGTTGTAGAGCTCGCCAAAGTTGGAAAAGGTCTGCACCTCGGACCGAGTGTATGTGACGTTTGCGGCGTCGAGGTTGGCGAGCATGGGCTGGAGGACAGCTTCGAGCTGGGCTTTGGTCATGTTGGGCGCTACAAAGGGTTGGGCGATGATAGAGCCCTCGGAGGCGGCGTACCAGACGTAAATGCCGTGCTTGACGAGCTGGGGGCCGTAGGTGTGCCAGATCCTCCAGCCTTCCCAGAAAGTGTCGCCTGAGCCGACGATGTTGAGAGCCATGCCTAGTGTGGTGGATTAGTTTGGACTGGTGCTGGAAATTGTTACGTGATAGTGGCTAGGCTTTGCGTAACTTACCGGAGACTGGAACGCGGTTGAAAGTCTTGAATGTGACGGAAGTGACCACGGCAAAGGTACCCGGGCCACCACCCTTAAGAGCCCAAAAAAGGTCAGGATTCGTCTTCGAGTTGGCCGTAACATGATTCCCATCGGCCAACACGGCCGTGAATTGGAGTGCGTTATCCGACGCAAGACCGTAAATGCCAGAGAGAGGACCCTGGCCACCCCCCTGTACGTAGCCGCCAGCCACACCAACAGTGGGACACTCCCCGGCGAGGACGTCCTGGTCAGCGGCCCAAACAGCATCGTAGAGCTCATGAACCATGACGCCGGCGCCTGCAGTTACGGCCTTGGCTCTGTAGGTGTCCGGGCCGGACCATTTCTCGTGGAGGGTGATGTCTTTGAATCGCCAGGTGTTGATGACGAGGGCGCCATAACCTATACTCGATGTGTTAATCCTCAACGCTCTATCCTAAGTGCGGAAATAAGGAGAGATATATCACAGGTTGGGTTTCGCGAAACTCACCGACAGAACGGCCCATGAAATCGTGGCCGGTATTTCTAATGATGAGTCGAAGGTTATATTTCTTGGCAAACTTGATGCCGGCCTGGATATCCGAGACTTTGGTAGCCTTTATGACGTAGGTCGGGACAACGCCTTGCTTGCAGTCGCTGGTGCAGCTGCCAGCGTTGGAGGGATAACAGGTCGAGTTGGACCAGAAAGGCAGCATAGGCCAGGAACCCAAAGAAGCTCTTTTCTCAGCGAGGCCGGCGTTAGCTTTCGCAGTTTCATTCCCAGAAATGCAAGCCTATGTCCAAATTTGAGGGGAAGGCAGACGGTCGAGGAGAGCCCACTTACACCCAGTCCGGATCGGACCACTTAGACGTAACCTCAGCGCACTTGGCTGGATCATTAACACCAACTACTACCTGGCCCTCATAGGTGGCGAAGCAGGGCAGACCTGGAGGAAGCTCAACAGAGAGCCTACCGCCCACTTCGGCGGAGAGCTGATTCCATTTGCCCTGCGAGGGCCAGCAAGACTCGCCAGGGTAGCATTTGCAAGTGGACTGGGGACCGGCCTGTACGGCGACGGCGAGGAGTCCGAGGAGAGAGAAGCTGGACCACTTCATAGTTTTCCTTCCAGGGGCTCCTTTCTTCTCTTTTTGGGTCAAAGAGGGAAAGGGGGATGAGAGGAGAAAAGAGATATGGGAAGGGCTGTTATAATGGGAAACTTCTTTGAAGGATGACGGAAACGTAAGAAGGGAGCAGATGGGATGAAGTAGGCATGTCAAGTCCTTATTATACCCATTTTCTCGAACCCGCGGGAAAGGATAGAATGTATCAAGGGCCGTGCTCGCTCATGAGAAAGGAAGACCCTGAAAATATAGGATCACACTACTCAGACTCTCGCAGAGCAGGGCCAAGAAGACTGCGGCCATGGCCAGTTCGATTCCGCGCTCTCTCTTCTCCCCGGCCCTATTCACAAGACACACATGCGTCCCTTAGTGAAGATAGCATGCTCTGACCATCCCCCCTTGCGGAGAAGAACAATAAACCAAAGTTGACTGAGCGGAAAACCGGGCTCTCTATGTTCCCCGTTCCACGAGATGCAAAACTACAACGGACGCTAGAGATGCAGCCTATCCGGCGACATCGGGATGGATCGTCAGTTTACTCGCAGATGCCATGACTTACGGGCTCAGCGGCAAATAGAGAAGGCCGGGATGCTTTCTCCCTTGATTCCTATTACCACGCCCTTTCAGACGAGAAGGATAACTAGGATAGGACAGAGGCCTTGCACGCAACTGCAAGGTAACACTAGCGGAGAGTCTAAGGGTGAAGTCGAAATACTCCCCCGCCCCTTTGTTTCCAGCTTCCTTCGTCAAAGAACGTGCGCTCGCCAGGTCGCAGTCCTCCGTTCCTCGTAATGAGGGCATGATGCGGAGGACTCTATTAATAAAGCGCAAGGCGGGAAAGCAGACATACGTAGCCGTACAGTAGCGTCAACCAAAGTTTCCTCAACAAAGAGTCGGACGAAGTCGATGCATCTGGGGCCAATTGTCGTTGATGGGCAGGTCTTTTGAACCCTGTCCAAGGCGAGCATGCTTGTCATCTCAGCTTGGGGGTTGTAATGGCTTACCAACCCTTCCCATTGGGGCATCAAGTCCGAGGTGTCATTGCCCCTGCAGAGCTCTTCTCGGATGCCCTGGGCCCAGCAGACGAAGTTGAGCACGAGAGACCGGGGGACAGGTGGGAAACAACTAACGCGGAGTTGCAATTGGAACGCCCGATTCCAGGCATTTAGCCTGGCGTCGAGGCCACGCGGAGTTTCTCCATTGAGTAAACATTTATCTGATGCAATGGCACCGTGGCATGCAGGAGATAGAGTAACGCTCTTATTCATGGATGATTGTCCTTCATTGTTATGCACGAAAAGCTGGAATAACGCATGATGTGCAGCCAATATTGGGGTACCAAGTAAAGAATCGTACAAATCATCGAGGCTAGCAGAATCGAGTAATGTCGTATTCGATGCGTACGGCATGCTGCTCGCAGGACCTCGCAGGATAATATTGGGTGGGGCTTTAGCGCAGGTCGGCCAGTTGTGTAGGATAATTTCCAATGCTCAATTGACTTGGCACAGGGACTCGGGCGGCGCTGTCAGGCGAGTCTGAGGACCGTGAGGGTGCGAGAGTCAACGGACCGGCATAGGGCACCGGACGGGCTCGGCGCGCTAGAACGTAATCGGTAGAATAACGGCGATGACCACTGGAGCTTGGAGGCGAAGAGCAATACGCCTTTGTCTTTGACGCCCTGCTGCACGGCACAGGACTCACTAAACAGACAGAGGGCTGGCCAGCGAATATACACTTACCGCCCTGACTGCAGATCCCAAGGACCCAACGGGGCGGGCGGCACGACATCCGGTTCCATACTTTGTTTTTTCCTCCCACAGGCTTTTGGTTGACCTGGTTGGGTCGTACGAAGTAATACATTGAGGAAGAAGGCCATTCATTTTCTCCGGAACACTTGGTTGGCGGTACCAAATATTACGAGGTCCCGGTTCAACATCTGCTGACATTCCTCCTATATCGGATCGGTTGGATCACAACGCACAAACGCTGTTGCTATGTCGTCCTTTGGACGGGAGCGGACGGGACGGGAGGTGGATAGGGCTCGGTCGAAAGAATAGACAGCGGGACGCGCAATAGCGAACGTGGGCAAATCGTCAGAACCGGGTCGACTAAGAGAGGCGCTAAAATTCGTGCTTCCCTCGCCAACCGGGCCCTTGGACCTCTCGAGCAAGCGCTGCAAGTTAAATGGGAAGCCGGTCAGTCATGTTTTTCTTGCCCCTCCATTCTAGATTGGAGAGCGGGCAAGTATGAAATTACCAGCTCGCGGACCGCTATTTCGTGCACATCGCCAGGCCTTCCGGCCCTGTCCTTCATGCACATTGGGTTACTACTAGCCTTCCACTGTTACCAAGCTACACAATGCCGCGAGAGGAAGGTGAGGGTTCAGGTGTAGGATTGCCCAGTCTCCATCGAACCATTGAACGGGAGTGGAAGAGAAGTCCACCGACGCGGGCGGGACGGGGGGTGTCAACAAGGGCACAGGCGTCTGCCATTCCCAATTCCGGGGGCCTAACGCACTCCCTTGGCCTTGGATTTGCAGCGGAGATGATCGTGCACAACTCCCGTGGGAGGCATCGCCGTGAGAGCGGGGAAGGTATTTCTCGCTCTCCGGTCTCTCAACTCCATCGAAGCAAGCTGTCGTCAAATTAGGGCACTTGTGGTGTACGGAATCCCCGGATCTGATCTCGTTTATTAAGTTTCCCCTGCCATTTGCGGTGCCAAGAGATTGGAACCCCATGTTTCTTCATGCGACGAACATAAATATAGTAATTACTCCGTACCTCAGCGCAAGGGTTGAGGCTTAGTTAGTTTCCCTGTTGGTCATAGTATTCGTTTAGTAATGTCTTGATCATGCCCATCGCGCGATTGCCGCAGGAAACAAGGAAGACTCGAGAGTTCACTTACTTCGTTCGAAAGTACGAGTGTTTGTCGAAGAAGAACAAGACTCCGCCATCGCTGCTGCGGTCCATCTACCGGCAGAAAGCGGCGTCAGTTCCCTATTACAGATCAAGGGCCGCACCAGTCAATACTCACCTTCCCTGACCGTGTTTGTCTCCTGGTTCCCGGTATTCCCCTCTCCATTCTCAACGGCGAATCAGAAAATCCGCGATGGCTGGCAGCCTACGTCGTACGCCCCATCTTTCCTTAACCTCAAAAGGCGAGTTAGCAAGCCTTACTGGGATAGGTGGTTCTCAACTTTACTTACTCGACTCTTGCTCTGTGGACATTCACTTCGTTCTGGCCGAGGTCGTACTTGGAGACCGTGACCAACCGCCTAGTTGAGGTTGTCATAGATCAAGATCACTCGCAGTAACAAAACGACGAGGGGGCTCTTCTGGGTCGCTCCTTCTGCTTCGAGACGACAGTAGCTAACCGTGTCGGAAGCAGGGAATGTAGCACCCGCACATTAGAGCAAAGACGAGGCCAATGATGACCCCGGCGAGGAAACCCTTGGTAAGCCTGCTCGAGGGCGGGCCCAAGGTGACCCACTGGTCCACGTTCAAGGGAAGGTTACTGGGCGAGGAGAGGGTGCTGTCCGTAGGACTTGGTTCGTATTTGGGGAGCCACTCGGTGACATGTGCATGCCTTGTCGTTGTTGCAAGGGTGGGTTCGTTTGTTGCGGTCGTTGAAGGTTGAGCATCGTGGCTGTAGTAGACCTGGGGATGGGGTGTAGGGCTGCTTTCGCCTGGGAGGTGATATAGAGGCGGCATGTTGATGTTGCAATATTAGTGATAGGCTCGAGTTGAGCTTGTTCTTAGAAGTCACGATTAGTGAACATGGAAGAAAAGAAGGGGAGGCAGAGAAGTGATGGAGATGGGGCTTGCTTTGGCACAGGAGATGAAAGAGTGAAATGGACGGCGACAGACCGAATGGGCCAGGATAAACAGGAAAACAGGACGAAATATGAAATAGTACCTTTGTAGCCTTGTAGCCTTGTAGCTTTGTAGCATCTCAACACCTCACACCATGGATCACACATCACCACTGGCAGGCACGACCAGCAAGTGAAGACAACAGATTTTATTCCCAGTTGAAAGCTGTATTGACTCTTGACCATTGACTTTTGATTGACCATTGACCATGAATTATTCCATTAATTGGCCAGCCTTAATTATCCCACTCCCTCCTTCTCTCCCAGCAACCTTCCAGTAGACTCTCTTCCCTTCTCTCCCAGCAACCTTCCAGTAGACTCTCTTCCCTTCTTCTTTATATCCTCGAAGCTGGCCTTTCTTTTCCCCCAATCGAGGAAGGGCTTGACCAAACGGATTCTCGCATTCGAACTAGAAGATGTGGATGTTCGTCGCTGGTGTTCAACAATCCACCATCCCATATGGTGTAGTGGTTAGCATAATGCTCTCTCATCTAATGAGCGCAGCATAGACCCTGGTTCGATTCCTGGTATGGGAGATGCTAAAACATCTTGATTTTTTTGCCTTTCTCTTCACCTTATCTTCTTCGTTTTTAATTTTCTTCTCCTCTTTTTTATTATTTTTATTTTTCCTTCTTATCCAAAGTCAACGTGTGCATGCACGGTGAGCATATTCAACTGTTGGTGGTAGAAAACCCTAGCGGCGGTGGAGGAGATCAACATCAATCACTCTCCTCGAGTATGAAACCTCCACCCCGACCAGTCTCCTCCCGTAGTTGCTCTTCTAAACCACTAATCTCACTCTCCATCATCTCTAGATCCGCATTAATTATCGCCTTCTCAAAATCGATGAGAGTGACGTTATCGTCTGGACCGATGATAAAATTATACCGATTGCAATCCCCATGAGCAATCCCCAAACCGTGAAGACGCCGTAACGCCGCCTGGCATACCTCGAGATCCTCCCAGCCAGCATGCCGACCGTCCACCTTCTCTAGGATGAATCCCATCACCCTACCTGCCTCGTGTACGTGGCCAAGGAATTTGGGCCCGATGCCCAAGGGTTGCAGGCGCTGATAGATTCGGGTCTCGGCTTCGATGTACTGGACTTCCCAGTGAAATCGAGCCATCTTGGAGATGATGGTTCGCTTGGTCTGGCTTTCCGACCCAGGACTGCCCTCTGTAGAGTTTTGTTCCTGCTTCCATATGGACTCTTGAGCGAGTAGGGTGAGTTGTTTGGTCCTTTCGAGGTCTAGAAAGCTAACCGTTTCCGAGTGCCAGATAGTCTGCACACCCGGCAGCTCAGTTTTAGACAGTGTTGGTTCCAATTTTCCAGATGCTGCGTTGCGAGAAATGTATGCCTGGTTCCAATTGTCCTTGTCATATGGCAAGGGAGGTAGAATATTGTGGAAGTCCAGTGGCATGTCTAAAAGTGAATCATCATCGAGTGCACCGGCTTGGATGGTAATGTACTTGACGTTGGTTCCGGCCAGGATCCGGAAGTAGTTTTCGACTCTACCGCCTGTGGAAAGCTCCATGGAAATGATGCGAAGAGGTTCCATCTCGATTGCTGTGACTATTTCGACGGAAAAGGAAGGATTTAGGCTCGACTTATTCCGGGTTTGACGGGGAGACGACGCACGGCGTTGAAAGAATGGCTCGTGAACCAGTCCGGACAAGATCACGTTCCAATTGTTAGTGGTCCGGAGTGCCGCAAATATCGTTGATACTTTGTTGTTTGGTCTAAGGATGGCTGACAAGCGCCTTGGAGAGAGTTCGACTATTGGCTGCCTTGTGCTGGCTTCCTGCAGGCTCTCAAATTTCCAACACTGGGATCTGGTAAAAAAGTGGCACGGAGCGCTACGGCGTTGAGCCAGCGGCAATCTCCCACTGATGCACCAGTTAGAAGGAGGAGGGATTCTAAAAGTAGGGCGACGACGAAACTTCAACTGCTGTTGCCTGTAGCCCGGTCGTAGGTCCATTTGGAAGCAGAGCAATGGGGCCCAGATAGATCTATAAGAACCCGATCTCTATCAAGATGACGGAAAACTCATCTTTCACCGGGGCACTTCCATCACCACGAGCGCCACGGAGCAACCAGGTATGAATTCTTTGGCAGCGCCCATCATGTAGAATAAGGCTAACATGAACTCACCAGTATCGAATTACGATTGATGAATGAGGCCGAGGCGTCGAGCATTTAACTAACCCATCCAACCTTCTGAAACCAAATATCAATCATCTGAGGTTTGTATAGTTGGCAACCCGGATGCACTACGTATCCCATTGCTCATGTCAATTGATTAGTGCTGGAGAGATTCGAATTCGCCATGTGCACCTGGGAAATGATCCAGTACACCTGCGATTGTGTCAAATGGGAAGGTCTCTGGCAGGCATTCCCTGATACCAGCGGCCTCTGTCTACGTTATTAGACACTCAACACCCTAGGAGAGACTTGCCCGTTCTGGAAACTCAAACATATGGAAGATGTCGAAAGGCCTCGGCCATACTCGATGCGTAGTACAGGCAACATCACGAAACATATGTGCCAAGTACAGAGGACGAGGGGTCACCCGCAAGTAATGGCAAACAGCAGGACACTGCCGTTGCAGTGTCCTTGGAAGTGCTCTGCATGGCAGATTCTGGAGCCCAGAGTTGAAAGCGAAGCAATGTAGATTATTGTAATACCAACATAATAAAGAATGGTCCCAAGGCGCCTTCACCTTCCCTCATACCACCTTCACCATGTCTCGCTCAGAGCCCCTGTGCAATCGCAACAGACTCCATCTGACCAAACCAAGGGCCGCCCACAGTCACCGCAACAATGCGTACTGAAGGGAGACCGGGGACTCGCGCTAGCTTGGCGCCTCTCAGGAGCCAGCTCCTCAACTCTTTCCTCTTTAACGGTAGTCAGATTCGGCGAGGGCTTGGGTTGGGCAATTCGCAGAAGCTCTCTTTTGCGAGAACGCCCGGCGCACTCACGTCCCAATAGTATTGGCCCGGTGCCATTCACAGATGCAGAACCACGTCCGGTGGTGTCAGGATGGAAATCGTGAGGGGCTGGGCTACTGTGAAAAGAGCTAAAGCCAGGCATAGTGGGGTCTTCTTGCCCACCGGAAGGATTAGGTTCGTATGCGGCGTGGCAACAATTCGGTAAGGGCCACGAATGGGAAGACGATCGGCGGGGGCTAAACGATGGGTTATTCTCTTCATGCCGCTGGTGGCAGTCACCCTTAGCGGAACTGGCGTCTCGAGGCTCATCTCGAACATAGATGGGAATCGGGATCCAACCCAACAAGGTGACACCGGAATCAGTAGGGAAGTGAGCGTTTTGTAGACCCGTGGTGTACTCTGGAAAGATGTTGGAGCGAGGATCGGGGATATTTTCGTCGTCTAATCCGAGGGAGGAGTAAGCGCCCTTCTCTTCGGCCACGCAAGCTTTCGGGTCATAGTGCAGTGCGTCTCGGCGGTGAGTTACGTCTCTGTCTCCACGACAGGAGTTCCTGTTCCTGAAGTTATTGTTCATGGTGTTGCGGTAATGGTTGGGGTGAAACATCAGAATTTTCGGTTGATTGAGATTGACTTCTTTGAGTGGATGGTTCTTGATCTGCCTCCCCACGGATATCGCCTTCCTGCGGAATAAACTTCTTATATTAGCGGAGCTGGAAGCAATATTGAGAACCAGTGACACATATCCGGCATGGTGGTGATTCAGGAATTGACTCCTATCATCCCATGACAGGCAGTCTGGCTACGAAAACCGCTTGCACAAGCCTCCCAGTCTACTCATCACCGCCTGGAGAGCTATTTACTGGCGTCATCGGAGGCATTTGAAATAAAGGTATCCCAAACTTTTTAGTCAGAGAAATCCATGGTGGGAACATGTTAGAGGAGGTTTGCAGATGTTCGAGTTTAGTAACCCCATTGATACGTCGTGAGTTGTGAGGATCCCCAGTCACTAGGCATGAAACGCCAATACTGACTAGTCTTTTTCTCCCTGGAGGAAAAGTATGGTGCCAAAAGGGGAGATGATATTTTTTTTGGCTGCTGAATCGATCTGGCCCAGTCTCTGAAGACTTTGTAGAATCTCCTCAAGGCCTAGAGATTCCTGGGGATATTCTACCTGATGTAGACAGCTGTCGAAGAGTTTTGTTCGAATCCGGTGTTGACGGATTTCTGCTTTTCTTTTCGTCATAATCCTACAACGTAGGCTCACCGGCTCATAGAATAATATCGAATGCTTGAAGTCTTTTGGAAATACCTCGGGAGAGTATCGAAAACCTCGTTACTTCATTTGGCGCAATGACGCTCCCGGATGGCCTTCGCACCCTTCAGCCTCCGATATTGCTAGGCCGTTTTAGGGATGATGTGTGGCTGGATTTCGGAGTCCGACCCGGATGCTACCAGGGAATAAGGTATTCAGCAAGGGACATCCATGTGAACGCGCTGGTGACTAAATCCGGAGGCGTTTGATCAATCAGTTGGCTATGGAGACAAGTTTGTCGTCGAGCGAACTGCCTCGTATGAAGCAAACTACATGTTGTTTCAAAGGGCTACGAAGTCATCCTCCTTTCTTCTGCGGTGACTTGTCAGCAGTTAAGTGCACAAGCTGTCGATCATATCCTGGTCGCCAGTGCTCAAGATAATAGCGATCGACATGGGCGCACCTCTGCCGGATGCGCGAAAATTATCTGCGTACGAGAGGTTAAGGTGGCGCAGATAATCGCTCTGATCAATCATTAACCATGGATGAGGAAGTCTCGGTTGCCGCGGGTTTTTCCTTGGTTAGACTTCCATTAAGAAAATTATGATGTGCCCTCTGAGTTATGCGGATCTCTGAATCGTGGGGGCATGGACTCAGACTGACCGCGTCAATGTAGATCTCTGCTTGCTTGATGGGTGGTCGAGGAGCGGAAATGAGAATCTGGTGTGCGGATGGGAAGACGATCCTGGTCCTTCTCCTGCCCATTGATCCAGGAAGTCTCGACAAAGGCGCTCATACTCAGACTTCGTGTGTGCGAAAGCAAAACTCCTAACGTCATCGTACCATGTTGCTAAAATCGAGCATACTACCTTTGTATGTCCAAACGACCGAGTGGAACAGCGACCGGGTTGACTCTGCTGGAAACAGCGAGTCGGGGAGAAACTGGTGGGTTTGTGCGACCCTTGAGTGTGCGCTCTTCCTTGTCTCCACGTGCCCATGACTGATGTCGCGAGGTCTGAGAATTGGTGTCATTTGCAACAATTTCTCCTCCTGGTTTAGGTTCACGACAAGTGTGAAGCCTATGGGGGAAGGAGAAAGTGTGAACCCTTGTTGAGGTTAGGGGCGATCAAGTCTGGTTCACAGAGAAGGGGTCCAGAAAGGGGGTGGTCATTCTCAAACAGACTTTGACCATGTTTCGTTTCATGCTGTGTTTCCCCATTGTGGCATTTTTAGCCAACCGCATCGCGTCTGGTCCGTTTCTCCCTGCTCCGGAGCCAACCAACGCTGCCGTAGCATGAGACTGGTTCAGCCACCCTTTGCCAACCAATTGGCTGGATAACCGGCGATTCACTGCAGGGGTTGTTCACCATGTCGATGGTCCTTAATGGTTCCCTTTGGGAGCAGGAACAAATTACCAATGCAACAGGCAGAGAATCTCAGCATGACCGTCGTTCGACGCAAAAAACAAATACTACGAAGTATGAGATAGCTTTGAAAGAAGCTCGGAAGACTCTCGGAAGAGCAGGAATCCTGTGAATAAATTCAAGGAAAATGTGCGGGTTCGCTCGGAGGAGATACCACTTGCTAGCAAGTCGATAAAGAGAGGGAATCGTATGGTGTAGCGCGTGGTGGTCAGACTTCGGCCGCAGAAGCCGAGTCCATTTGGGGGCCGAGCCAACACCATCGGCAGTCCGTCCAACAGTAGCCGCTTTATCAGCATTCCCTTGACTTCAGCTTCAGGTCAGCGACTGCACTATTCTGCTTGTGAGGCCTTTCAACTTGCCACCCTTCTCCTCCGCGGTGCAGCCCTCATAGCCCCGTATGTTCGGATATTCTGCTAGTGTTTCGATCTCAACACCAAGGCGCATATCCTAGGACCGAGACAGTTTAGTGCTGGGAAAAAAGCCCATCCTTTAAGTCAGAACACGGCTGGCGATGTAAACTGCAAATGGTGAGGTGGCGGGGGTGGCTTTCGCCGTGGTTCCGTCGCAGCCAACAAGGGCCTGATGTGTGGGGTGTAAGAGGGGGGCAGAGGGGCGGCCGAATGTTTCAACTGATCGCCGCAAACACCTTGCGATGGTCTCCCATTGACTGCCAAGTTACGAACCGCAGAAATGGTCCCTTTTTTGGCTTTCCTTTTTTCTCGGGCCCCTTCCTTGTCGAAAGGGCTTTTAGCGTGTCCGAAGTCGAGACATCCAGATCAAAAGAATACTTGATCCCCCCCATCGCCATGCCAAACCCGACTTCTTGGTCTGACCCTCTTTCCTTCTCGTGTCTGCAGCGTTTGCCCATCCTCATCTCCCTTCCCAGATTCTCCACGATCTAAAACAAGGGTGCCCACTTTGTGGTATCCATCCGTGGCATAACAAAGCCCGTTCCCGAAGGTCCTTACAACTTTGCAAACGGCCGAACGACCAACATCCTTGCTGCGGGAACCCACTCGACTGCTTCGCAGACATCCCAACGACCTGATTTACCTGGACGGCGCTGGACGCACCCACTCAAGCATTGTGATCCACCATTTGTCCAAGGTGCAACTGGGGATCAGATCGTTGCCTATTCTGGACCGCCTAGCCAAGATCTGGCCATTTGTCTTCGCTGCAAGCATCGCACTCACCAGAGGGGCCAAGGCAAAGGGGCCGATTCAACTGCGGAAACAGGTTTTGCGTTCTATCCGAGGCAATCCTATCTGAAACTCCCTGCTCTGGAGCAAACGGACTCAGTCTGCTGGTGTTGGTGCCTGTGAAATTGTGTTGGTGTTGATAATCTATATCATCATCCTCCACGATCACCGACCTACTTCGCACCCTTCGCGCCTTCTTCATTGTTCGGAACCAATCGTCGAAGTCGCTCTTTCCTCTGATTTCTCTCTCCTTGGTTTGCTAGGAAGCTGCAATCACAACACAACATCACGATATCATCACAGAAAACAATTCAAAAATAATATTTAATCTCGATCGGGGCTTTTCTCATCCGCATTACGTGCAGCTGCCGCTTCGCCTCTTTTTAATCTCAACCGATCTCCATCAACAAGGACGAGCTGCGCTTCGCCTCATCCTTCCATACCAAACAATTAACGAAAAAAGGCCATTCCAACTACCAACACGCATTCCTTTGATCGAAACGCCCAACGAAGGTCCTCAGTGAGAGAGACGTTGAACCCTCCCGGCCTCTCCGAGCCTCCTTTTGTAACGACGACAACTCTCGCAGCGTCTCCAGTGTCATTAGGAGGAATCCGATAGGAGAACCCTATTGGCTTCGCGGCTGCACTGTCTTCTCTGAGGACTCGCCAGGCATACCTTCTACTTCAAACCTGGGCCTACAAGGCATGAAGTCGATCGATCTTGATTAATATTCGGGATCCTCACTTCTCTTCTACTTCTCCACTCCTGCCCAGCAGCTCTCTTTTCCAGCCCTTTCTTTACTGCCTACATAGTGGTCGAGTAGTTCCCACTCTTGGAGAGATCGACGCCACCTTACAGCCGCATTGACGGTTGCTCATCCGTTGTGAGCCTATTTTCACTTACACGGGCCCCAACGGTCGCCTTCTGAGACGTTTCGCGTTTCGGAATTTACCAACACAACCCTCACCCTTAGCCTCACCAAATACCTCTTCTTTGGTAACAAAGGGAGTAAGAGATTGCAATTAGCGACTCTCGATTTTTCTATTTCCAGCTTCCAGCATTGAAAATTCGAGAAGTGACACGGAAAAAGATCGGTCACCTGAACGAGTGTCGACTCAGCCGGCTCAACCTGATACCGACTGTCCGCCTATTCCGAGTCTTCGTTTTACCTTCCGCGTCTCTCCTATAGGACTCGCGGTTTTTGAATAAGCCCATTTCCTAGGAGACTTTTCCTCTTCTCTGTTTTCCGATCGGAGTGGCGTTCCCCCTCAGTTCTTTCAACTGCCTCAGTCCATCACGATGCAGCGTCGCACGCAATCGCCTCTCTTGAGCTTCGCCCTCGCAGCTCTACTGCTGTCGACGACCATTTCGGCCGAAAGGTCGCTGGCGGACATCATGCGAGTGAACTCCATCCCCGAACAATGCCTACGAATCTACGAGACCCCCGTCCCCGGCTGCACAGAGAAGGATTTCGAGACTCAGACCTGCTCCACCGCCTGCATTCGAGGCCTCACCTCCATGCAAACCAGCATCCAACAAAACTGCGCCAACGTTCGCGCGAGGTCCGACACGCTCCTGGGCCAAACCCTCCTCGGCAACCTTGTGAGCATAATATGCCGCAACAACGTTCGCCAGCCGACGTCGACGCCCGTCGCAACGCCGACGACGTCGGCGAACAGGAACACACCCACACCGTCGGAAGGAGAGAGCCGTACGACCCCAACGATCCCAACATCCCTGGTTGTGGCCCCCTCTTTCACCTTTATTCCCATTAACAGCGATGTAGGCCAGGGCACAGACGATGCTCAGCCGCCCGAGCAGACACCAGCGACGGACAATAACGACGACGAGGACAACAAGGACCGCGATGGGAAGAGCGGAAACCAATTTGACCGTCCGCAGGGTGCTGGCGGTAGTCCCTTCGATATCGTTGCGTCGCCCTCCGCTCACCTTGAGCCCGTTGTGGCTCAAGTAATACTAGCGGCGCTCGTGGGCCTTGCGGCGGTCATCGGTCTATAAGTTGTCCCGACTACAAATCAACACCATGAACTCATCATGTCATTTCCTTTTACAGCATCTGCGAGTCTATTGCGAAGGAAGAAACGGAACAGGTCGTGTTTAATGTCTAAAGGATCTGCAAGAACGCAATCCGAATCATGTCGGAATTCACGAGAACACATTGAGGCCCTTCTGCCTCTCTGTCCCGCATCAAGGTTTTCATATGTCTTTGTCATCATTCATTCCTTTGTTATGAGATTCACCTGGGCCGGGATAGACGGGAATCGAAAAGAAGTGCAAGGAGGCTTCGGTTATTCTGCCATGTTTTGAGTTTGGGACACACGAAAGGTGAGGCCCTGATTGTGGAGATTGGGATATTGAGGAGGAGTCTTTACGTGTATGATTAAATCGGGAGTTTTCTTGTATTGTAGCTATTTTGATACCAGGCAGACTTACGAGCTGCTAAAATGAAGGAGAATCCGAATGGATTACAAGTAAGCGTTTCGAGATTGTGAAGAATAATATTTCTGGGGCTATGGGGCCTGGACCGCAGTGTCCGGGACATGGTAGACGCAACGGTGCCTACGCCATTCTGAGAACCTACGGAGCAGCTTCCGACATCCAGATGGAGGCGAGACCCGGACATGCTAATATCCGGAACGGAGTCGACCCCTGGTCCCTCTTTCTCCCCGGACGGGACCCCACCTTCCGCTCCTAGCGCCGAGGTTGGCTCCATCGTACGAAGTACTCCGCAAATTTTCGTGGAGAGACGAGCCACCGTCGTGCATAATAAGTGTACTTTGAAGTGGTGTAGAGTTTTCTTTTGACAGATTTGAAGATTTTGAGGCAATAGCATTTTGTTTCCACTCCCGCTACGACCTTGCGTGGGGATCAGCAAGGGGTACAAGTATACACTGCAATCAGACTACGAAGCACGAAGTACACTAGAGCGAAGGAAGGGCATTATCTTGGAGGATTTGCGAGAGCAAAAGAAAAGAAACGAAAAGAAACGAAAAGAAAAGAAAGGGAAAGAGAGGAGCGAGTCTTTGAAAGGAGTATCGTTGTTGCTTGGGGGGGTTTGCAATTTTGAGTTGGCGTTCTGGATGTAACTCCTCCCCATGCACGAGATGCTTGGACTTTCCTTTTTCCACTCCTGGTTGGCAGAAGACTTTTTTCTTTTTCCACGAACATCACGGAGGAACCGACGGGGGTTTACGGGAGTAGGATGGAAGGGGGTGCATTTCCCATGCAGCGCCGCAGCGGTACTCTTGTCGGCTTGCGGTCCTATTCGACGAGAATGCATTATGGAATGGATTGGGCAATGGCGCGTTGCGGCTGTTAAAAGTAGCGGACCTCATTCTTTGTCATGTGCACCAAAGCACGTCCCTCTTCCTGCTTCCACCTCTTCCCGCATCGTCCTCTCCCCAGCGGATACGAAGTCTACGAAGTATAAGTAAATGAGATTCGAAGGGGAAAAAAAATGAAAGCAAATGTGAATTATCATACTGGGCATCCCTTCGACCGGGGTCGTTGGGGACATCGGGCTCGACAGGAACTCCGGGGGTATGGGCCCGCAATTTTATTGAATGGTAGTCGGGCTTGGCGGGCAGGGTGAACCTGGTCCGCGGTAGGGAGAGAAATGAAAAAAAGGGAGGGTGGTGGAAAGCTTGTCCATTTCACCGCCTCGCAGATGGAATGGGGAGGGAGAGAGATGATGATGCCGGATTGTTTGCATCTTGCAGCGTTGGGTTCCGTGGGAAGTCTAGAACTTTTGGGCGTTGGGCTCTCTCGTCCTTAAAGAACAGATATCCTGCTCGAGAAGCGTGATTGGTGTTACTAGAGTCCCGGATTTGAATCACACGGGTAAGCAGGACGGAAGGAATTTGGAACATTGAAAGGCTTGAATGCCAAGGAATGAAGGAACATAAAGCTGAAAATACCCTCGGTCAAGGGGAACGGATACTGATGAGCACGTCCCACGGCTCGGCTGCAAGCGAGGACTCTTAGTCTTGCGTTATCGCTCTTGGTCTCATCTAGACTAGATAGAGTCGGACACGATACGGCTGACCGCGGGGAACACCGGGTCCTAGTAGTGACAACTGGATGGCCGAAAGGGCCATGGGGCTGGAGTCGATAGGTTACTATTTCGAAGACATTTCTAACTGCGGAAGATGGTGAAGTTATCACGGGTGAAACGATCGATCTCAACGGGTTGTAGTTCTGTCCAACTCACTGCGGTACGAGTGGCTTGTGCGGGATGGCGGGTGTGATGTTGCCGGGCTAAACCCGGGCCGGCGATGAGCTTAGCAGGCCTCGGTTTGTTTGGCTGCCCAGTCAAATGTCCTTTTCACTATCTTAGTTTAGTTCCAAGACGGGATCATCTTCTCATCGTTGCCCGACGAAAGTGTGTGTAATGAATGTGTGATTGCTAAATCCACACGAATGAGAAGAAATTACGGCACTCGTATGCAGAAACAACTCAACGAGATGGTCTAGCCGGTGCTTCTGTGTTCGAGCGTGCGTTCGCGAGGTGGGAGATCCGGTAAGACGGTCAGCTTGGTTCGGTATGTGACCTCCCCGCCAGCGATAAGAAGCAGATCGTGTGGCGGTAAAGAGTACGAACGAAGTAATACCCCACGTTGGATGTTAGCCGTTGTGAGATCCGTCGTGGTCGATCCCGGAGCTGAACTCGGCCTGGGCCAATCCAATCCTGTCGAGATTCTAGAATCGTGAGTCACTTTCTATTCGAGGTGCAGAAAGTCGCCAACGAAAGGAGGAAGAAAAAGCAGATCGAGGTAGGAATATTGGAGTTTTAGTCACGTCGTGGCAAGAATTTCCTAGATGAGGTGAGCGGACATGAAAAGATTGGCTCGTGATCCTCCGCGTCGCTACCCAGAGCAAGGGTGCACCTGCCCTCCGTGGTGGGCACATGCCGTGCGATTGAGCGGTTGAGTGATTGGACCATCAACAAGGGAAGGTACATGGGGGGCTCTGATAAGTCACCCGCGACGCCACGGCGGAAAGAGCAACTCCAATGGTCCAGGGTCCTATCATGTTTGGGCAAGAGCAATGAAAAATTCTTCGCGAAAAGGTAGGGAGTTGAGATGTCGGTAATTACTTCCCGTCGTATAACAGTTTAGTTCCAAGTTTGTGACCCAATTGATCCAACAAGGATACTTCGAAGACTTTGCCACGACTCAGGACGGAGAACTTCCTTCTGCCTTGTAGATTTGATGTTTCCCCCCAGACGATCGTATCAATCTAGTGCCAATCATTCCTGAAGTAGTGCGTTGGGATCCATCCTCGCACTCCGCATCAAGCCAATTAGTTCTTCCATAGCAAAACATTCAATCTCTCGTCTGTGGAAAGACACGACACTACACCACAAAAGTAACAATTTTAACAATCTCTGGACCCTTGCACCTTGGAGGCTAGGGCGACTCTAGTGTCGTGAGGTGCCGACGGGTTGGTCGAACTGTTTATAAGCATCAAGCTAACGACTCATGGTTAGAATTTTCGCCCAGGCCGTCCCTCAACTTCGTGTTGAGAAGAAGTACTTAAGTATAGCTCCAACCCTGCCTCCCTCCGCCTTCGGTCGGCCGAGTTTGTTTCCCGTCTTCCAAGAGCAGAGAGATCTTCGAAAGAACCCTGGGCCATCTCCACTCGACTTTGTTTCGATCTTCCCGTTCCCGTCGACACGCCGCGGAACTTCAATGCGCCTACTGCGCAACACACGCCGAGGTGAGCAAACCCACAATCTCCCATATCACTAGTGCCTTTGATGATGCGTACTTCCGTCGGTGTTTCCGCGCCGGAATCCGTTGATTACTGTCATCGCCGTCATCGCCGTCATCATCGTCATTCCTCTTTGCCCCCTTCATTTTCGTCGCTCCAAAAGAAGAGATTTGTCAAAAAACATCCCAGAGATGTCACCACGCATTGATGCTAACAATTGCAAGTTTTTCTGCTATGAATACTATTAGGCCACATCCTAGTCCCTGCTTCGACGATACCTCCCCCTGAAGGCCGTCCGGTAGCACCCAAAGACCTGCCGGACGGAGCCCCGCGATTCCTCTAATTTTTTTTTTCTTTATTTTCTATCTCCGTGCTCGGCGATCGCGATTTTCCCATTTCCCGATCCGTCGCTCGACGTTGATTTTGCGCTTGCCAGGATTCCCAATTGGCTGGGGCGGGAATCTTGTTTCGCCTCCCGTCGAAGTCTTGGCCCTCTGCTTCTTGGCTCCTTGGCAAGATTTTCCCCAGATCCAAGACTTGCCAAGGACGGTTCTTTGCGTAACGGGCGCGATTGTAGAGTCCCGCCAAGCAGAACTCCAGCCTTGGCCTGCACTAGCTGGATCGCGAACAAGCATTGGCGTCTCGCCTCACACAGGGCTGCGAACCGATAGCATTTTCCTCTTGGCGCGCATCACCAAGAACAGATAGGAACAGGATTGGACAAGGCCAGCGCCGCCTAGTTGGAAAACACAGGGGCGGTGCGATTCTTTGAGCCTGTGCCGAGGGTGCAATACATTGTCTCCTCGATTCATTCGCCTCTCAGGGATCTCTTTTTTCCCTTCCTATATCTCTTATCGCTGATATAGAAGACAGCTCTGCGATACTACCATAATACCCTGCAACCACCGACACAATGGCGTGGGAGCATCTTTCCACCACCAGATCGCATCTGGTCTACATCATTCTGGGTGGCTTCACCTCCCTTTTCATGCTTTGCTCTTCCGTCATCAAGGAGCGCATGTACATCGGTGAAGCCACGGTCGCCACCGTCGTCGGCGTGATATTTGGGCCTCACGCCGCCAACCTAATCAATCCTCTGGAATGGGGCAATACAGATATTGTCACTTTAGAGTTCTCCCGTATCGTTCTCGTTGTGCAATGTTTTGCCATTGGAGTTGAATTGCCAAAGTACTACATGGAGCGGCATTGGAGATCCGTCGTCCTCCTGCTAGTGCCCGTTATGGCTTTTGGCTGGCTCATTACCAGCCTATTTATTTGGTGGATGGTACCTGCTCTGAATTGGCTGGATTCTCTCGTCGTCGCTGCTTGCGTGACCGCTACCGATCCCGTCCTCGCATCGTCCGTTGTCGGCAAGGGCAAGTTCGCCCAGCGTGTACCCAAGCACCTTCGAGATCTCCTCTCCGCCGAGTCTGGATGCAACGATGGCATGGCGTTCCCATTCGTATATCTTGCCTTGTACTTGATCTCCGGCCATTTGAAGGCGGGCCCGGTCACCTTCCACTGGATATGTTACACTATTCTATACGAGTGTGTATTTGGTGCCTTTTTTGGTTTCATGGTCGGGTACATTGCCAGACACGCTATCAAGTTCTCCGAGGAGCGTGATTTGATTGACAGAGAGAGTTTCCTCGTGTTCTACTTTGTTCTCTCTCTCTTCTGCGCCGGAGCTGGAAGTATGCTCGGCCTCGACGATCTCCTGGTCGGCTTCGCCGCTGGTGTCGGGTTTTCCAACGATGGTTGGTTCTCTGAGAAGACGGAGGAGTCGCACGTCTCTAACGTCATTGATCTCCTTCTTAACTTGTCGTACTTTGTCTTCCTCGGTACCATTATCCCCTGGCAAGACTACAATGACACTGACATTGGCCTTTCTGCCTGGAAGTTGGTTGTCATTGCCCTCCTGGTCATCTTCTTCCGTCGCATCCCCATCATGCTGATGCTCAAGCCAATCATCCCGGATATGAAAACCTGGCGAGAAGCCCTATTCGCAGGTCATTTCGGCCCCATTGGTGTGGGCGCCATTTTCGTCGCCCTTTTGGCTCGTGGTGAGCTGGAGTCTGGTGACAGCGTCCCCGAGCCGGAACTCCCACCCGAGACGCATCCCAACTACAGGCTTATCCGGCTGATTTGGCCGATTGTCACGTTCATAGTCATCTCCTCCATTATTGTTCACGGTTCCTCGATTGCCGTCTTTGCCTTGGGCAAGCGTATCAACACACTGTCGCTTACTATGTCGTATACCCAAGGTGGCGAGGAGGGACCTTCGTGGATGAATAGGCTGCCGAGGCTCTCGTCACAGTCTAGGTCTCAGATGAAGACCATGTCGGACACGGAAGGTGAAGAGATGCCCACTCTGCCTCCCGGTACCCTACCTCCAATCGGTCTCCCCGGTCACTTCTTACGTCGCCAAAGGGAGGAAGAAGGACCGAGTAGGAACGGTAGCAGGGCCTCGTCTCGCGTGTCCCGTCGCCGCAGGAAGAAGAAGTGGGATGACGGCATTGGACCCGGTGGCCCCGTCGAGCAGTCTGCCATTTTCCCCACCCAGAGGACTTCTGATATGCTTAGCCCAACGAGCGTTGTGTCCCCAGGATTAGAGGGCGAAGTACCTCCGGAGGAAAGGGGTTCTCAGTCAACCTCCCTAGCTGCTAGCGATACCGAGAATCGCACACCCACCGCAGTGGAGGCTGCACGGACCGAGGCGGAACCTGAGGAAGTGCCGTTGACTCTCAAGGTTTCCGCCTTTGAACAAGGCAACCAGATTGTATTCGAGGATGAGGAGGGTGACGTACTCGGTGTCACCGATACAAGGGAAGCGCGCGCTCCTCGCGACTCGGAAAATGATAGCGACCGCCCAAGCCCAGGCACGCCTGGCCCGATCTTGACACCGGAGGCTGCGGAGACACTCAACAACAAGCTAAACCCTTCTGGCCAGGGCTCAAAGTGGTCTATGGACCAAATCAAGGGCAAGATGAATGAGATGTACCGCCAGAAGATGGAGAAGAGGAAGCAAAAGTCCAAGGAAGAGCGGAGACACGAGCCTGCGCGGGCCTTCCAATTCGGAAATACGGTAAGCCTTACCCTCGTGGATGCACGCATTGTGTAGACTTGCAATTAACTAACTCTCCATCTATAGGTCATCGTGGAAGATGCCGAGGGTGAGGTCGTCAAAACCTATGAGCTACCCTCCGAGAAGCCTGGGGCGCCCAGCAACGATCTCATGAGTCAAGGACTCAAGTACATCGGTCTCGCAAAGGCTATACCTGCGGCCACCTCCCCCGATACCGGCGAGCCAGCTGAACGCGGCAGGAGGAAGAGCAGGACTGAAGCGGACGACAACGAAGAGGAAGATGACCGCCATATCCGCTTCACGATTGGCGGCGAAGGTAAACGGTTGACAAAGGAGGCGTTTATCGCAGAGATGCAGAAGCTCGACGCTCGCACGCGCAAGGAGGTCGTCGCCCAATCTTCTGCGTCCCTAGCCGTCAAGAGACTGGCCACCCAGGATGCGCCGGATCCGTCTGCTGCTCCCACCAGAACCCCTAAGGAAGGATCCACCGCGGGGCCGGGCCCGAGGATTACGACCACCTTGCCTACCCCCCAGTCAGACATGTCCTCGGGCCTCAAGGGGCCGTCGCAATCCCGCAGGGTGGCGGGCCTTTCGAGCTCAACCGCTATCGACGACGATGAGGATGAAGAGACACCCGCCGAGAGGAGACGGCGAGAAGCGGCTCTAGGTATGACGAGCCACGCCGATGATAGTGACAGTGACGAGGAGGGCAACCCTAGGGTGCCGCCAGCCGAGAGGAGAGGTATTCGGTTTGCGGATGCATTGGAAAGGGGCAGGAAGAGGGAGTAGACGGGGAAAAGACGACATGCTGTTGGATTATAGACGATGGCAATTTGTTTTGAGTTTCTGTTTTGGGGATACACTGGAGAAGCTACGGATTTGATTCTTCTGTTCTCCTCTTCGATGTTGATTATGGTTTACTGTTGAGTTGATGAAAAGATAGATAGGGCATGTTGGAAGAGCGAGATTGGGATTTTGGTCTGGCTGCTTTTTTTTTTTCCTTTTATCCATATAGAAGCAGAAGCATAATGAGCGATCTTGATTCCCATGCTTTCCTTGAATCACTGGTATTTATTCTCTAGCCGTCTCATGGACATTGCATAGCCCAAGATCCAGTGACCACCGTACAATTGTAGAAGTCGTCATCTCGCCAACCTGCTCTCCTTCGTGGAACCGTCCCGAGTCCCTCTCGCGCCTTCCTTACCATTCCCCCCCCCCCCTTCCTCGTCTTGCCGACTAGAAACATCCTCTTCTTCGTTCTTCTCCCACACCAAACCCTACTTCTCTTCTTTACACGCCTTAACCCATCCCATCATTTATCAAATAATCATTAACCACCTAACTCAACCATCAATCTTATTCCATCTCGAAATTCCCCCAAAATGGACTCTACCAGCGTCGGCAACAGCCAGCAGCAGGATCCCAGCTCCAACCATCAGGCCGCCGCTGGGCCCTCTGGCCCTCAGGCCCAGGTCGTCCGACGCACTCCCCCTTGCATCAACTGCGTCTACCGATACTCGTTGGCGTGCTTGCAGTAGGAATGCTATATCGTCAAGGGTAAGTGTGCAGTCCCCCTTCCCCAAAAGGATAGAAAGAAAGAAATCATTCAATTGAAGGCATCAGTGCTTATTCTAGTGATTTTTAGGATCAACCGATGGGTGCCTTGGCTGCAAGGAGTACCATAAAGAGTGTTATGACGTTCCCAACTCAATTCTGCCTGTGATGGACAACTTTGAGCTTTTGTATGCTTATTGTAAGGAGAATGACACAAAGGAAGCCCGCGAGGTCAGTTGATCCCTCTTCTTTCTCTGTTTTCGTGTCCTTTCCCCCTCCCTCACTTGGAAACCAAAACTTGTGTATGCTAATGTTTGATGTTGATTTTCTAGGCTCTCAAGGCTGCTGCTAAGCATACCACCATTGCATGCATCAATGCACCTGTTGAACATTTTATCATTGATGTGAAGGATGAGGGTGAGATTGGAGAGGCTGATAGGCATGGCGGTGGCATTTTTACTATGACTGAGGAGTCGGAGGCTGCCTTTGTCGGTGAGGAGGATGAGGACCAGCACGACACGGCTGCCAATGAGAAGTTTTTGAAGAGCCTCGAGAGGGCTCAGCAGGCTATTCTTGAAGCTTTGAGGGAGCTTCACGAGAAGATGGCCCGGAAGCAGAACGAAGGCAAGAACTAGGGCACATGGATACATTGACAAGGACTGATTAGGGCACTAGCCAGCTAAGGAGGAATTAGGATTTTGTACAATGCCTGAAGGGTATCCTTATTTTGAGGGGGATTCTTTGATGGATGGTAGAGGATCTACTTTTCCCTGGTTAGCTGCTTAGAGGCCTTTCATATTGAGACTGAACTGAGCAGAATGTCCAATGGAACTTGAATTCCCAGAATGAAGAAAACAGAGCAGGGAAGAAGGTCAACTAGAGATTTTAACAATGATCAAGCCTGCCGTGAAGCGCATCCATTTTTTTATCCTCGACGAGCTAACCACCGTCATCACGGCCTGTCCTCCTCAGGCTGTAGACCTGTCGAGGTGAAGTTTGGGATGAAACTACTCTAAAGGAGAGAGGCTGTGCCAAAATACCAAGGGAGGCGAATGTGGTCATACAGTCAAGGGAGTTTTGCGAATCGAGTTAAGCGATGTATTCCGTAGCTAGTGCTAACATTCCTAGGGATACTTCGCCTCGAAAGTAGTACGCTATAATAATACGCAGTCCCATGCAGGAAAACACATTCCCATGCTTTTCAAAAAGAACTTCTTCAAACAACACTCCTATACTCAAAAGAATATTACTCCTCTCCAAACCCATGGGAGTCGGGAGAACTCCTTTAACCGCGGCAAGCATCACGAACCTCCTTCAGAACCTCAAAAATATCCTCTTGATTCCGAGCGAGGCGATCCAGAGTCAAAGAAAGCAGCGCCTGCGTCTGGACAATCCTATCCTGGCGTTCAGCGAGACGCGCCTGGGTATCCTCCACACGCTTGTTAGACTCCACGAGAGCCTGGAGGAGCTCTTTAGTCGTTCTCTTGCGTTCTGGCTGTGGGGTTTGCGAGACGATCCGGACTTTGGAGGGAGCTGGGGTTGTGGGTGATGGTCTGGTTGAGTCTAGAATGGAGGGGGCGGCGCTGCCGCAGGCACGTTTAGCCTCGTGGGCTTTGAGGATTAGATTCTATAGCTGTTAGAAAGGGGGAAGGGGAATGAGGGGCGAGGTGTAGAGAGAATACTAACAAGAGTAGTAGTCTCAGACTTCTTGGCTTCGTAGTCGAGAAAGGCCTTTGCGAAAGCATGGACTGCGTGGCTGGCAACAGCGGGAGGGTCAAGACAGGCACGATTCCCCCTAGAACAGTTGCTGCATTTCCCCTGAGAGTCTAGATGCTGTCAGGAGAGATGTTCTCGGGAGGTTAAGGCATAACAACGACGTGGACCTTGCTTACCCGACGACCAATAGCATTTCTAATCTAAGTGGCTCGTGGAAAAATCATTGATACATCTCAGGCAGGGTAGAAGTCGCCGTTCGGGGAGCACAAGAGTCTCGATTGTATCATCAGAATCGTCCAGATGGAGCCCCGATGGTCGCTTGCGGGTTTCTCCGGGGGCGGAACTCGGCTGGCCGAGATGAGGCTTGGGTTTGGACAGGGGAGTTTGAGAGCTGGTATTCATTTAATTCATTAGACAAGCTGAGATTGATTCATTCTGGAGTTGAATACAGAGGATTTCGAAACATACAGCATTCTGTTTTGTCGACCGTGATGTCCTTAGTCCACACCCTTTTGAGGATTAGATTTGCAGAGAGAAGATGTCCAAACGTACTCAAGCAAGTGCTGTGAGGAATAACTAGGAGACAAGGGAGAGCCACTGAGGCAGCTTTGGTTTTTTTTTTATGATTTGGAATGTGTCGTGTACCAGAGGCGTTTGGGGGCTGAGGTGTGCTTCTCCTTTGTTTAGATGCAAAATTCAATTCCCACCGGCACAAAGGAGGTACCATGCCCATGCACTTCAAAGAGATGAAGTCGTTGGAAACTTGGTCATGATTGATCTTGGTCCCTTGGAATTTCACTTGTTAGATGCTACGTGCCTCTGCTTTCACCCTATTCAACAAAGCAGGAACTTAGGCCACATCCTCAGATGTATGTATAAATACAGAATCTAGGTTTCTATATTCCCTTATCTCCTTCTCCTCTTCGCCATCACTATATCTTCCCCACCATCATTGTCAATCGTACTGAATCCAGTTATATGATAAACTGGTATTGTTCCCTCTTCCGATCTCATCCCAGGAACAAGCTCCAACAGACCTCAGTTTGGAAATGGCTAGTCCAGACACAAACACAACACAGCTTGTCACGCCTCTCCTAGTAGGGACGGACAGCATCGTGAAAGCAATGGATGAATTGGGTTCTGTTATGAAAGCCATTGAACTTTCTGCCCCGAACCGAGATGGCATCCCTGGTACAGAGGAGAAAACAACGGATCTTCCCCCTCCTGCCCAGAAAACGGATGACACTAGGCTAGAGGAGGAAAGGCAGGATGACACCTCCAGTAATGTGGAGGAACAAAAGGTATCCCGGCCTACTGCTCCCGACCTATGGGAACAGATCAATCGCTTTAGAGAGACTATCTACGCCTGCGAGAAGAGTGTGAAGGCCGATTACGACCTATTCTATGTAAGAGCAATCCAGTTGTCCTCGAGGCATCGGTGCAGTACTGACGAGACTAGAATACCGATCCTAGCGGTCTTACTAGGCCTGTCCTCGAGCAAGCAAGGGAGAGACTCAGGAGGAATAAGGAAACGCTGGCCAAGATGATGAATGAAGTCAAATCTACTATGAAGGACATTCAAGAGGGGCGAAGGAACGTTGGTCGTCAAGCCGCGGCGGCGGAGGCTGTCAACAACACCTCTGACTAGATGGTTGACTCGGTGTGATTTGAGGGATAAATAACATTCGGAAATGTAGACAGGAAGCGGAGGACATCTCGGCCGTCACGAAATAAGGGATAGAATGGGAGACCTAGTTGATACAAGTTCTGCCAAATGCCACTGTGTCTATTACGAGAGGTAGAGGACAGATCCTAGATACGATAGTGCGATTGAAGTGTGGTGAATTCCGAAAGTATTCATATTTCCCATTTGACATTCTACGTCCTTGCAGAATTCTTGTATGTCTTTCTTGTAGAGTTCGGAAGTTTTGGGGGAGCAGATGAAGTCGATTGAAGAGCTGTGCTTCTAATGGGTAAGGGAGTAAGGCGTGTTGAATGCCTAATCGACTTTGGTCCTTTTCAAGTCGCCATGGTCATCAGATACGGTGTTCATATTGGGGCTTGAGAGTTTCTCTACTATATTCACCAGAATTTCAACTACAAGAGGGGTTAAACTTATGTTTTTTCCGTCCGCGAAGTTGAAGAGGTTTATTGATGTTATAAGACTACTTAGGTTACCATAGTTGAGTACATGTAATCTTCAACGTCGTGCATCACCCGATAATATCAACCACAGGCCAGAGTCCAAAGGGGCAGCTTCAGAAAGGATATACAGGTCGAACATGAGCTCAATTCGCAGCAGAGTTGGATCCTCCCTGTCCTCCAACGCCAATCGAGCCATTCAACAACGTCGGCAAGGCCCCAGAAGCTCCAGGGCCTTTATCACGCGCAAATCTCGGATGAACAGCCTCTTCCCATCGAGTCGGGGGCCCCAAACAAGGGATACTGGAGGCAGGCGGCGAAGGAGCCGATGTCGGGTAAGTGGAAGCGGTGGCAGTGGTATTCATTGCGGCGGACGGGACCGAGCAAGTGGCCACGTTTCCGGAGGCGACGAGAGATGAGGACGTGTTGATGTGCGGGTGGGGAGCGAGAGGGGCGCTTAGGATCTGTGAAGACGGCACCCATTGGCCGTCGGAGCGCCGGACAGCGCCTTCGCCCGAGTGGGGAATAGTGTAGGGGCGCCAGTTGTCGGAACCGGCCATTATGTCGAGGAAGGATGAGGAGAAGGTTCTTTTAGTTGTGGTTTGGAGGAGGCGTTGAAGGAGATGTGCCGCGAGTAGTGAGAAGGAGATTTTCAGGATTTATTAGGAGATCGAAAGGGGACGGCGACAGGAGCGGGTGGGCTCCGAGCTGCGAAAATATATCTTTCTGACATGTCAGTGACGTGGACGGGATACGGTGGTATGTTGAGGTGGTGACACAAGCGTTGATTGGATCTGTAGGACAGCACTCATCATCACGGTCCAAAACTGGAATTGGATGACGTCCTCGGAGGGATTGAGCTATATAATGAGCGGGAGTTGTTCTGGTGACTACGTACTCTGAACTCGGGTGGTGAGGATGTTTATATCGTGGACGTAGGCAGGCAGGTAGATCTGGGGTTCGAGGAGCTGCGCCGGAAGCAATAAAACAGCAAGTCAGAACATGTAGTGTCCACTTAATATCACTTGGGAAGTATACACTTACTATATACAGTGACTGAGTGTGTGGTTTGATATGGTCGAAGTCGTGCAGGCTTTCTGATCAGAAGGATTTCGAGTAGAGGCAGAATCAGGAGATGAGTGTGCAGTGTAATGAGGAAGAATGAAGGTAGTGTTTCTAGCTTCTATGATAACAACAGTGGAAAAAGGTGATATTACTGACAAGAGATATGCACTTGCTGGGCGAATTGAGAGAAGAGGAAGGTGCGATGCCTGTATACACTTGCACTTTGTGGCTATTACAATTGAACCAGATCCCAGAGGAGGAACATTGGTGACACCATGACTCTTTCTGTCCTAGAGGGAGGCACCTTGCAGTTACCGGTCTTAATAGGTAGAGTTCTCAAGAATAATAAGATATATTACAGTGTACTGGAAATATAAACTCGAAAATAGAGGCTGTAGTATTTCTCCAATGCTGGAACAGTCTAACTCAGCACTTACACCATTCAACATCGTGATCCCCAGAAATATGTAGCAATTAGAAACCCAAGACGAGAATTCCGGTTGTGGTAATAGACTTAGATATGCCTGGTAGTATATGATGGCTAAATTCTCTTTAATGTTCAAGAATGTCGACAGGATCCTGATCTTGTTCCCTCCTTTGGTGCTTGATGCTCGACGTTGAGAAATACAAAGTACATCGAATAATCCTGGTTCGTTCCTGGATCGAGGCTCAATATCAGCTGAATGTACTAGGTACCTGTTAAGCTACCTAGCGATATTTGGAAGAAAAGTCACTGGTACCGAGAATGTCCCTGATGGCCCACTCTTTCTCTCTGGGTCGAGCTGAGAGGCACGGGGACTTTTTTTTGAATTAGGTGCGTCCATCCACGTCTTCACATCGCGGTTTTCTCTGCAATCGCCATGTGCCTTCAAATCAACCCTTTCTCGAGCGTGACCTACCCCCGGAGGTAGCGGACAGCCGCACCCCTTTCAGCATGGACCCGAACGAGCGCGATAGCCCCCTATCCATAGCCTCCAACATCATCGGCATCCTCACCTTCGTCGTCGCCATCGCCGCCGCAGTCTACGCGCGTGTAAACTACCTCCGCAACAGCGACGAAGAATACTTCCGCGTCAAAGCCTCCCTATCCTGGTACAAGACCGAGTCGACATGGCTCGCTGAGCTCATCCAAGCCGCAGCTCTCGACGGGAGCGCGAGCTCCAAATTATCTCACGCCCACGCATTCGCCGACCAGAACCAACGCACACGTCTGCCGAACTATCAGCGCTTCCTACCAGAGTACCAGATGTACGCATACGTCATGGACGATCTGGACAGGCTGGAGAAGCGTCTTCTCGAAATCGTCGAGGAGACGGAGCTGAGGGCCGCCGAGGGGGATGCGCGGAGGGCAGAGGGCTGGACGCTGGTGCCGAATGGGTGGGCGTTGGGGTCTGGGGTGGCTATGGCTTGGTTGCCGGTGAGGAAGAAGGCTTTGGAACTCGTGAGGCAGAGGGATGCGTTGACGGGGAGGGTGCAGTTTGCGCAGATGAGCATGATATCTTCGTAGGTTTTATTTTCGGTTCATCTTCCCTCCATGTCTTGCTGTTCTTCATAACGAAAGAAATGCTAACTTCTTTTTTCCCAACAGACGTGTACGCGACCTTGAAACGAGGATGAAATGGATGGAGACGATAAACTACGAATCTTTAACCCGGCTCGAGAAATACGTAACTGAGCAGCGCGACGACGTGCTGAGACTCGAAGAGCTGGTGTGTCTTCTCAGCAAGAGGGACGACCAGAAGCGGTACAGTCTCGACGTGCAGAGCGTCATCGACATAGCGGCCAAGGCGCGGAGGTTATCTCTGTCGCAAGGTTCACAGAGGAAGGGGAGGGGGCATGAGCGGCGGCCGAGCACGCCGCATTCCCTATCGAGATCTTTATCTAGATGACAATACATAACGTGTTGAATATGTAAAAACATTACATGTATTATTTTAGAACTACATAGATTCGTGTCCTGAGAATTTTGTTCTTCTTCCGGAACGAGTCTATTTGATATCGTAATCACCGTACCATAGGAACGCCGCTACACATGCCACGCTGGCGACAGCCAGCCCCAAATTCAGCTCGATGACGGACCAGAGCCATATGCAAGCCACCGGGGGGGCCTTCTTCTGCACCGCCAGATAGCCCTTGGAGTTTGTGAGGTATATGAGGTAGCAGCCCCCCGCAACGCTGCCGACGAAAAATATAGCTTGGCGGACGGGGCTTTGAAAACGGGTTGGCAGGCCGGGGACGAAGTTTGGATTCGAATAGTGAGGATGGAGTGTGTAGAATAGGACGAGGAAGACTGCAGAGAAAAATGGACAAGAAAATCCAATCATTAGTTTCTAGCCCTGGAAAAAAATGGACGACATGAGAGGGGCTAGGATGGATTGGTCAACACATACCGACGAATGCTTGCGCCGTCCGGGTGGCGATGCGATCCCATCGTATCTCCTGGGCAAACTGTTGATACACCAAGACATCAAGAGTAAAATGTAATATAGCAAGGGTCGCAGTCCACAGAAGACTCTCCGCGACGCGCTCCTGACCCGGCGTCAAGACGTTCTCGTCGTCTTCGTCCCGACTTGATTGGCTCGCCGCATCGGAGGTACCCTTATTCTTCTTCTGGGTTCGGGCAGCTGTTGCGGTTTCGCGGCGTTTGGCCTCTTCGAAGAGGTTTCGCTCTTCGGCCCATTTGAGCAAGGTCTTTTCGGACGGGGCCGGCCCGGAGCGATCTGGGTGGGCTAGTTTGATTTTGGGTTCTGTTGCATCTTTGCGTTTGCGAGCCATGGTGTGCTGTGTGGGAGCTGTTTGGAAGAGGTGTGGTTGGATGGAGGAGCTTGGGTTGAGGATGATGATGATGAAGCTTCGAGTTGGAGGCAGGTCGTGTGCTGTGTAGTTTACTTACCAGCTGTTATCAATTGAGGCGCCTGCCGTGGCTTGGGCGATGACGTCGGGGTCTTCCAAAGTCAAAATTGTCCGCGTTCGGTACGTATCTAATATCAGATCCGCACCGTAATTACCACGACGCACCTTCGGCCCCTCTACTTCGTAAAAGTAGCTAATTTACTTGACATTGATTTAATCTTCCGGCCAATTGATCTCATGCCGCGCAGGACATCGTGATTTAGACTCTTCTCGAGCAAACAGCCGACACTCCTACGCAGGTTGGTAGCCCGGTTCAGATTACACTTTTCCCGGGTTTACCAGACTAATGATTCCGAGTTTGAGAATCCGTAGAACTAATCGTGATCTAAAGAGTTCCCGCTCGTTATCTCCCAACATTATCAATTGCATTCATACTTCGTAGATTGACATTTCCCCGGAATTGGCCTCGTCCCAAGACTAATTGAGAGCTAATTAGCGAAAGCGACAGGGGGCCCGCCCTCCAATTGAAATCGAAATCGCAAGGTGGCATCAATCAATCGTCTCGTGTGAGGCGACATGGAAACTTGTCCATTTCTCTCTCTTTGCCCCCTCCTCTCTCCTCTTGTCTTAAACCTTATTCCGAGTCCCATCTTTGCGCCGCGGCGGACGCGCATCGTCAAGAGTTGCATTCGTCTGCATGAGAATAGCTAGCTTACAGCTGCGAAGGAGTAGCTCAGCTTCTATTCTTCCAATCCACTACCACGGTTCCCCCCCCCCCCCCACGAAATTGATCAATCGCATTAACCTTCCCGCCCCTCCATCAGACGACTCGTGCTGTTCGACCACCGACAAATTTTAGCTCGCGGCTCTCTTGAACCGTAAAACCGAACTCGACTCTTTCTCTCGACAACGCGTGCTGTCTTGGACGAATAGCCGTACTGATTCTATTCAACACTCTCGACTACCCTTTTTTCCTTTGTTGGCCGTGTATTTGTGTTTTTGTATTCTTCCCACCATGTTAGACCTTTTGATTTACGTGGGCGCTGCCCTCATTGTCATCCCGTGCCTCTACACCTTCACTGCATCCGTCATACAGATGCGCCTCCCCCGACTGCAGAACAAGCGCATCTGTCTGCTGATCGCACACCCGGATGACGAGGCCATGTTCTTTGCGCCCACCGTGCTGGCGCTCACGAGACCCGAAACGGGGAACCATGTCAAGATTCTGTGTCTCAGCTCCGGTGCGTAGTATCGTGTGCTGTTGCTCGTCGGTTGGGAAGCTCGGGTTTCGTGGAGTGCAGGGGCTGCATACCTTCTCTCACCGAGGGTCCCGGGCTTTTCGTCGAACGGAGACGAAACGTAAATTCCCTCGCGACATCTACTAATGCTCCTTCGTATATCTAGGAGACGCAGCCGGCCTAGGAGAAACTCGGAAGAAGGAGCTCGTCAAGAGCGCTCTTGCGCTCGGCGTTCGCCACGAAGGCGACGTCTGGGTCGTCGACAGACCGTAAGCTGCCACGTCCCCTCCTTACCCCCTTACCCCCTTACCCCTTACTGGAAACCAGACTGACAATGCCCACTACACAGAGACTTCCCCGACTCTATGACCACCACCTGGGACCCCCACAAAGTCTCCGCCCTCCTCTCCGAGGCCTTCGCCCCCGCCAACCTCCTCCGCTCCTCCACCACCTCCAAAGACCCCCCGACCGCCGCCATCGACGTCCTCGTAACCTTCGACTCCTCCGGCGTCTCCTCCCACCCCAACCACATCTCCCTCTACCACGGCGCCCGCGCCTTCCTCTCCGACCTCATGCGCGGCAAGTCCGGCTGGTCGTGCCCCGTCGATCTCTACGTCCTCACCTCCGTGTCCATCGCGCGCAAGTACCTTTCCGTAGTCGACATTGTCGCGACGCTTTTCTCGTGGGCCGGGGCCGCGGGAAATGATGGCGGGAAGAAGAAGAAGGGCGGAAAGGAGAGGCCGGATGCGTTGCTGTTTGTTAATCAGCTTGTTGGGGGTGGTGCGTTGGGCGCTGCTTGGGGGGCTATGACGGAGGCGCATCAGAGCCAGATGGTGTGGTTTAGGTGGTTGTGGATTGTGTTTAGTCGGTACATGGTTATGAACGACTTGAGGAGGGAGACTGTTAAATAACGATACACCCCACGTGTTGGAACAAGTCGAAAGTAATGAGCATAAGGAAGGAGAAGAGAAGAGAAAAGAAAAGAAAAGAAGAGAAAAAAATTTGGAATATTTCGGTGTTTGAAGGCCGGTGGGATCGGAAAGGGGCGGAGGGGGAGGCTTTTATAAGTTGGCTGTACATCATCACTCTGCCCCAGGTTTGCTTCGAACACTTGGGCTCATGGAGTTATTTCACGGCGAGGAGTTTAAATGGGCATATCATCTGCTATTTTAGAATCAAGCTACATTTAATCAGGAATCCGTCATCTTCAGAATGCCCAAGTCCAGCTCTGTTATGTTTCATGGCGCAGGAACAAGGGGGGGGGGGGGGGGGGGGGGGGGGGGGAAAGAAGAAGAAAACGATAAAAGAAGATGGGACACTTGATTCATTTAACGAACTAGCGGTCTCCAACGCTGACTCCGCTGACAGGGTGCGCAGATACAACAGAGTGGTCCAGTTTCCAGACCGAGTTGCCGCGCCCCTTATGGCTACCCGACAGAGGATATCTAACCTTCTTCTCACGTGTATGCTGAAGTACGATGGTCTCCGAAAACCACCTAACCGGGACATCTTCCCCGCCTATCTCGTCGCCAGACGCGGGCACATCTTCCTCGCCAGACCCAGACACATCCTCCTCGTTCCCATCGAGATACTCCTGCCCACTAATGGGCACAGCCGTGCGGACCCTCAACGTGGCCGGCGGCGATTCAACAACCTCACTCTTCAACCAAACGCTCGAAACAGGGCGATGGATGCACACATCGCCGCCGGGGATAGAATACGTTATTCTCTGCGGTAGCACGTCTTCAAACTCCACCACGAAATCCGGGATGAGCACGCCGGCGACGCGGAGGTTCCGCGCCGCTTCCTTCTTATACCTCGTCATTTCACCCGCGCTGATGAGCCACGAGCGGCACAAGTTCTGCAGGTTATACAGCGCCGCGTCGCGCCGTTTCTGCAGCGCGGGCAAGGTCCGCGGGCCCATGTCTATCTCCGCGGAGCGGAAGGCGGCTTCCCGGATGGCCGTCTTTTCTAACTCGAGAACGAGCTTATCGTACTCGGCCCTGGCGCGGCGGATGATGTCCCTGGCTTCGAGAAGACGGCTCGTCATGATGTGGTGCCGCGCTATGGTCACCAGGTCTGCGAAGCCCGGCTGGAAGTCGTGCGAGCCCTTGCTCAGCACGTCGAGGAGCATGGGGATCTGGCGCGGGGAGTACATCCTTCGCGCGTCTTTGACAATCTTCCATTCTGTCTGCGCGGGCTTGGAGCCGTGGACATAAGCCCAGCCGAGCCATTCGGACCAGATGTCGTGGGAAACGGCAATGTCGTAGCGTCGGGATATGAAGCCGATGAGATGAACGGCTAGATCGAGTTCGCCGCTGGTGCCCAGCCCACGGGCGATGGCCATGAGGAGTCGTTTTGTCGGTCGAATGGGGGAGTCTTGGGGAATATCGATGCCGCCATCGACGGTAATCTCACCGGTGGACTTATCGACGGTTGCTTTGATGCCGTAGAACATGTTGAGGAGTAGCCTGGCGTGATGGCTCGATCCCGCTCGAGAGCTAGCCACAACGGCCGTGCACAGTAACTCTTCGCTGACCCCGGCCTCCATGAGTCGCGAGATGGGCATTAATCGGTTTACAAGCTTGGATGAGCAGATTGTCTTGTTCAGATCGTGAAAGCCCAGGACAGGCTCGACACGGAACCAATGGCCTTGGTTATGGCGCACGCTCAACCACAGCTTGTCAAGAGCCTTGACCTGCCGGTTGGTGTACGTTGCAGTATGGCCATGAATGTTACGAGGCCGGGCCCGAACCCTCTCCATATCGTACTGGTAGTATAGCGGTTCGGTGAGAAACCTCGCTTTGAGAAATTCGTTGAGCACGGTGTACTTGCCCAGCGCACCCCTAAAGTCGGAATCAGACTCCCCGGCGCCCTTCAGCATGGACAACACGTCGGCCGCGTAGTCTGGGTGGGAGCAGGCTCCGCCGAGCCGAAAGAGGACGGTAAAGACCGAAGCGGGCGTCGGAATCCTGGCCTCCACGCGAGCCTTGACGATGGGCTCGAGCTGCGAAAGAAGATCCAAATATATCTTTCGCACGCCGTTCTCGTCCACCATGTTCTTCGCGAACGTGTGACCCATCATGCCGGGAGTGATCCGTATACCGTCCAGCACGTCGATTTGGTGGTGTACTTTGGTGGGGTCGATGCTCTGCAATACTTCGGCAAACTGCATGGCCGGAAGGTGTATGAGCTGCGCTCGAGCGTCCTCTTTATTGAGCTTCAATATGAGGAAGACTGCCTTCCAGTGATCCTTCGCTTGAATAGCTGAAAACAGCTTGTCGACAAAACGGCGTCGGTCTCCATTTGAAGATGGCCGGTGCAGAGGGCTTCCTTCCGGAGGAAACATGTCGGTCGCATATGCTCGCGCAGCGAGGCACTGGCCGTACTTGGGGTACCATCGCTGGTGGCGGAGAGCTCGTCGGAAGCGCAGGTTGAGGACTCGTTGGGAGGTGCCGAGGGGCGCCCTCTGGAGACGGAATCCCCGCGCGAGGACGCCCGACGGGTGCGGGTTGATCATTGCTCGTCGGCGTCCTCGCGGGTTGGACTCTTGATCGCGTTTGGAGAGATCGCGATAAGGGAATGCACCGAAAGACTGCGATTGAGCTCTTGGTCTAGTCTGGTTTGAGGTCTAGTCAGGTGGAGTGGAAGTGGAGTGGAAGTGGAGAGTGTTTTCATCGCGTCAATTAACTGAAGTTGGCATCTTGGCGATGGGCGGCATTGGCCTTGTGGTCACGTGTTAAAGTACATCCCGCGGCTTTTCCAACTGCGCACTGTATATTTAGTAAAGGATTAGTATTGTGATACAGTGCAAATATTATATTCCATCATGTGCCTTTGTACCAGATATCAAATCCAAGCCTGTCCACAACTGATTCCTGTATCAACTGCCCATTCTCTTCGCATACACCCAGCCTCCCTCGCATCTCGAGGCAATTCTTTTAATACAGGGCCTTTTCACCGAGTTGAGGTTCTCTTTATAAGCACAATGGCAGACGCCGGCGATGAAACGAATCTTGTGTCGGAGCCCCTCGACCTTGTCAGGCTCCTTCTCGATGAGGTCGTGTTTGTCAAGCTGAGGGGTGATAGGGAGCTCAAGGGAAAGCTTTATGTGAGACGAGACCGACTCCCCCCCTCCATTTTTTTTTTCAATTTGGTTAAGGTTCCTATGAGGTGAATGGCTGAGAAGCAGCTAACGCGATGGTTTCTACAGGGCTACGACAGCCACTGCAACATTGTCCTTGGCGATGTTGAGGAGACGATATATGTTGTTGATGAAGAGGATGAGGCAGAGACTGAACCCAAGGTAATTGCCAATCATTATTTATTATAAGGAACATGAATGCACGTTGCTAACCCAATGTTTAGACTGTCAGCCGCAAGGCAGAAATGCTCTTCGTCAGAGGTGAGTCTTAGTGTGCTCCTCTCCTCTCCTCCTGGGCCCCCGATGCTAACACGTTTATCTAGGTGACAGCGTTGTACTTATCTCACCTCACGTTCCGTCATAGAACTGGATTCTGGGAAAGGAAGTTTTGCTTATAACGGGTTCTCGGATTGGCATTGAAGGCCATGGTTGAGCAGGACTGGGCAGAGTTATCTGAAAGGGGTATGAGAAACGGTGTTCTTGGACTAACCAAGTGTCAAACATAATGGATGGAAAGGTTCGGTTCATGAATGAATGATAGCTCGAAAGACTCCCGGGGAGTGCATGGCCTTTTGATGAGCGACTTGTGTATGGGGTGGCATCTCAAGACACTCGCGGAGGTGGGGAGACATTGACTCCTCTGCAACGCCCTCGAGCACATTTGACTGGAGAGTCCTGAAACAATGGAACTATTGCAATCATCGTCTTCCTATTCGCTTGAGTCCAGCAAAATGACCGCGGGCCAATCTTTTTTTTTTTTTTTTTTTTTTTTTTTTTTTTTTGTTCATTTTTCTCTTCGATGAATGTTGACAGATAACGGGCTGGCTAGATCTTGAAAGCATGGCGGAATCCAGAGCCATCATCATATCACCAAAATTTAAGCCAACCAATTTTCCCTTAGAAACCTGCATAGGATATTGTCACTTCCTTCTCCGCTTTCGGGGCGAGGCTGAGTTTAGCTTGTGAGGCTAACAGGGTGAACAGTCAAGCCGATGATGACTCCCAACCTTGATCAAGGCAGCAGCGCCCATTTTTGGTTTCAGCCTCCACCAACAAAGCTCCATCACCACCGCACCTCGCCTCAACCTCGCTTTCACAATTTTTACCAACAAAGAAGCAAAAGAAAACCTAAATAATTGTTCTCCCTTTTTGAAAATCTATCGCAATGACTGTCAACACCTCTTCGGATCCGTCTTCGGCTCTCCCAGAAACCAAATCCCCAACAGCCCCACCTCGCGTCCCCCCACCCTTCAACCTCAGCTTCCCCTCCTCCCTCTCCCCCTGGAACAAATCCGTCCGCCAATGGCTCACCGACAACGACAAGCACTTCAGCGGCCTCGCAGTCGGCGCCCTCGTCTTCAACCCTTCCGGCCGCATCCTCCTGGTCCAGCGGGCCGCGCACGACTCCATGCCCAACATGTGGGAGACTCCCGGCGGTGCGGCTGATGAGACGGATGCGACGCTTCTCGAGGCGGCGGCGCGGGAGCTCTGGGAGGAGACGGGGTTGGTGGCGACCAGGCTTAGGAGGTCCGTTACGGAGGGGGAGGGGAGGGCTCCGGGTTCGCTTTTTACGAATAGGTATGGGACGAGGTTCTATTGCAGGTTTTCGTTCGAGGTGGATGTGGAGGGTTGGGAGGAGGTTAGGGTCGATCCGGAGGAGCATCAGGATTATTTGTGGGTTACTGAGGAGGAGGTTAGGGCGGGGAAGGTTGGGGAGAGGAGTTTTACGATTACGAATAGGCAGATGCAGGCGTTGATACTCGAGGGGTTTCGGCTGAGGAGGGTGGAGGGCGGAGAGACAGCGGGCGATGGAGGAGCATAGATGCTTTCACGATGTGACGAGATGGGATTAGAGGGGTCCAGTACGGGATGTAGGGCGCATGACGGATATTGGGTTAAGCCGTTCCTTGACTGTCCTATGCGTCGCTGATCTGTTGACGGCATGACGGGTCGTCTTTTTGGAGAATTAGGCGGGATGATGTTGTTATCTTGCTATTCGATGTTCCTCTGAATACCCACATATCCCTCGTTTCAACACTGGACAACCGTGCGAAGGAACCGACACGCGCTTTTCGTACTTTTGGTTGTGAATCATCCCATTCCTACTTCGTACTTCGTAGAGCGATGGGTAATATGAGAACCAACGAGCTGGAGCTGGCGACCTGCAGAGGCTGAAAAGGAGTTGTGATGAAACCGGCTCAGCAACCGATCTGGCCCGTGCGAAGCGTCTTCAAGTCTGATGTCCGTCTGTCAACGAGCAAACCCGAGGATTCTGATCACTCTGCGGCTCATTTCCTATTGTCTTCATCTTTGTTGTTTTTTTCCCCTTTCCCTCCTTGCTCCGCATCACCTCCGGGTCTCTTGATTTCCAGCTGCTGATGTTTGATGTTTGGGTGGAGTTTCTCTTCTTTGAAGGAATGAGGCAGAACCAAAAATGAGATCGTAGGGGGTCCAGATCTGGTTTAGCGACACGGACGAGATCCAGTCAATTTCAATTTCAGGGCTTCTAGAAGGATACTATCGTTTGAGGCCCGAGCTTCTCGACTGGGGTTGGAACCCAAAACACTCCTCGCTTCAAAGGAACGTTGATGAGTTCTTTGGTGCCAAGACATTACATGGCCGCATCCATCTGCGCTGTTTTCTGTTTTTACCATATAAACTAAACAAACTAGTTTAGATTAGAAAGACACCTTATTACTGCAATGGCGGCCATCTCCGCAAAGTGAGACTCTATAATAGTGCTCCGACTTGTCCATTTGGGGAATCGTTGCCGGAATCAGGTCGGGGTACATGAGCAGAGGATCAAATTAGACCAATATCCTTCTCTCAACACTGCACCTGCCGAGGTCAGTCGAGAGTTGCAGATGGGGCAAGAAAAGAAAGGCTTGATAGCAGCAAACAGAGGCAACCCAAGCGATGAGGAACAGGACAGCTGAGGTCACAAATGGTAGCCGTGTTGTATGCGTTGCAACCCTCTCTTCGTCTTCATCGGGTGAGTGCTGTCGACTACGGATGGTTCAGAGGTTCGGTGTGGACGGCTTAGAGCCAATCGGAGGGATGGGCGGACAGCTTTGGGGCTCCTTTTCCTCTTTCTGCATCACAAGCCACGATCATGCTCGCTTCTCGAAGCTCCCAACATCGAAGTGAAGGGCTTGGCCGGGCTAAGCCAGTTGGAATGGCGGAGAAGAAATGACTAACAGCTCACTCGAGAGAGGGATGAACCATGAACCATGCTCGCCTTACCACTTGAGGCCTATTCTGGTGCTAACGCTTGTCTGTTAAATGATATTGAGACATGCCCGGCCATGTGCAGCCCGACTAAGACGGCTAGTGGATGGTTGAGATCTGAAGAAAAAAAAAAAAAAAAAAAAAAAAAAAAAAAAGAGCATAAAATTAATCCAACAGTACCTTTTTGCATACTCGAGATTGCGCCGTGAGTTCTCCGCCGTCGAGGTGCTAATATTCGATAGGCAAAAGTATGGATCAATTTGACTATTCGATGGCTCCCAGATGGCTTCAGACTTCGAGGGACAGATCTTTCCCTAGATCTAAATTTTTTTCTTCTTCCTTTTTAAAATAATAATGATAATAATAATATCTTCAAATGCTCCAAAGTTGGAAGTGCCGTACTCCCTACAGTCCGGGGAACCCCGGATACTGGGCGCTCCGTGGCAAAGGACGCCACCACCACTTGATCCTTGTGTGTCAGATGACTTGAACAGTCTCAAGCCTCAAAAAGAGTACAAGAGATCAATGTCGAATTTTCGCCCCCTTGCAGATGGTGATGTATGTCCAATCGAGGCAGAAAGACGCCTGGAATATATGGGCTCTGCATGTCCCTGGGACCAGATCATCAGGTCCGGATGGCAGGAAAATATCTGGGCTGGCCTGTCTCATTAAACATGACGACATGGATCGTACGGAATCGTGGGAGAGAGATGGTACACGATACACTCCACTACAAGCCCAGACAGAGGATTTAAGCTATTTACGAGGTCGCATTCTGTAGAAACATGACGGTCAGATGAATCGAACTGATCAAATGTTTTGCGCCAGAAGAGATCAAATTAGTTTAGCGGCAGACGGATCAATTCAAGTAGGAGATACCACGAGACATACCGGATGCCTCGTGGTTGGCGTGGTATCGGGTACTACTTCATACGTCGCTAGCTCAGCGCATCACCTATGAAAGCTACGAAAGCTACGAAAGCTGGATGGCGCTCATCGTCGGATGTTAAGTCGAACCTACGGAGACGGCAAAAATGGAGATTCCACACACAGGACAAGGTGAAAATCTCCAATCTGAGCCTTGGGCACATCCCCACATGCTCGATTTGGAGTGTGTGGACACTACGAAGCAGTAATCTACGTAAATCACGTACGCAACTGGCAATCTTGGCTTTTCAAGCCTACCGCAAAGGTTTCCCATCATGTCGTTGCATGGTTCCATTTCTGGGTCGCTTCACCGTCCCCTCCTCCGCTTCAATCTATAAGGCTTGTTAGCCATCCCTGCCTTTTCACTGCACTTCCAGCACTTCGTAGGCAGCCGGCCTGGCCTAGCCAATCAATCCTCTCTCACTTGGCGTGGCACCCTACTTCGTGGTGACGTCGAGCCTCGGGAGTTCGTTTGAAGTATGATCTGGATTGAACACGCAAGATGCAACCCTCTTCTCTAGCCCAACTCGAAGTTTCGTCCGTCTTTGGAGCTCACCGGTGCTTGTAGGCCGTCGTACACCGCCTGGCGGGAAGCCTAGGTTTAAGGTATAATCATTAGGCTCGAGACCCAACAATCCGGTGTGGCTTGGTCTAGTTCTGGTTGTGTCTAATACTTCGCGGAGTTTTTGCAAACAGAGAGAGGTGTGTGTGAGTTGGTCGATGCGTAGTTCCATCTCCCCTCTCACTGCTAGGCTGCTGGCTATCATCAAGTAAAACGATGGCGACGTGGAAATAATATAATGCAGCCAGGTCAGAACAGACCAACCAATCTGAGGCGGGACTGTCTCTCCTGGATTTTCAATTTCCTTACAGTCGCATGTTCTTAGCTCTTTGAGCGCTTCTCGTATACAAGTAATTGACTCTCGTCTCCGACGATACGATACGTCGACTACGAAGTACGCATAAGATTTCCGAACCCTTTGGGAAGCACAACGTCTTTCTTTCTCTTCCTCCAACTCTCTTCTCCCAGGTCTTCAGCCGCCTGCTGCCTCTCTGCTTCTCTCTTTTTCTCCCTCTCTCCTCCCCTCCCGGTCTCTCCCATTAGTCGACAGAATTGAGTTCGCAGGTTCTTTGCTGTCTTCCGCCATCTTCGCTGCCTCCTGCTCTTACACTCGTGACGCCACGGATCCGCCGGTACCTCCTGCCCGATAGTTTCCCGCGATTTCCGTGACTTACGAGTTGCAACTTGCGACCTTTGAGCTGCGACTTCCTAAACGAAACTTACACTGCTCAACATTTTTACGGCTCATTCAATTGTCATGGAAGGAGCTCTCAAGCAACCCCCCCCGGTTCTTGCTCCTGCCGCTTGACCATCGCACCCTGCACTTGCCAGTGTCTTTCGCCATCTTTCGCTGTCACCGCCCACTCTTGTAAATTTGGAAGCAGCGTCCAGACATTGGTCCACCCAGCCATTTTCACCATTTTTCACCATTCCTTTTCCTACCAACAAGAATCATCGCAAGGTCTATTGTCCCCATTAAAAACAAAATCAGCCTCGAACTGGGCGACGAGTGATTACAAAAACGACCCGACCGCCAGAGAGCACTGGGGAATTAACAAAGTGCGAGGCTGCGAGCAAAGGGGAGCCCAGATTAGAGGAACCTGAAGAAACGACCGCCGCCGCCACCACACCTTGCTCACGTTGGCTTGGCGAACCGAACCACGCAGCGCTAGGCCTTCTCCATACCGATTTTCTTAGTGTCTTCTCCATCTGTCCGCCCCGCCCAAATCCGGCGCCGCCGCCACGAGTTCTCGAGTCACGACGAATCTGAACTACTTTAATCGGCCAAGGCCCTGTCTGTTCCATTCACCCTAGGCCCGGATCCTTGATCCCACATCTTAGGCTTCAGTTTGGGCTCGGACTTCATTCAGCCAGGCCTATATTTCGACAACCACACCCATCGCCGACGCCGACTTACTTGTGTGCGAAGTACTAAGATCAATTGAATCTTTCCTCCCACTAAAATAATTCTAGGACCGTCGCTTGGGCCCCAACGAGCTATTTCCACGCCGGGCACCTTTCAACGTACCAAGCAATTCCAAAAAGCTCTAAATCTCTTCCCCACCGAGTGGTTGGGCTTGACCTTGCCAGCCAACCTGGCATCTGGCCTGCTTTCACCACGCCAACCATCACCGCTCTTCTGCCCACCTGCAGAGAACCCTGCTCCAACAGACCCCTCTGGTCTGCGTCTTGCAGCAGGCCTCACAGTCCAATCACCCACGAGCTGCCCTTTTGTGCCCACCAGCGGTGTTCATCCATCCTAGCAAAGAAGCAAGAGGTTGGAAAAGCAACAAAAGTGTGGCTTTGTTTGATGCAAACGCACTTGTATGCTGGGTAACACTAGGACACGCGAGGAAGCAAGCCTGCAGGCACACACCCACAGCTACACGTATCTATCCTCCTCTGCATCCCTTCGCCCTGTGTTGCAGGCAGGAGAAGTACTGCTGTTGACTCACTACGAACTGATCCACTCGAAATTGTAAGTCTGGAAATTTTCGTTTTTCTGCATTCTCATAGCCAACCACTTGGCTTTTCTTCTCCCCATTTCGCCTTGCTCCAGCCGCCTATGGTTGCTTGAGGAGTACATCCCCAGGCCCATAAGCTGCTCTATTCTTCTTCAATCATCCTTCTATTCTTCCAGACTCTTGCAACTTAGCAGCTCCCTACACCCATTCACCATCTCCCCTCCCACCATGGCAACCTAAATCTATGTCTTGTGACATCACCACATTCCAGACTTGGGATGCACCATCCCGCATGATTCATATCATATCTCCATTGTCTCGAGGCTGCTCTTTCATATCTCGGGCCGTGTCTTTTCACTCCGTCAAGAGACTCATAATGGCCTTGTGAAATGATAATGCTTCTGTGGAATCTGTGGACCTCCCCCCTCCACAAGACCTTCACTTCCAATATCTTCACCCGACACTTCTCCACCTGACAATAGTCCCATTCTTCCTTGATTTTCATTATCCTCGTGGTTACACATTGATAACAATCTCCCCATGGCAGACGAAGACGCTCCGCAGCGTCCGGTCCGGTGGACGTCCTCTGACGGGCATATATTTCGCCGTCAGACGCCTGTGCCTGACCGCTCTTCTTCATCCCCTCATCCCTTTCCGGATCCGCAAATCCGCCCCCGCTCGAGACGCCGTCGAGTTGTTCGTGTTGTTCGGTTTCCAGCCGGCTACACCCCTAGCGGACATTCACGACCAACGCCGAGAGTCACGCTTTTACCCCGAGTGAGTCGTGGCGACCAAACGGCAAAAGACCCCAATCGTCAAAGCAGGAACCACTCTCGGCAACGAGAAGCACGCCGTCGCCTCCTTGGTGACCGTTACCCCCCTGCCGCGGGGAATCGCCGTTTATCTCGCCCAGGACCTCACCGGACGCAGTCTATCCCGCCTCAACCCCGGCAACGCAGCAGGCAGGGGCTAGCCGACCTTCTGAGAACCCTACCTACTTACTGGGAGATAGAGAATCACCAATTGCATGAATCCCAGATGACGCGTCCTACTTCTATGGTCGCGTTGCGACCCCCGTTCAACTATGGCGCCGCCGAAGGTGCCCGTGGACTACCACGCCATAGGATGGCATCGGCACGGACTCCAAAACCTCATGTCAACACAGAAGTCATTCCTATTCACAAGCCCGTTGCCTCAGGCAGCGGCATAACGTGTTCGATTCTTATGGCCGAGCCTAATGTGTTTCTATCCGGATTCGATCACGACGGCCGCGCGAGACGAGGGAACCGCCCTTCAGGTACGGCGCTGTTACGCGGAAAACTACAGCTTGTCGTGAGGAAGAACGTCAAAATAAAGGCCGTTCAGTTGAAGCTAGTCGGGAAGACGAGGACTGAGTGGCCTGAAGGAATCCCTCCTCTGAGGATGCAGGAATGGGAGGAAGAATCGCTCCGGACACAGGTCCTCACTTTCTTCGACGCTACTAGCGACGGCTGGCAGACCGAGTACGGAAACCAGTGCTCATTTTCGCTCGAAGATGGAGCCGCGGATCCATCCACCACTCACGTTTCCCTCCGTTCAATACCGCTCGCCCTTGATTCTCCACCCTTCTCAAGACGCAGCGGCCTAAGCTCCAAGGAATTGAAGAGACTTGGCTTGAGGTCTGTACGGGCCCGAAGTTTCGGCCAAGGAGACGCGCCAGTTGCCAGACCTGTCAGCAATTCCAAGGGTTATAAGGTCTTCCGTGCCGGCACCTACGAGTACTCGTTCGAACTGCCTATCGATCATCACCAGCTCGAGACGACTAAGCTTCCCTTCGGATCGGTTAAGTGGGAGCTTCAGGCCACGGTTGAACGCCACGGACCGTTTCGACCAAATCTCCATGGCTCCAAGGAGGTGTCCATTGTGAGGGTCCCTGACCAACTCTCTCTTGAAACGACCGAACCCATCTCCATAAGCCGACAGTGGGACGATCAGCTTCATTACGATATCGTCGTATCAGGCAAGTCGTTTGCCATCGGCTCTAAGATCCCGATCGCCTTCAAGTTCACGCCACTAGCCAAGGTCCAAGTCTATAAGATAAGGGTGTATTTGGCCGAATCGATAGAATACTTCACAAACAACCGCATGGTGACTCGTCGCGAACCGGGAAGGAAGATCTTGCTTCTCGAGAAAACTGCCGGAAAGCCCATGGACCCTACGCTTGGGGCTGTGCTGAGAACAACGAGCGGTGGCGAAGTTTCTTCGAGGGACCGTAGATCACCTGCTCGAGAGACAGCTGTGACGAGGGGTTCGACTCGGCGAGGCTCTCCATCGGCTTCACTGCCCGAGCAGCAGTCGAACAATCTTTTGGGCGATCTTGATCTAGGTTTGGAGAACTTCTGGGGTCCTACGGAAATCGAGGCAGAAGTTCAAATTCCAACGTGCGAGATGATGAAGAAAGACAACAATCTTATCCTCCATCCGGATTCTAGCTGGAAAAATGTATCAGTCGATCACTGGATTAGGGTAAGTTGAGAAGAACACTCTTTCTTTCTCCGCCAGGTGCAAGTGAACGTTTCAATGCTAACCAGAGCTAGATTGTCATGCGTGTTTCTCGAGCCGATCCCGAAGACCCTACAGGAATTAAGCGCCGACACTTCGAGATTAGCATCGACTCGCCTGTCACCCTTCTCAACTGCCGCGCTACGCAGGCGAACACGATCCTCCCCGAGTATAGCGGATTTGATCGAGCTTCCTCGTACGTCCAGCGCGCCTGTGGATGTGCCGACTCGGCGTCGCTCTCTCTTGGGGATGAGCACGTGCCCATCTCTCCACGATTCCCCGTCGTGGAGACCCGAGTCCGCAATCCCAACGGCAGAGCACGGCCACATTCCGCTATTGAACCGATGGCCCACTCCCGTCCTATCCACCTCATCCGTGTGCCATCGTTTGGCCCTCCGGACTTCGATGCGGATGAGCCACCCCCGCCTGTAGATGATCATCTTAACAGCATCGACGCCAGCTCTATTCTCACACCACCGCCACGATATGATACCATCATTGGCACCCCTAGCGTAGACGGACTTGCAGACTACTTTACACGTCTGGCAGCATATAGCTACAACAGACGGACATCCGATGATGATGTTGCCGTGGAGGAGGATGAAGAAGAAAGCCCGGAGGAAGACGATGATGATTCAGACAGCGACGACACGACGTTGGCCATGGTCGGCCCAACCCGCCTCACCGAGCGAACTGGACGCGTTAATGTCGTGAACCCCAGGACTCCGGGCGGCGGTCGGGTCCCAAGTAGGAGCTTGGAGATTACGAGGCCCGCCGTGGACTTTATTCTTGGGGAGCCGCCGCAGCGAGGAAAGGCGACTGGCGAAAGGGGCACAGCGGCCCCTTTAAACGAGTGAAAGATATACCCATCATAACACTTCTGTCATTCTCTTTTTTCCCCATCCCATCCAGCCACGTCCCCCTCTTTTTCCCTTTCCTTTTTCCCCGGTTTTGTTTTGTCATTTTGATATTTTGAGGTCACCCATCCCTCTTAGGGACACATATAGCATTACAAAAAGTGTTGGTCGGATATAGAAAATGGAGGCAAGTTTTGTACTGGGAGGCAGTTGTTCCCAAGGTTTATTATGAATGTGTCAGTCAAGTGAAAGACGACATAATATAATCAGCATCACAGGCGTTGGCAACAGCATGACCAAAGAAAAAAATTCAGATGACAAGGAGGAAGTTTTTCAATTTTTTTTTTTTTTTTTTTTTTTTTGGTTCTTCATTCCTTTTTTTTTCTTCACATGTTCCCTTTGTTTCCCTCTATTCATGAACCCTGATACCACTGGATTCTTCACACATGTAGAATGGATCTGCTTTTTCTTTGTTCCCTTTTTTTCCCTTTGTTAAGAGGCTGGATGATGAAGAAGATGGAGAAGATACCCTAGTTTGATCCGGTTTACTCATAATAATATATAAATCTATCGGACTTGAAGCGTGCCATAAGGAATAATCTCTATGAAAAACACACACACACACACACACACACACACAGAGAGAGAGAGAGAGAGAGAAAAAATAAAAAATGGGAGTAAAATAGAGTCCCACAGTTTATTCGAAATGTCAAAGGTTCCCAGGAAATAAAGGAGAAAATGCAAGCATGAACACATGAAGACATCCATAAAATAAGAGAGAGAAAAAAGGTCTAACAAGATCGCTCACGAATAAGAGAAAGAAAACACATCGACTCTCATGAAATAAAAGAAAGGGAATGTCAGGGGAATGGCAGAAGAAGACAGAATAGTAATAAGAATATAAATGGAGGAAAAAAAGAAAAAGAAAAAGAACCGCACAAGAAACTCACAGCACCTTACTTACCCAGCCCCTCAACCTCTTTACCCTTCCATATGGGGTCCTCGGGATCATATCCCACAGACTTGATGATGCCCAAACCTTTTGTCCTCCCCTCGCGAATGAGGATGCGCTCTCCGGGACGGACGAACTCGGGCCGCTGGACGAAGCGGAAGGCGACGGTGGCCTTGTCGCCGGTGCGGATGTAAGGGCGGTCGACGTCTATGATGGCGCAGGTCTGGGAGATGGAGCCGACATGAAGCATTGCTTGGTAGCGGGTTTTGATGGTGGTGGCGTGGGAGAGGACGAGGACTGTCGTGTGAAGCTTTGTTAGTGGGAACATTTGGGGAGAAAAAGGGGGACAGGAGATCATACCCTCTGCGACAAATTCTCGGTAGACTTTCGGAGGGGGCTGTCCCTCTACCTTGGGCAGCACAACCATTCCCTTCCTCACGTCCTTCCTACGCATACGCTTGAGCGCCAAGGAAGCGGACTGGCCCGCTGACGCAGCGTGCACGGGTATGCGCTTCCTCTCGATGGAACGGACTGTCGTGGTGGTGAACTGGCCGATGGAATCCGGCCCAACCAGCACGCTGTCTCCAACGTGGACGACGCCGGACTGCACGATTCCCGCGACGACGGTGCCGACGAAGGGCACGGAGAAGGTGTCGTTGACGGTGAACTCGAAGGGCGCGTCGGCGTTGTAATAGCCGTGCGGGGGCAGGATGTTTAAGAAGGTGCGCACGAGGTCGAGGTTCTCGCCGGTGACGTTGGAGACCTGGAAGACGGGGGCGATGCGCGGGCTGACCATCTGCGTGGCGGTGTTGATGCAAGTTTCCCGGTCGCGGATGAAGACGGGGATCTTGCGGGCGCCGGGGCTTTTGAGGATCTTCGTTAGTTGCGAGATGGTCTCCTGCAGGACGTGAGGCGGGCAGATATCAATCTTGGTAATGACGACCATGACGGGGACGTTGAGAGCCACGGCAATGCCGAGGTGCTCCTTGCTCATGCCGATAAGGCCGTTGTTGGCTGCCACCATGAGGAGACAGTAGTCTGGGCTGCCGGAGAGCATGCCGAAGACGGTGGTACGGAGGTAGCGCTCATGGCCCGCGAGATCGGAGAAGGTGATGACCTTGGCGCTGCGCCTGCCAACTTCCTCCCAAGTAAGCTTACGACCGGGGGTGTCGGAGACGACAACGTGGCCGCCGGCATCGAAGCCGAGGATTTCCATGCCGACGGAGCTAGTGCGCCCCGTCTCAATCTCGTGCTTGTGGCGGAAGAGATTGACTCGGGCGCTGCCTCTGCCGTCGTCTAGATCCCCTTTTACCAGGACGCCTAGCATCGAGGACTTTCCAGCGTCGACTGGTGAGGAAAATCACACATTAGATCCTAACTTTTTGTTACTCCGAGCCATGGGACGAGCTTACCGTTTCCAACGACGACAATCCTCGTCTCGATATTCTCGTCCGGGCGGGCTGGGACCTTCCGAATCAATATCTTGCCACTGCAATCCTTATCCTTCTCCGCCTTGACCGCCCCGCCGCTCCCCTCGACCTCCTCTGGTCCGCCCACGTTCTTCGTATACAGCACGCGGCAAACAGCGTTCAAGCTCTTAGCTGCGCGCTCGAGCCTCTCGTAGGCGACGGCCCAATCATCAGGCGTCAGGCGCATGGAGTCGGCATTGCTCTCGAAGCCGAGGTGGAGGACGGCCTCGCGACCGCCTTCCTCGAGGCGTTTCGACACGAAGCGCTCGAGAAGCGGGAGGGACGTCTCCTCGGGACCTAGGAAGATATCCTTGAGGGAGGGGTTCGCAGCGGAGGCGGAGGCGTCGCCGTCGCCGAAATCGGCCCACTCGGCGAGGTCGTCAAGGTCGTTGCTAGAGCTGGTCGTGAGGTGAGCCGGAGCTGTGGACGGTGCAGGCGCCGGTGACGAAGGGCCTGGGGCGGCGGTCGGGGCAGCAGAGGTGGCGCCATAGCGGATGGCTTGCTCCTGCTTGGCGGCGTAGTCTGCGAAATCGCTCAGGACCTGCAATGACGTCAAGCAGACTGTGTGTTAGAGAAGCCGCAACTGGTGTCTCTAGCAGGAGGAATCTGGCTAGTAAATTTGGAAAGACAAAAAAAAAGAAAAAAAAAGCCAATTGGGCCATTAAGGTACGCTTCACGGGGATTTCTGGACAAGGATCTAGAACATACCGCCTCGGTCTTCCGCTTCTCATGCGGGAGCTGTTTCGTCGTCTTGGAAGTCATGTTTCACGAAGACTACCAAAGGCACACACGTCTTTCGACAGCAGAGGAGAGGTGGATGGGGACAAACTGAAAGATATTCAACGAAGGCAGAAAGAGGCGAAGAGAAGAATGGATTTCAGTTTAAGTATAACCGTAATATCATTGTGAATATATGATCAGACACAAAGACCCGCAGGCGGTGCATCTAAGGTTTGGGGGGGAAAAGGACAAAGAGGACGGGTTAGGTCAGAGTGAGAGTCCGAGTAGACGCGGGAGTGCTAGGGAATAGAGAGAGAGAGAGAGAGAAAAAGTGTAGAAGAATGTTGGAATATCGCGAGCTGGATACTTCTAACGAGGGAGAAGGCGGTGACGGCGATCGGACTTTTTATGTGCCTTGCGACGATGGTCTAGGAAATAGGAAAGGAGTCATAAGAGGTCGAGTTCTGAAGCTGCACGGGCTGACAGGTGAGCGATGACTCGAAGGGTTCAATCAGGCCACAGGCGACACCGGGACACCAGGACACCAGGGCACCAGGTTGGATGAATAGCAGAGTTCGAGGTTGGCTGTGGCGTGGGGAAGGATTCGAGAATGAGACAGGCTCAGTTGGTGAGTTGGGTGAGTTCACTGAGTTGTACTCCTGACCGGGATTTGTCGACCGGGGTGACTTGGTCCTTCCACGCTTCATGTTCATGCTCTCAAGTCGGCAGGACCAAACCGAAAATAGCGCCTGCATTGTGAACTTAGAGTCAAGTAATCTTAGTTTACAAAGGTACTTCGTACGGGTACCTCAATGGTTGCTTGCATGTGGCCTGGCGGGTCGAGTGTGTTCAATGGTTGAGTTGAGCTTGTTGGGTGTGGGGGGCGGGATTAGGCTGCCAGCTGTCACAACACTGGGGGAGGGGGGGCCTGGAGCCCACGCTTTGGTACGCCACTCCAACGACCTGTGTAATCTAGAATGCACTCGGGGGGGCTTGGACCCCAATATCGTACGGTAAGAACAGCCACCACAGAATTTAGTGGGGTGTGGTGTGGTGGGGTTCCCCAGTACTCAAGCCGTGTTGCAGCAATTGAAGTGCTTCCGTCATTGGTGGTTTTGTTGATTGACTGGTTGATCGATTGATGTCATCAGCCAGCGTCTACAGGACAGGGCTGAGCTGAGACCACCGACCACCACAGGATCAGGGTAATTGAACATTGAACCTTGGACAATAAGAGCGTGCACGACGTGCCGCGACGTGCCACCCTTGAGCGTTGACTGCTAAACTACTATGACACATCTCGCCGAGGCCAACCAACTTGCTCGACTCGACGCTGATCTTCTTCTCTGCCATTCTCCGATCTTCTCTTCCCAAGGCAGCAGCCCGGATCCAAGCAACACCCCGGAAACGGCTGAAGAGACAATGAGTCAAAAAAGGAACATCTCGAACCCTGCCGGTGTCACAATGGAACCACACCCTACGCCCTACGCCCTACACCCTGCGCCCTACGCACGCCCTTCTCAGATGCATCAAATGCACAAGTCGACCATCATTGGGCTCTCCAACCTTGATTCCGTTCAGGATCCATTGATCTGGTATATTCCCTCTCCAACTATGTATTTGGTATCTAGGCAGACCCTGCCAATCACCCCATCGTGGCATAAAAATCATCTCCTCCTCTTGTAGCTCCTACGTTTGCATCTTCCCGTTATTCATTGCCCTCCCATATTTCGATTCAGCTTCATTCCGTCGTCTCTTTCCTCTCTCTCCTTTCCCTCCCCGTCATTTTCTTTCCCACCGTTTTCTGGACTTTCGTTAAACAAAAAAGTAACAAGTCCTTCAGACCTTTCGTTTTGCATGATGTAACACGAAGAGAAAACAAAAAGGCCAAAGATACATAAGAACTCGACATAAGAAAGGTGAATGATTTCAACCCCGTGTCCCCTTTCCGCCTGAGCCCCTTCCGGTTCACAAAGGAAACAGAAACAAAATCAAAGACTCCTCTCGATAACTCCGTGTAAGACATCAAGATATTTTCCAAAACAAAAGGATGAACATGTGAACACGAAGGCAAAACGTAGACAAAGGAATAAAAACGACAAAGTCGCCTTGCCCTTTCCCCCGTTCTCATCTCTTTTGCTCTTTCTCCACATCGCCTCCTGAGCCGTGAGCCAGCCAGCGCCTAGAGGGAACTTGACACATTTGTCAACGTTCCAGAGTGTCCAGGCCCACCGTCTAGCTTTTCATCGACGGCTGAAGTCATTGTGGAAGCAGAAACCTTAGCCACTCCGGCGAAATATCGATAAGTGCTCTCTACCCACGGGCTCAGCTACCGTCCCCTCATCATCAGTCGCAACACATCCGCCGTCATCATAAGCAAATCGTATCGTTAAATCGTAATCGCAAATGTTGAATATGTCGACCGAAATCACGAATCCAACACCCCCCGATAGAAATCGAAAGAAAGTTCGCAGAAAGGAATAGCAGATTCAGCCGTCCACGTTTTTCGTTCCCGTGCTTCGCTCATCTTTCTTCAATCTTGTAGTATCGAGATTTTCTTTTTCTCATGCTCCCATTCCATCCAGCTTCATTAAAAGTCTCGAGGATGAGAGTCATGTAACGTATTTAACTGATGAAAGCCCGCCGAGTCACCAGCCAGCGAATATATGTACCTGCTGGTAGTCTTTTAATCGCAACTCGGCAAGTCATCAAAAAGAATCGAGGTAGGAAACCAAAAAAAAATGAATAGAAACGTCAAGGGCGTGAGAGAAAGAACCCGCTTAACGCCACCAAGACCACGCAGAAGTCGTGAGCGACCCCAGTTTTGTTCCTCCAGATCATAGGTATATCCTTCGCAATGGCGAGAGATTTTTGGTTCAAGAATGGAGCAAGGTGGAATGGAAAGTGCAACACGAAGGCGCCGTTGGATGCATGTCGTATATCATGACCGCTGAATAAAAAGGAAAAAGAAAATGAGAAGGAAAAAAAATCCATTCCGTGACTCTTGTACTGCGTCATGTTGCACTTCCTCCCCTTGTCCATCATGTCAACGTTTTCCTCATCGAGGTAAAAGAAGGCGGCTATGTCGAATCCGGGAATATATACAAGTTTTTTGCCATCGCCAGGATACACACATATTCGAGTCGAGAATCGGGTGGGATGGCCACTGGAGATGCGGCTCCCCCAACCAAGTCTAAACTCCCATGTACCCTTCCCTACCCAGCGCCCACTTGCCATGGCCCCGTGAGGGCAGGATTGTGTCGGATGTTGAATGGCCTCTAGGTAGTGACGATTGGCGTGTCGGATAAGAATCAAAGTAAACCTCCCAGTCTATCAAGTGTAAAAACTTTCGTTTTTGTCGTTTTCCCGTACCAGCCTGCGCCTTTTCAAGGTTCTTTTCCGATAATTTTTTTTCTTATTTTCCCAAATCCAAAATGCCGTCTCCCAAAGTCGTAAAACCGCGCTTCTGATGAGTGTTTATTTCGTTTCCTTCTGTTGTCGTCGTTTTCAAGCCGAGAAAATGGCCTAGTTTCATCGGTGTACTCTTTCTCACTCGCTTGCAAGAATTGACTTCTCAGCTCGAGACCGCATATGGCTCGCATGCGTCTCGAGGCACTCGGCCATCAAGTGTATCACTGGCCAGACACCCGTCCTGAGAAGATACTTGGAGGCTAGTTGTAGAATCTTGGCAGCGTACCCCGAATAATCCCCAATACCAAATCCCAAATTGACGTTTGCACCGGCCAAATCCAAGTTGACATTCGGCTCAATCAAAGCGATAATCTCCTGCACCTTGTGAAGCAGCTTGACATCTTCCTCCTCCAGAAGCATGATGGCTGGCACCTGCGCAAGGTCGACGTCGTCACGTCCCAGGATACCGAGGTACGGCCCAACTCGATCCTGAAGCGTAGCCACCCACTCCGCCAGCACCTGCGCACAGTCCATGATGCACAAGGATGCCTGGAGATTGAGATCGCGCCCGTTCAATTCGCCTGAGCCAACACCGTGCTTGGCCATCGACACAAGTGACTCCGCCGCGTAGAATGCCGCCGTCCGTAAATATTTCTCCCGTCGCTGCGTTGAGGAACTCGACGAATGCTGGGAAGCGAATTTTCCGGGAGCGGAGAAATCCTGTGGAATGGAAATCTGAGTCGCAGGGGAGTCCGCAGCACCCGAACCGCTCATTGAAGTATCCGAAGAGTCGGCGCTGTTGGCCTCGCTATTAATCTCGGGCGTATTCTCCATGAGTGGAGAAATGTCGCTGCAGCGAGAGATTTCCTCCGCTACGCCATCCCAGTCGCGTTTCCAAAACCTTTCCTTAGACTGGGACAGGTTGACGTAAAGCCTGACGTGTGCAATGTCCAACAGGGGAACCGAATCGACCGACAGTTCGCCAGGGCCTAGAGTGAGTTCGCCCGCTCCATTCGAACTCTTGGTCCAAGCCACCTGCCACGCCTTGAGAGCGGGTTCCACGTGCCGATGCATCGTTTCCATCTCCTCGCTAGTCCAGCCCTTGTTGTGGTGCCTCTGCCTAGTCTCCCAAATGTAGTTGTGAAGTGCGTTGATGAGAATGAAGCACCCGAAGGAGCTAGGCTTGAGTTCACCCTGGGCATGGTGGTGGTGGTGGTCGGAAGACGACACTCCCTGCTTCTGCTGCGTCTCGCTCGTGCGAAGGAGTTCTGATAGGGCATCGCGGAACGTCACGCGGTTGCGGTTTGCCCCCTGGATACCGCCTCGGGCTTGGAAGACGGTGGCGCTCTCGGCAGAGAAGAACTTTTCGTCGCAAGGAAGATCTATCGTAATTTCGGAGTTGGTGAGGGTTGGGGCATGGTTGTAGTAGGACACGAGTATGCTTGAGAGGACAAAGACGGCAAAGAGCGTGCGCTTCCTCTCCTCCATGCTCTTCCACCTGATCCACTCGGCTTGTTCATCGGATTCGGACTTGATGGCGGCGTTCCACGCCGCGTCATCGCTCATCATGGTATCATGACTCTCGGCTTCTACTCTGGTCTGTCGGAGGAGGTCAGCACCCTGGGCAAGACTAACGAGGGCTGCGGAGTGGGTCGAAGCGATCTCGCTCGCCGTCTTGTCGCCACAGTTGTGCCCATAGACCACATTCAGGAGCATTGCCTGGACGAGCCAGACAGGAGTATGTGTTGCATTCTCTTGCGGCTGAGGGGTTACGTCCGATCCGGGAGTACGAAGACAATCGGCCTTTCTCACGTCGGCCTTTCGCCGCTCCTCGAGATACTGCTGAACCATCTTCTTCGCCATTTCGAATAGCTCTCTTGACTGGGCGTGGTGATCCAATTCGTACAGCGCGCCAATGGCGGCCATCGAAAGGATAAGGCACCCGCTACCGGCGACTCCCCCGGTGCGTCCATTTACAGGGGATGAGGAGGTAGGCACGTCGAACGACAGTGTCGGGATGTGGAGGAATGGGAGATGAGGGTGGAAGTAACGGAGGTAGGCACCGACATACCGCTGAAGATCTTGGGTGCTCGGGAGGTTCTTTGCATTGTCAGGAACGTTCACCGGCGACGTCTGGAACTGGGGCGAGAGGGGAGACCCCGGCGCCTGAAGAGAATGAGAATGCGAATATTTACGGCCGAAGCTAGGCCGCTGGTTGAGCGCGTTTACGATGGCGTTTCGGGTGGCTTCGGTAATAGTCGGGGAGGTGGCGGCTTGTTGATTGCCGCCGCCGCCGCTACCGACGCCGTTAAGAGACGTTGGCGTTTCCGGAGCGGTGCTGAAGGAGAGGGCTTGGTTGAGGTTCTGCGATGTGGTGATGCCGTTGACGAGGGTGGGGCTTAGAGAGGTCAGAGACGAAGGCGGGGTGGAAAAGTAGGTGTCATTGAGTTTCTGCGACGCGGGTTGAGGCGAAATTGGAGAGCCGTTCATGAGATCCGGAAACACAGAACCGTTGAGGTCCAAAGCGAACGGGTTAGGCATCTGAGGAGGGCCCATTGCCGTAGGCTGCCACATGGAGCTTGTGCCAACCGGGGGCGGGTGGTTGGAACCGTCTAGCATGACATCACTAATGCCGCTCTGGCTTGTTGTGCTGATGGCGGAAGGGCTCGATCCGTCCACGGCATTTTCGTTGGCGTGGAAGGACATCTGGTGCTCGAATCCGCTCAGCCAGTCAATGGTATCATCGAAATGCTGGCTTGCCGAGAGGTCATGAAGCCCATGAGGGAAGGGAGAAGTCGGGTCCAGAGCCATGGATTGAGGCGAGTCGTTGTAGTGGAGGGCATTCGGATTAATGGTCGATCCCTGAGTACCAAAGAGTAGGCCCTCAAAGTCGAAGTCGTTGCTGAACGGCATAGGAGGTGCAGTTCGGAGGCCGCCGCCAAAGTCCATCTGGTTCAGTTGGTTGGTCTCAAGCTTGGGGAGGCCGTGGGTATTAATACCACGCTGGCCCATAGCCACCGACATGCCACCAAATAAGTCCATATTGTGGTGAAGGGTGGTCAGACCAGCAAGACTAGGGTGCCGGTTATGGCCAGGAATAGCCCTGGCAACGGAGGCATTGGCGGCGGCAAGCATCGACACATCGACGTGACTGATGGTGTTGGCCCTGGGCCTCATTGAGGCGGCATTCGCGGCGGCGGTGGCGGCGGCATTCGGGCCAGCGATACTGTTCTTGCGAGCTCGGCTCTGAACGGGGTTGGCACCGGCGGCGCTCTCTCGGCGATTGCGCGGACGGGACGAGGGGGTCGTGGTCTGGTGAAGCTTCTGTTGGTGCCTCAACAGGAGATCTCGGCGGGCGAAGCATCTCGTACACTCGGGGCAAGCAAAGGGCTTTTCCTTTGTGTGCGAGCGCTCGTGGCGCTTCAAATGCTCGAGACGAGCAAACGACCGCTGGCAAGTAGCACAGACATGAGGACGAGGCTTGTCCGTCTTTGGCGGGGGGAAATTGGCGGCAGGAGTCTTGGTCGTATTCACAGTGATGGTGGAAGCTATAATTCGGGAAGGCAGCAGTGGTTAGTTTTTACAACAAATTTCCGTATTCAACAGAGAGAGCGCAAGCGAGAGAGTGCTGAAGCATAGGAGTAGGAGGATTAAATTTCATTGGCACAACGCGTATCGCATTGGGCTAAGTGAAAAAAGAAGAACGAGAAGAAGATAAAAAAAAATAAAAAGCAGCTCGTGCTGTCCAGAGGGGTAGAAAACTCTCAATGTCTCATACCAGTCTCCTCGGCAGTGCCAGCGGTGTTGGTGTTGGTGGTTGTGGGAATAGTGATGGGAGGGGTTACGGGACTCCCCGACGCACCATTGGGCGAGGTAGTCGTGTTGGGCATCGTGGGAGTTTTGTCAATATTGACGCCGCTGTCGTTCATGGTCATGATGGGCAAATATATCAATCGGAAAAATCGAGAGCAGGAATTCCTGGAGGCTCTCTCTCGGCGTCGGCGGGGGGGTGCGATGTGGGAGGTGGGAGGCGAGGCGAGGCGACGAAAGAGCTTTGGTGTTGGGTGTTCGTGGGCGGATGTCGTTGGTCGTTCAAAGCGGTTACGCCTGGCAAATGCGGGAGGAGAGGGGTCGAGCGAGCTCGCAACAGCTAAGGGGCGAACGAGAGGACAAGAGGGAGAAAGGAAGCTTCGAGACCGCGAATAGCATAACTACTCGACGTTCTGAAGCTGGCTAATTGACGTCGAATGCGGTCTTGTTGCGAGATTCGTACGATGTCGACCTGTCGAAGCAATTGCTGCTTGGAGAGAGGTGAAGAGAAGAGAGGAGGAAGAGGTTTTGGGAGGGCTCTGGTGGGCGGCGGCTGTGGCAGAGTGGTGTGGTCCCGTTCTGGTACGTGGGAGAGTGGTGCGTGGTGTGGTGGGATACAATGAATGGAGCAGTATGAGTGTGTACGACTATGCAATAGTACCTTCGTAGTGTAGTAGTAGTAATTGAAGCGAGTAGGGAAGGCACAGGCTGGAAGGACTGGTCCCATTCCATTACGAGTTGTGTGTGAAGTACTTCGTACTGGGACTCTTGCTGGGAATGGTACCTGGTACCGGCTCTAGTACGGAAGTACAATGAATCGACTTAATACTTCGCAGGAGGGCACCAACTGATCATGCCGAGGCCATTCTGGGAAACCAGGGTGCCATCGGCGAGAATCCGCGGTCCCTCTACCTCCAAGACAAGGATCCACCGTCGCTAGGTGGCAGTAAGTCGAGGTATCGGTACAATGGAAGCCAATTTCCTTCGGATGTATGAAAGTATTAGTCGTGCCCGTCCTATACTTCGTACCTTCCTACAGTCGATGCAAAGTACCCCGGTACGGTGGTACTCTCGTGGATTTGACGATTTGACTGGACGGGATAGTACTGTGGCGAGACAGTAGGTTGCACAGTGTGGATAGGATCAAGTCAAGTGAACATTGAACTGGAAATTGGAACCCTGAAGCCTGGCGCCTGGGGCGATGCTCGGAGCAGTCACTACTCCGGAGTAGCAATAGTCACACCACTAGCCTTTTCTTCAGCGTTTGGGAACGAGAAAGAGCCGACGGAGGCGAGAACGGAGATACAATCCGCCCGTGGAAAAATGGCCATAAACGAAAGTAGTTTACCCAAGCAAGAATTAATGCCAAAGCTAAGAGGCAATCGAGTTGCAAACTCAAATCAAAGAACCATCATCCTAATTAGTTTACAATGCGCTGGGGACGCAGGATCCTAGAGATCAAGACCCCAGGCAATGCGATGTGTGTTGCCCTCCACTATTATTCAGAGCCTGGTTCTCTTGAGGCTGTGTGAGGCAGTGCGAGAGAACCAAGTTTTGCTCGGATCTCTCAGCACAAGTGTGAGTACGAAGTACTCTGTACACTCCATTGATTGATTCAGGTTTCCAGCAATCCCCTTTATTTCGTTGGCCACAACCCTGCACTTGTATGTTGGTTCCTCGACGGCCTTTGATCTTGGACGCTGATATATCGTCGGGATGGATCCAGACCGACGTGTTTCTTGGTGCTCCATGAGTGTCAAATGACAAAAAGAGCATCTTGTTTCTTGTGAGGTTACGTTTGATTTGTTTTCCCGCTCGATTTCCTCCGGCTGGCGCGCCAAACCGGATCGGGGGGCATGGCTGGCTGATGGGAGTGGAAATTAAAGATCCTGGGGGGTTAGTTCGGCGTTTCGCCTGGCTTTACTTGAGTCGAGGCTACAGCCACTGTCCATAGAGCCGGAGAACTAGTGGCATACCAGACCAAGTAAGTCTATTTGCAATTCTACGAGGACCAACATTTGGACTCGGTGAAGTTTGTCTGTACTCGTGAGCCTCTGCCGGGTTTGGAGAAGCGTTTCTTCGCATTGGCAGAGACGGCAGTTCTCTGGTGGCGATTAAGAGCTTCCTTTTTTTTTTTTTTTTGTCCTTGTCCTTGGCTTGGTTGGTTGAGTTGCCTTGATCTGGGAAGGCATCAGAGCCAAGGTGTGTGGGCTTGCAGTATCACCAGGTACAAGCATCACTCAAACTCTCAATTGTAGCTGCGTTGCATGTCTTCATATTCTATCTGAGGTCGATATTGCTCATTAACGAGGACTAAATATGCTATAGATACCAGAGTTGATGACAACTTTCCTGAGATTTTAAGTTGCCTCCCTGGGACAGGAAAAGACTATGGGATATCAAGATATCCGAACTTCAGGAAGTAAGAAGCCTTCTGAGAAGGTGGATGCCACATCAGACTGCCCAACTTGGGCGAAAGCTCCGAGTCTAGCATCCCATCTTCCAGAAGTGTCATGGCACGCTCCGCTCGGTGAGCTCGATAATAGACGGCGTTATAAGGCCACTTCCGGATTCCAAATCGGAACATTCATCGTTGCGAGCCTTGATTTCATCAAGTACTCCGTAGCCCTTTATGATTCTATGCGATAACGCATGCTACTCATACATAGCCCGCAATTTGTACGAAGCCTCTTTCCCATCATTTCTTTCTAATATCCCGAAACCACATTTGGGCGTGCGTCCGACTCGCCCAAAATATTCTCTCGGAAACCCTCCGAAATTCATCAAACATGTCCTTAGCGTCTTGCCAAGTTTCCAAGTCCAATTGCCACATTTCATTTTCTTTTCTCTCATATTTTTCCTTGCGTCTTTATGCCGCCTTTGTGGATTCAAGTCCTATGCAGTCCCGTTTCTACAGCATGAGCAGATGCCAGAACGCACACAAAGGGTCTCTCTGCCCTACCCGCTTCAGACGAAGTAAAAAAGCGGCGATGACTGTGTGTCTTCCTACTATTCCCGCACAGTAGCATCCGATACCGAGATCCAATCTCGCGTCCTTGAGTAGGAGGCCGGAATAAGGCCTAAAGAGTGCACATGGATACACGTATCGTCTCATACAAGACAGTTATCTCAAGTAGCCGCATGCGCATAAACTAACTAACACCAACATCCTCTTCCCATATCCACAGACAACCCACTACGATCATCGTCGTCGGACAGACACGGTACAGGTATGGAGCTAGCCCCGTCTCAAGATCCCCCACGCGCTCCTGATGACTCGACAAGCTCAATCAATGGGCAGTTGCACTGGTGAGCTCTGACAAGGAACTTGAGACGTGATTGGAACCACTCACGGTCCCAGTTCTGCCTGTTTCCGAACTTAGCGCCCTGCAGGGAAGGACCAAATTATGACAGCGGGCTGGCACTGTGCTCCCAGAGCAGCAGGTCGCAGGCATACTCAGCATATCGCAGCTCTGTGAGGTAAAGCCCAAGGACTTCCAATGCGAGGCAATGCCTCTCATTCCGTTTAGTTGCCGTCGTTGACCCGCGATATTTGCCCCCAATCGTGGTCATCAGACTCATCAAATCACTCAAGCTGGCGCCGGAGAGTTTGTTGGGAAAACACCATGCCATTGCAAGGCAGAGGCCCATCTTCTTAGATTACTTCATAACCTACACTAGCCAGTCCTCCCTGTCAACTGATTGTTCGAGTTGCAACGCCCGTCACAATTCATGGGTCAGTGATTAGCTGATGAAACAGTCCAGTGCACTGCACATCGGGCTACCTGCATCCCAAGAGCAACACTCCCATTGGTACAGCATCTCGGAACCTCAACTAGAGTGGCAACCTACTGCATGACACACTGCCTGGCTGTGGCAGTAGCCCGTACGCATACAGCAAGGCCAGACCAGGCCAGGCCAAGCCAGACCCAGCAGATGTGTAAGAAACTCCTTGGACATCGTACGCCGCGAGATTGACGATATTGTTCACAATCCTTTATACCTTCTCGAAAGCTTTCATCAGGAGCAAAAAGGAACGGACTCCAACTAGTAGGTAGCCGCCGCGAAAAACCCACACGAGGTTTCCATGGCCTTTCCCTTGCTCAACCTAAAAGCACCCAAACGCCTCCCTCAAATTTCAAGTCCAAGTTAACATTAGCGCCCCACCAAGAGAAACCGGGCGCGAAAGCCTCCGTAGACTAACCGTACCAATCTCTAGCCACGTCGCTCACAGAAAGGGAAACGCGGATACTCGTACAGGCTACCAACTGTACCTCAGGCCAATTAGGCATCGTTTTCCCGTCATCTAGAAGCAGAAAGAAGAAAAAAACCGGGGCTTCGACAGTGAATCGCTCATGGTTGACTCACACTCGACAATATCGAGGACTTAACTCAAACTATGAAGTAGCGCGTGAGAGTCCGAACAAATGATGATAAATAAGACTAAAAAAAAATAAAAATAAAAAAAAGAAAGCCAGACCGCCAGATTTTTATCCAGCAAGTGGATCCGGGTCATCACGAAGCTTGGATCATGGATCGTGATAGGATGCGAGGTTTGGGTGGTACAAAACCTGTCACATCCTATTGAGCAAGAATACGACCCCCAAGGACGGTGAATGACCGAGCCCGACTGGATCCGGAAGGGATATGATATACCACGGACTTGACGGTGCGCCCCCTTTCTCTATTGGTACAGTTTTGCATCGTAAGGCTAACTTGAATTGAGTATCAAGAAATGAAAGATGGGCAATAATAGTGCCAGTTCTGTCTAGCAGTTGATTGATGTCCCTGGTACAATTGTAGCGTATTACGGGGTAGTGTAAGTGTACTTGGAGGCTGTCGCCATCAATATGTCCCTCGGTACCTGCCCCACCATCATCACCTCAATCAATTGATCTTTGGCGGGGGAAAATGGCTCTGGATGTGCTTCAACATGAATTGATCAATCAAGATGAACGAGCTTGACATCAGGACTCTCCAGGTGCAGAAGCGGAGTGGAGCGATCATTGCCCGTTTGTCACCGTTGTCGCAAACTACAATAATTTTTTTTTACCGGGCGTGAGTTCGCCCCTCGAATCACTCGGCATCATCGATGCTGCCGCGCGCTGAGATTGCTGTTAGCGTG